TCTATAAGTCATGTAAATTGTAATATTTTAAGTCACTTAAATGGTCATATAACAATTTCTTCTTTCTTTTACAATTGGTCTTTTGGAAAATCATTATTGAGTTGACACTTCTAATTCTCTATCATGTACAAATATTAACGAGAACTATTTTGCATGTATAGTGCATAATATTGTAATATTTACATCGGTTTCAAAAAAACGAAATCATGTTAGTTAGAATGGAATGTTCACAAATGATTTCATCGACTAAAGAATATGAATATTGGGATGAAAAGATATATCAAGAATACAGCTCTTGACCCATTGTAGGCATTTAAGTATTTTACTTATGACTTACATGACAAATCAAGCCAAAGAGCTGTTAGTATCAAGATGACATAGCCCATGCTGAACGGGTAGATACAAATATATAAATATTAAGTAAAATTAGTTTTAGTACCCGCCATTTTCCGGTGTTGATTTAATTCTTGAATGTATTTAAATAGTCTTCATAAGTACTAGAACTGTACGAAAATCGCATAATTCCTTCAAAAATATCTCAAACTAGGAATTTCACTTTCTATTTCTATATGTATGACTTTTCTATATATGGCAAAATCTCAAGAAAAGACGAGTCGTTATTATAACATTCGAACGCGGATAATTCTTGACAATGGACACACATGGATTTGAAGTCTAAAATTTCGACAGTTAGCTGTGAAATCTAGTATTGATTAGCTTTGCAAAAAATTCCTGTTGCTTAGACTAAGGAAACGGGTGACGAATCTGTCCCTTTAAAGGCAAACTCATTTAACTAGTGTTTTACTTATAACATACATGAGAAATCAACCAAAGAGATTTAAAAACGAAAAAAACCCAGAAAAGATAGTTAGGCAGCTTCATCCAAATCTGTCAAGAATTGTCCTTTTTTACCTTAAAAGCTAAAATTCCAACGCGTTTAGAGGAACAAGGGCAATAACTCTTTTGATATTTACATTTTTTGATAGGGTGCATCCTTGAATGATAATTAACAATTTCACCAAATAACAATAAGAGTTAATCCTTTTAGAGTGTTTACAAGAGAAAAAATTAACAAGCATACATTATACATTTTCGCTAGAGTTCATCGTCGGATTAAAACAATTTCACCAATTTGCACCTTAATCCGTTGAGAATTTTGTCTACAAATTTTGGACCTACAAAAAAAAACATTATGTCCCTTTAACTTAGAAACATACATACAAAAATGTATAGGAAGATGATGATTAATTTGTTTGGTTTTGTTTTGGACAGATATAATTTTGTGTTTATATTTCTATGACTATTTCAAAACAAATATTTAGTATAACCTAAATCCAAAAACAAATTTTATACAAATCATGAAGCAAAAAAAAAAAACAATAATATTCTCGGATTTAGATTACATTCACATTTGATTAAATTTACTATATCAAACCAAATACATCAAAAAATTATGAAATCGGGCAAGTCAAAACGTTATAATTGTTTTTTTTTTTTTTGTTCCTTGATGAATGGTTCTTTAAGAATGTTTAGAATAACTGCATTCTGTTGGAAATCATCAAAAAATAAACCTAAAGTCCATCAAAATTTGCCGTATCTAAACGAGTTCTCTCTTAGTCATCTTTCGGCCCTTTTGTGCTTAAAATGGATAGGCATCATCCTCGGATTGTTGTAAACACACTTCAAATGTACTTGTAGAATGAGCAGAAGATGTGTGACGATACCTACGGATTGCCGGATCGACAGACAGCCTGCAGACTATATTATCAAAGCAATAATCAAATCAGTTTGCCATTTTTCTAGAACAGGACGATGGAAATTTCACGACCGAAACTGTGAAAGAACACTCAAATATATAGGCTAAGTACAGAGAATAAAGCGGAACCCTTAACACTCCAAAAAATGCAAAAAATGACTTACGTGAGAATGACGTTGAATAAGTAGAAGAAGAACTTTGAAACTCCTCATCCTGAAGGATTAACAGTGGGCAACTTGCTTTTAAAGAACGTGATTATATGGATGTTTATTATATACACAATGTCTTATATCCCCCAGTTCCATTTTCACCTGCTGATTACCTTCCTAATATTTCATATCCGTCATTTTCTGCGGACACCTTACACTCGGATATCCCTTTTGATAGTAAGTCGAGAAGGAGAAATGGACATCACACCGGACTAAATGATTGCTTTTTGATACTGAAAACTCTCAGCGACCATGCCTTGGAAGCGTGGGATGAAATTTCGAGTGCCCCCAAGGAGATGTGAAGTAATCAGATGCTTATAATTAATGCTATTCTTAAAATCTAAAAGTTTTTTTTATCTAGAAACATCTAGAAAGGCGACAACCTCCTTCCATTGACAACTAATAAACTTTATTGGTAAAATGTTTCCAGCATTGCTTTACGTGACATTTATCTTTTCTTTCAACCGCCCATATCTTTGTTCATTTCTTTACGACTTAATTCACGATCTTGAAAAGAAAGTAACTGAAAGACGAACCTGGTGGCGTGGAAAGGAAACCAAACATAAATAAGTAAACGATCTTGTTTTCGGTTTTCATATGTTGCTTCAATAAGACTTTTGCTAAATATTAGTTATCAAAATCAAATTTAAATCTTTAACGAAAGCATTAATGACAAATGAATTTGTAATAAGAGATGGTCAATCATCCAACCGAGATCATAACAACACATATTTCAAATTAAGTCATACACCAGGAAATAGTATCCAGTTCTTTTTTTTTAGAATTTTTTTACAATCTTCTCGGGATCTTCATAAATATTGTTGACGGACCATATAAATAATATTACCCCCTCCCCTCTTTCCGCCCCTTTTTTTTTATTTTCCACGCTGGTAATGGTTCATGATTCAAAAGGGAAAATTTATACCATGCTAGTCAAAACCAAATATAACGGCTCCTATCTGCTCTTACACGTACTTTTGTTATGCTATCACTTATGGAATGCTATAGGCGAAAACGGCTACCCGATTCAGATTCAGATTCAGCTTTACGGTAACTGTCGAGGATTACCAAATGGTTTTTAAAATGATTATCGTCAATCATGACAAGATACGTTACATATCGCGATACAAGGGTCACGATATGATACATATTGCGATATGGGTAATGGGATAAAAATTAACATTTTATCTTCAAAGTTGATAGAAATGGTTAGCGTCCACAGTCTTATAAAAAAATTTCTAACAATTTCAGTGAAAAAACTTGTTCTATCATAAACCAACTTTAAAAAATGCCATCTTTTGTATGGAAAGAGAGGTATCGTCAAGTATCGATACACGGCGTCTCGATACGATACGCATGTACGATTCATCGATAAATCGTGCCAGGACTAATTGTGGCATCCTTGATGATGCAACTCTCTGACTGGGTTTGTCAACTCCATTCATTCTAGATTCTTATCGTTAGAAAATGATATCCCTCGGCCATACCAAATATTTTGTTAAACAAGCAAAAGGGACACGAGAGCAGTGAGCAACCAATGATCTTGAATGGATTGTGATACTGAGGTCGCGTTGTTTTAACATCTCTGCAAACATTTATTGACGTGACAATGAACTGTCTCACCAAACTGAGGCTGACCCAGCTTCCCCTCCCCTCCCCCACCCCCACCCAATTGAACATAAAGAAACAAAAGCCCACTTGAAAATTCTGCGTCTCCTACTCAACTGTCTAATAAAAATTAGACCACTAACCAAACTTTCGTTCTGTTTTTTATTAGCTTTTGTTTTTAATTTGGCCACCTAACTGAAGTGGCTGTATTAAAAATAAAAGCTTATAAAAAAAGTTTGGTCTTAATTTAATTAGACTGCCCTACTCAGCCCCCATACTGATGATTCATAAGGAACACCACTGATTCTATGACCTTTGTGACTAGCAGTAAAGTAGACAGAAAGTATGCAATCCAATGCCCTTTTTATGTACTAACCCAAAGAACCCGTACTGAGAAGCTCTTTATATTTTAAATGTCATAATTATAACGTATTGGTTGATACTTCTAAAAGAAAAAACATACTTTTAACTTAAAGTAAAGTCGACATACTGACGTTAATGGCCAGCAGTTTATAATTTCTTCCTAGTACATAAGACCTTTTAGGATTTGAAATGAGTTGTCGAATGAAGACAGCTTCATGCAGGGGTAATTAGAAAACGCCAATTCATAACCGTTTTCTTTTCAACTTTTTAAGTATCGAGGAATCTGTAAAGTGCACAACCTGTAACACACCGGATTTAAGTTAATTGTTCCACTCGAACGAACAGGCGTGTGAGAGATTATTAAAGGCAATGGTCTGCTATTTTCGGACATTGATTTTATTTAAATAATCTTCAGAAGAATTATAAAATCGAATAATTCCTTTTAATGTATTTCGCTCACAAGCTTATCCCAATTCTGAAAATTAAGGTACTCGAAAGAAGAACCTCCTTTTGAGAAAATACCAATGATGTCGCTGTACGATATTTTTTAATTTATCATGTCTTTAGCCTGGATGCTCCAAAAAGGACGACTCGTTAAAATAACTTCCAAACATGGATAATTATGGGTAGGAAGGCGACGGTAAGCTGTGATCACTAATATTAATCTACTAACTTATTCAGATGACCAGAAGCTAATTTTTGAATGAGGCAAATGATACGGGTAGAGGGTTGAAGTTCATAGTAATCAGACCTCATAAAAGGTGTAACAAATAAAGAACGGACTAATGGTTATATGCCGTTTATTTAGACTTCGTGAAAATTTTAATGTAGCCTACAGCATAGCATTGTTCTGTGTATTCACAAGCATTGCAACTTAGCTAATGTTTTAATAATTAATATTGCAATATATTTCACATTGTTCGTGTATTTCCAGAGGATGTTGAGATAAATATAAAAAAAAAAACAGATTCGTCTACTAGCAGCACTTGCTTCGGCACCGTTTACCAAACAAGTACAAAGTCATAATGCTCATGCGATTAGGATCGTTCAATGAGGTTCAATTTTTATCTGATATTTTCCAACCGTCTAGGAAAATAACAAGAACATCCTACACTAATTCTGTCAAAACGAACTGAACATTGAGAATCGTCTAATGGAAAACAAAACAACACAGGCACATTCACATATTGTTCTCTACAATAGGAATCTTCATTGGTTCCAAAACATCGTGTACAATTACACCTGGCCTCCTGGATCACACTAGGTAACCGGTGTCGATCTCGGTTATTCACATAATACCATGGACACGAGGATCGATCCTGATCTGGACTGAAAGGTCCCAGAGCTAACATGGAAGGACATGTGTTAAACAAGCCACTCTCTCGCAGTCTTTCTGTAGTAATTTCTATGTCCCAGTTTCGCCAACTTTCTATTAAATTGGTAGACTGTAAACAGACGTGACCTTCTGAAGAATCGGACCAATTCCACAAGAGAATGATTAAAATCGTCAGGAAGTTATTTGCTGTCATGTTTCACCGGGCTGAAAGAAGAAATACAATAAGCTTATAATATGTACAATAACAAAATTCATTAAAAAAAAGGTGCTCAATGATAATAGCATTCCAATTTTCAATCATGCGTCTGTGGTTCTTGCAATTCCATAAAGATAAATGTTTGATGGTTACGTGTACATGTAAGCTTCAGCTTGCAATAAATGTACTAATATTAGTAGTTGCAGAAAAACAACTCTCGTTCCTGGGTAGCATTCATGCCATGGGGAGATCATTGGAACCCTGTAAGCTTCTATTTTAAAGGAATATAGTCGTCTAGATATTTGCTTTAGCAACCGACAGAGCTTCAGAGCTCAATTTCAGCTATTCGTGTGATTTTTCAGAAATGTTATTGGACATAATAAATACTTGCAAGAATATTACAATCTGAAAGCAACGGCAATCTTAGCTTCAGAGATTTTTGTTCAGTTGCAATGAAACCGGAAGTTGGTCGGAAGGATGACGCGGGTAGTTAAAAGAAAGCTTAACCAGCTGATAAAGCTATAGATAACGACAGAGCACAATTTCGGCTATTTGTGTGATTTTTCTTCTTTTTTCTTTTTTTTTTTTTTTGTTCTGGGATATAATAACTGCCCTTAAGAATATTATCTAGTTATCTGGAAGTCTAGTCTGGAAGTTTGTTCTGTTGCATGGCAACCGAAAGTCGAATTCTAAAAATGACACAGATAGTTTAAAGTAATCTTTATCAGATGATCAAGTTTTAAATCGAGAAAACTACAGAGTGCTATTTCAGCCATTCGCTTAATACTCAAATAATAAATAGCTCCAGTCTAAGCTTTTGTGGTTTTTATTAAGTTGCATGCCAACCGTTAAATAGTTAAAGGTATAAGCTTTGACATTGTAAACGAAGATCTTGATGTGAAAATGCAAAGGGTTAGTGTTGTAGGATACAATAGGATTGACGGTATCTACTGAGATCCTCTCCTGTGACAGATCGTCAAGCGATGGCAAAGGATTTGTTGGAACCAACCTGCACCACTTTTCTAAAGAGATTAATAGCTCTGTATCTAAGCTTACGTTGTAATTTGTAGGGCGTTTCTCTCAAATTTCATCAATCCAACCAGTCACCTTCTCCTGATGACTGTTCAAGAATCAAATTTGTCCAGATTGTAACAAAGAAGGCGTTTTAGACTATGGGCATCAGTTAAACAGCGTCAACAGATGAAAAATTAAAATAGTACCACAAAATCAAGGACAGCCATTCCACTTATGTAAAGTAGAATCTATCATAATGCAACCAATTTTTGTACGAAAAATAACATAATGTAAGAATCAAAGCTATAAAAATCATGCTTACCAGTTAAAAAGTTAAATTCTACACTGTCACAGACAAATCGAAAAACCATTTTATAGAGTGGAATATCTGATACGAACATGAGCTGGTGGTCATCGGAAGCTTCAGATCTCAAGTGAACTGTATTTTTCTTCTAAATTCTCTCATTTTGTAGGCGAACCGACGAAACAATATAACATAATCAATGGTTGGAGATGATCTTTTAACTAATGTGGGTTAGTCATTTCATTGACCAGTATAATTTGAATTAAATTCTCATAACCAGCAATGGTTTGATTTATTTTTCCCTCGTTGACGTCTCAAATTAAATCAACCGTCATCAGTTTCGCCAAAGATACAAAAAAATCTAGCGACTGTCTTCCTTTAAACTTGTACTAAATTAACTCTTGATTCATTATAGATGTCTCTTTCTATTTTGCTTCACAATGTAGGCCTCAAAATGGATGTCATGTCAACGAAAACTATTTGCTGAATAACTTGATTTGATTCATATGTATATGGTTTTTAACCCTAAAAAACGACGTCTGGTTGGTATACAATCGAACATATACCTATAAGCGGAAGTGACAACAGTGCCATTTCTTAGATTATAATCTTGTTTTTGCAGGCAAACCTAAATTCAGATTTTCATTCTAAAGTAATATTGGCGTAATATTGGATAGAGTTGGACGACCTTATCTATATTATTGAATTGGTCTTATATCTAAATGATTAATTAGTACAGTCTAATATATGTATAATTAAACTGGTAAAGTCTAATATCTGTATAATCAAATCTGTAAAATCTGATATCTGTATAATTCAACTTGTAAAGTCTAATATATGTATAATCAAATTGGTAAAATCTAATATCTGTATAATTAAATTGTTACAGTCTAATGTCTGTATAATTGAATTGGTAAAATCTTATATCTGTTTAATTCAACAGGTAAAGTCTAATATCTATATAATTAAATTGTTACAGTCTAATGTCTTTATAATTGAATTGGTAAAATCTTATATCTGTATAATTCAACCGGTAAAGTCTTATATCTATATAATTAAATTGTTACAGTCTAATGTCTTTATAATTCAACTGGTAAAGTCTTATATCTGTATAATTCAACTGGTAAAGTCTTATATCTTTATAATTCAACTGGTAAAGTCTAATATCTGTATAATTAAATTGTTACAGTCTAATGTCTTTATAATTGAATTGGTAAAATCTTATATCTGTATAATTCAACTGGTAAAGTCTTATATCTTTATAATTCAACTGGTAAAATCTTATATCTTTATAATTCAACTGGTAAAGTCTTATATCTGTATAATTCAACTGGTAAAGTCTTATATCTGTATAATTCAACTGGTAAAGTCTAATATCTGTATAATTCAACTGGTAAAGTCTAAAGACTGTATAATGACTGTATATTGTAATTGGTAATGTCTAATGTCTGTAAATTATAATTGGTGGAGTGTGTCAACAATAATCGATAATGTGTTTTATATATTTATTATATATATTATATATTATATATATTAATATTTATATTGATATATTGCACCTGTTAAAGTTTTATATCTGTATATTGTAAATGATTTGGTCTAATATCTTTATATTGGTATAATCGCAATTGTTTTATGTCTGTATTTTGCAAAGGTTATGTCTATGTAATATCTTGTGAAATCCGAAATTTCGACTTATGCAGTCAGAAATTGCGAGCTATAATATATATAAATAAATTTCAATGTGATTCAGAAAAATAAAATTTAAAACAAGCAATGCCACGCAAATAAAATTAAATGTTTTTACGTCCTACTTGTGGAATGGCAAGCAAGATACGCTAACTTCCCAGTATATTTTCAGTATTACAAGGGCTGTAGCTCTGCCAATATGTGTCAAATCTTTCCCAAATTCTATTAATCAGAATTTTGACAAGAACTATTGTATCTATTGTGTCACGTTCTACTTTTAACGAATTTGTAGTGTATCAAAGATGGGACCGTGCTTAAGATGGGACATAAACCTACACACCAAATTTCATACAAATCAGACAAAAATTGTGGCCGTCAGATGCCAATTGTAGACGGACCAACCTACGGACATATCAAACCGACAGGTCGAATATCACTTCATAGATATCTTATAATATAACAAGATATCTATGGGTCACTTATACATTAGCATGCTGGCGTGAATGTGGGCGTATTAGTTGCGTGTTTAGAAGGGGGTGATATAAACAAAATAAATAAAATCAAAATGCCCCTTGTCAATGAAATCCTGAGGCGTATAAAATTATATTCCAGGTGTGCCTAAAAGGAATTCATATATATTTCATATATTTCCATACAGTCATTAAAATACAATAAAATAATTGTTCAGATCTAGTTTATTATTGGTAAAAAGCAATGTTTTAACAAAAACATAGTAACAAGATTATAAGAGTGACAAATGAAAAATGAAGAAGTTGGTGAAAAAATTGCCAATAAATGTTTGGTTGTAGATTTTAGGCACATCAGTAAACCATTCAAAACATCAACACAAAAAATTGATTCTGTGGAGATTTGAACTGGTAGTGATAAATTAATGAATGCATTGGTTTAAAGGGAAATGTAATAATTTATTCATTAAAATATGTACCTAACCAGCTGATAGAGCTGAATTTTATCTATCCATATCACTTTTCAAAATTAAATCTGACAACTGAATCTCCTATAATTCAATAGCTAAAATTTAGCATTGGGTATGAATTCATTGCTTATATTAAGCATACAAAAGCGATCAAACAGAAATTCTGAAATGGAAACAGTCCTGATGTGCATACAAAATTTTGGCATTCTTTAGTAATTGTTGTTTTATGTCAGAAAATTATCATAGGGCCACTTTTATAAAAGTACTCACTCCCATTGCTTTCCAGGTTTGGTGGTCCTGCTATATAATAATAGTTTTCAATTTACATTTTTAGGTAAAGTGATTAATGAGTTTGATCAACACAAAATATGAAAAACATTAAACTTTTATCATAGGTTACAAATGTTTGGACAAGGTAAAGAGTTATAATTCTTATCTGAAAATCATATCTACAGAAATATTCTGAAATATTCTCTTAAAAATGATATGAAATGAAGTTTAACTTCCTACTTTTAAGGGGCTTAGGCTAATGACATCGGGCAACGCCATGTATTCCAATCTTCTACAGCCCTGACAATATTTTTGGAAATTTCAGCATACAAGAACTTGCCATTTAAAAATTTTATGAAACCAACAAACTTGAGGAGCCCTCACACAGTAGCAATTACCAACTGCATGTGGTAGCAAATATTCTTTAGCCAAGATGGTTTTCTAATTTCAGAAATAGTTCATTAAGAATGCATTGAACAAAAATGATAGATAAATTAACACACATGAATAAAAAAAATTAACTAAGATAGCAATTCAAGACAAAGCAACTTCTAAAACAATAACAAGGAAATCATTTTTTACATCTAAGAGGACACTAACTGAAGGAAAACTATGTCCAAGTTCAGCAAACTTCACTTTTGCAAAAAATATTAGTCATAAATCATATAGTTAACCTTTTATTAGTTGTTTTATGACAGATCTTTATAAAAGACCTTGTCCAGCTTGTTCAAATTTTTCACAAAATTATCATTATGAGTTGAAATATGAGTCTGTTTATTTTTGACACCTTTGTTAAGTATTCCTTCAGACTGCAGTAATGTACAAAATATAATGGTTTCATGTATTATTGACTTTTAAGGTGAGATTTTTTGGCAGAATTAGTTTCTAATAGAAAGCATTTAACGCCTAGAAAAAAACAACCTATTAGAAAAATGCAACTATTAAAAAATTAATAAGCTCATTAATAACAAAAACAATATCCACCAATTTAACAAAAAAGCTTATATACAAGTATTTTAGTAGTTTTTAAAAATAGGATTACTATTAAAAAAGATTTTGACACATATTTACAGAGAAAACATATAACAAAGGGCTGGATATTATAAAATGGTTTTGATAATTCTATCTGAGACAACAAACCAGTTAAAATTTAAGGTGGGATAGACAACATTGTCAAGTCTTCAAAAGATCAAAGTTGAAAAAATCATTAAAAAAAATATGGAATTAGTATAATATCAAGTTTTTTAATGTTTTCAATTGTTTTCTGACTTGTTATTCAATTCATATTAAAATATCATGAACCATTCAATTTCATATTTCTTTATTCAATTCGTTTTAAATTTGGATCAAATTGTTTAACTTATTCTTTTACAGTATGTTTATGTATTACAGGCACCATCAACACAATGATTATAAAATCAGAAAATTCAGGAAAAAGGGTTTTTTTGAATTTCCAAAATTACACCCTTCACTGACAAAATCGAATATTGGAGATTGGCGCACCTAATTGGTGAGTTCTGAACAGGCTATGTTTGTTCCAATTCTGGCCTCAATCGAATGATACAGAACCAGATTATGTCACATTCAAAATGATCCCTTCTTTTTCTTTCTCTCCATTTTGAATTGTCTGAACTTGAAATTGATTCCATGAATTCCGCAAGTGCAGAACTTATTGACCGAGCAGCTCCTAGGTATTAGAAGCTTATTACAAATTTTGAGTCCAAACTGTTCGTTTGATTAATTTGTTTTACATGAGACAGTTTATGGATCATTCTCATGTTTTATATATTCATTAATTCATTTTCTTATCATTAAATGTTATTAACTAAAGAAAGGAGTGTTACTTTTGATTTTTAATGTTAGAGGCAACAATATGTACAACTTCCTTTATGTACAGAATCATTTTAATTAAACTGTACAATTTCATATTTCAATATTCACAATCAAGGAGTTATATTTTTAGCTTCAATTTATTTTTAGTTTATTTCACTGACATTTTAATTTTTCTGTATCTACAGGTATAGTCTTGAAAATTAAATATCCAGTTTTAAAGCCATGTTTGTATAAGCATTAAACCTTACATGGATAAAACATTTCTGTTCATTTCTAATACTATGTAATTTCATCTGAATATTTTTTTAAGGATTCTAAATTCTTGATAGCTTAAGAGGCAATAGATTGCAAAGTGACATCAAGGTGATCTGGATGGGCATCTCACAGCTCTGCATTGGTATCCTCTGCCAAATTTGAGACAACATGCAAGTAAGGTCAAGGGATCAAATTCAACCAGGCTATAAATTAAGGGTCAACACTCTAGCTAGCTTATTCTTCCACACATCTTCAAGTAACAAATCTTGGCGCTGTGCAGCCATATTGGAAAATAGTATCATACTGATTCACCATTTCTCTCTCAACTAATACGGCTCCATTTTTTGAAAGCTCCAACTTCTTTGACGGGTACATTACAAGTATGAGCTTTAAGTCGTAGATTTCTATCATCTGTTAACAAGACTACATCACGATATAGATGAACTGGCGCATCTAGAATTAAAACATTAAAGATCATCATTATCCACATTAACCAAGCTATTATCAATCCCTCAGGCTTCTAAAAGAACAAACAGCGCAACGCCATCCTTTATTCTTAAGAATGAAACAACCATTTTTAGAAAGTTAAATTTATATATTTAAATATTCTTTCTACCAGCTTGTCATTGGGCAAACCCTTTGGAATTGATCTTTCTTGCATTATCCATACCTATTTATATTGGTTTTGCTAAAAGATGACATATCTATGTATACCAGAATTACACACCCTGGCAGTGATTAGAACCCACAGTTACCATTTGTTTAACATAAATAAGCAAATGACAACATTCCAACACTCTAACCAACTGTGCTACAGCTGTCCTCATCCTGTCATAATTATGTAGCGTGTATAGTGTAAAGTAGTTTAGAGTTGATAACAGTATTGAAATCCATATTTTCAAGAAACCGATTCAAAGAAGAAATTAAATGGACATACCTTTTCCTTTGGGCATGAAATCTCTAGCTTTATCTTTACAGTAATGTAAACAGCATGATAGAATGAGATCATCATTGGTACCCTAAAATATATAGCCACCTTTCTTGTATCACAGACATTTTTAAATGCAGCCATCTGATTGGATTGTACACTACCGAATACCCCAAATCATATAAAATAAATGAGCAGTCTTGATTTGATTGTACGGCAATGTACTAAATACTGCTAATCAAAGGTCTCCATTACACACGCAGCAAAATTGTTTGAAGTTCATAAACTGTGGATTTCAAGGGTGAGTCACTTTAATGAATTCATGCTATGATGAAATTTGGTGCCCAGAATTAGGAAAAATAAAGTATATTTCTACAATAATTGCTATTCAAATATTACAGGAACAAAACCTACCGTGGCATCAATTTCTTCACTCCTGAAAGCTATGGTTTCTAAGATAGAACCTTTTGATGTTTGAGCTCTAAGATGTGAATGTTTACGTTGAAATTGAGCCTCTAGATATTGTAAAGCTGTGGTAGCGTGTTGCTGTACCATGGAGGCGTGCTCTTTACTATCATATTTAGCTTCTTTACTTCCTTTAGACAGTCCATCTAACTCATTTATAACTACAAAAACATCAAATACATTGGAGTTTTACACCCTATTCTTCTACAACTGTAATGAGATTCTTGATACTTCTATAGTTCTGTTCTGTAGAAGTTTGACCTAATATTATTTAATGACTGCTTCATTTTTTACAAATTTAAAAATATTATTTTATACCTTTTGCTTTTGACCCAATGTGTCAGAAGGCACCTGATCAAATCTTTTTTTTAACAATCAAAAACACTGTTAAAAGTCAGTATCCCAATGCACTGTGGCTGTACAGTTTGAGGTCACTTACCAACAAGGGGAATAACTATGGTGTATTTTTTACTCTCTAAAATGGAGGCTAGATTGTTAAACTGATCAATGAAACAATTGGTATCAGGAACCAAAAATCTGGGATGAATTTCTAATTCAATCTTCTTATGTCTGTCTTTCTCTAACAGAGCCTGCAACAATACATTGAAAATATGGATCCATTTATATGTCATTTACAACTGGCAATTATTACTTTTCTTATACTGAATGAAAAATTGTGTCTTTTGACAATAATTGGCAAGTTGGAGGATCTAAATCACACTAGATACAGCTAAATGTTGACATAATTATTAATATTAATCAGACTTTATCAATTCACAGCTCCTTAGGAGAATAGTAGACCAAGACTACTTTTTCAGTATGTAATTACAACTATACCTCGACATTTTCTTTATGTTTTGTTTGCTCCTTAACTTTCTTTTTCAGATGTTCACGTTTAACTTTAAGATGGCGGACATGATCTTCATCCCCACTAATAACCTCTATTTCTTCTTCACTTTCAACAATAACATCTTCAGACTATAACAAAATGACACACAATATCAATCAAATAATATACAATAGAGAGCAAATCATTGACTACATCTTAAAGTGAGTTATCCAACTTTTAATTATATTTCAGGATAAAACAATTTAGCATTGAACTAACTTCAAAGTTATTGTGTCCATAATACATTCAATTTTAGGTACCAAACCTGCTTCCAAACATTTATTTGTCTTTTTGAGTTCTGTTATTCCATTTTCTAAAAACTAATTCTGGTACTTATGTCAAAGATAATACTTAAAGCCAATTGACTAACCTCTGAATAGTCATTTTGCTCATCAACAGATTCATTTTCTCCTTCAGTAACGGGTGCTATAGAATAATACTGTTTAGTTTCTACATTATATGATAACATAGGTGGTTCTATACCGCATAGATAATCACTAAATAAACCAAATTTCTCTAGCCTTAAAGCATCTCTCGCTATTTCCTAAAAGATATAAAAAAAAATTACACAATGGTTCTAAATCTCAATTTGACAAATTACAAGCTTTTTACATTCAATCATACCAAAAATTTTAATGTTTTGAAAGTCACTTTGTGGAATTATTGCGATCAAATATCAAACACAACATTTAAAAAAACATTTTTGCTCAAATGTGCATGAAATTGAAATTTTTGCTAAAGGACATTCCCTTATTTAATAAGTTCAAAAATAGGTGAACATAAACGGATCTTATACATATTCAAATGCCATGTAGATCTTGTCACTAGATGGGTAGAAAATTTGGTCAAAATCAGAGAAAGATAGATAATTCAACAAAGAAAAGTAATTGATTTTAACAATACCTTATCAACAGTAGAATGAACAAAACAACTTTCTACAGGTGCTCCTAGCATAGGAACAAATCCTGCCATTAAATTATCTTCATTTAATATAATAGCATCACAATTTTCTTTCTTATGTCTATAGAGTTTAATATGGGATGTATCAACATCTTTCAATATATTACACAGATCAGCTGTACATTTCCAGGGATCTATCAGTGGTCTACAATACATAAAAAAAAACACATAACATGCTTGAAGCAACTTTATCAATGACAAAAAATACAACATAACCATCATAGCGATAATATCAAAATATCAGATCAGTTACTGAAGGAAGAATGATATCCGCAAACTTTAAATTCTTCAATTTAATTAATTGGAACCCCTGCTTACAGTTTTCTCAAATCAACACAATTTTCAATGTAATTAATTGTTTGTTATGAATTCCCATCTGTTTTCATTTCAAAGTATTGACTGAAGCAAAAAATGCTTGAAAATATGTCTGTTTAATGATATTCTAGATCAGGAAAATAAAAAAAAACTTTTGTGGTCAAAATTTAATTCTGTCCATTAGAGGTCTATAAAACTCAAGTGTATTATTCCTTGAAATCCATTTCTAAAGTATCATGATAATTAAATAGTTTCTCGATTCCTAACCTTCCACAAGAAAGTCTCTCTTACCCTACGTCAGGAGGTCTAGGAGTTGGTGCAGGATTCCACAGACCAGAATGACACATCATCCAATCAGTCCAGACTTTTAGACCAGGTGTCAACTGATGTAAATCTTCATTCATTAGACTAGCTGGGTACTCTGAAGACTGGAGGTGGGTAGCCATTAACTGTGAACATCGGGTAGCTAACAGACCGAACATATCCAATCCCATCTGAACAGCATAATCTTGTAATAATGATCTACAACTATCCTCTAGTGATTCATCTATAAATACAATCATAAATATTGTAATATCATATTCATATCTCATATCCTAATGTCTTATTATAATGTCATATTGTACTGTCATATTGTACTGTCATATTGTAATGTCATATCGTAATGTCTTATTGTACTGTCATATTGTACTGTCATATCGTAATGTCTTATTGTAATGTCATATTGTACTGTCATATTGTACTGTCATATTGTAATGTCATATTGTAATGTCTTATTGTAATGTCTTATTGTAATGTCATATTGTAATGTCTTATTGTACTGTCATATTGTAATGTCATGTTTGAGATATTCATAATCAAAATGATAAATCTAACTTGGTAATATATATATATATAAGCATCATAATAGTAAATGCAGATTAACATTACAATGAATGGCTAGAATGGTTGCAATCAATGATTATCCTATTCAGGCATCATTTCGAAAAAGATTTGGCAATGTTAGTTGTGTTTCAAAAACATGAGTCAAAAACAAGAAAACCAAACCCTGGCACACCTGGCAATATAAGTTTTGTATACCTTTTAAAGCTGTATTTTCAATAGCAAACATATTTATAGCCATCAACTGTATTAATCTATGACTACTGATGACACATGGTGAATGATGTAATAAAACATCAAACTCTTGTAACATCTGACTACAACTCTCTGCAAATAACTCCATTCTGAAACAAGATGTGAAATGTTACACCCACTATGGCAATGGAATAGTTCGGTCGATAGCAAGATTGATTGTCTTCGTCTTCAAGGCAATTAGGCGCTGTTGGTCTGAATCCTCCTCAAGGTATGAATAGTCCTGGTGTTGGCTTTTACCCCTTACCCTATACAGCAGTATCAGACTGACAGGACCGACAAGTTTCTTGTCCAAGGATTGCACAAACCATTAAGCACAGGATGTTGATTATTTGCCTTGTAATAGAATCATGAATATAATTCCTAAAAAATGTCAACTGATTAGTGTCTACCTACCGATTAAATGCAGAAATGCTAGTATGCTAATTATCAAATTCAAAATAAATGGATGGTAAAAACACTTTTTGTCAATTAGTCATACAACCTAGGTTGCCTTTGTTAAATAACCACCTTCATTTAGTGGCCAATTCTCAACATACCTTGACCGCTTGCTTAATAGATTGACCGTACTTACCCAATTTTAGTAAATAATTTTCCATGTACTATCAGAAAACTTAATACAAATCTCTTATTCAACTGAAACATAATATGTTTAGTGATAAAAGAAATTGTATGAAACCAGTCATTCAACATTTCTTTTCATTGACATTTTTGACAGCATTTTTTAAGTTAAAAGAGCACAAAATAAATGCTGTACAAAATGTTTTAACCCAAATATTTAGTCAGACTATGACCTCAAATTTTTTCACACCAGTTGACCATTGCCATGAACAAATTTCATTGCTAAGCATTTCGTCTAAAAATAGATTAGTTGAATACCCCTTTCCTTACCTCTATTCCAGAGAGTTGTGACAAATCTTCTTCCTGTGAATCTACGTCTGCTTGATTTTCTGTACTACTGCCATCTGATGAGATCCATATTTCTATACGATGTTTATTAGTTTTCTCATTCTGTTCCATTTTCTTTTTCTTCAACTCTTTTTCTTCTGTCTTCTTTCTCTCCACAGTTTCAGACTGAAATGGAGATTTCTGATTGTATTTTGGAATCTAGAGGATTCATTTGTTACAGTTGATTTATTTTAACCTGAACTACCAGATGGACACTAAGCCTGTGATCATTGTCCCATCTGACTGGCCAGATACTTTTTCCATGTTAACCCTTTTTGATCTGCATTACTGAGAGGGAGAAACCGTGTTAAAAAATTTGATCTTGTTGGGTTTAAACCCTCGTCCATTATGTTAGCGAGCAAAGGTAACTCACTGAGTTACTGCAGCTCCTATTAGCTGGTGAAAGCAGATATGAATACATGAACCATTGCCTATATGTGTTATCCAAATACATGTCAAAACGAGAAGAGCAACTGGCTATTGGACTTTTGCACTCATCTTTGGCTTTCCACACACGTTTTAGACTTAAAAGCTATCATCAGAACAGCAATTTCAATTCTTCTAAAGAAATGACTTACCTTCTTCCTGGCCTCATCAAATAAAGACATCAAACTTTCTCTAGCTGTTATAAATGGATTACTAGCAGCTAAACTTCTCATGTAATAATATACAGCATCTAATTTTCGTCTCTATATCATAATACAAAAAGATGTGGTTAGCTTTGAAAATTCAAATATGTTAAATCACACCAGTGAGTTCAAGACAATGGTCTTTTTTTTTAACATTTGGGTGAAATGAAATGTTTTTACTTTTTTTACTTTGTTCTTTTCTGCTTCTTTTTTCCTAAATATTTGTGACAGAGTGGGAATGTGTCCTCTCATCCATCAACACTAAATTATTTTGAGGGTGCACGCAAAGTTACCTTCTATTGATCTCACTGGTCACTTTTTATACAACAGAAATATAACTGGATAATTAACAGGAAGAGACCTGAAGGCTGCTGCAACCATAATCATTAAGCATGTATATCAGACTCGCAGAATTATAGTTCAAATTTTGAAATGAAGCACAGACTGAAACAATCAAAATATAAGGTTTGTTATACTTACTGTATAAAGAGCTAGAATAGCTAGTTGATTGTATGGACGGCCATTTTTAGGAGCTAATTGTTGAGCTTTCATATACCAACTGTAACATAAACATATCAGACTGTAAGGTCAAGCCTGGTCAAATTTAACCTTACAACCCTTGCCCTACCCATTTCTTCAGACCTGGTATCTTCACTAATTAAGGATATGCATTTAATGTGGTTTAACATGGGAGTTCATTCAGCATTCAGATCCATTTTTAGGTAGATACTTTTTGAGAATTTTCACCATGACAAAAGTCAAATTAGGTATTTATACAAAGCTCATAAAAACATCATAAGACATTCTACAATATCCCTGTGCTCTAAAAAGTTTCACAACATAGTCAAGTAATAAGCTTTCTCATTATTCGTACATTTCCATTGTTTAATCTAAGTAAGAACGTAATTCATGTGATTGAGGTCATGTTGTTGTTTGTAGATAGATATGGAAGTAGTTAACTGACTAATCCATGCCTAATTTTAAAATATTTTCTGGATATCAAAACATCCTACCTCCTAGCACGACCATAATTTGTAGTTTCATTAGCTTGTTCTCTATATCGTGATATATCCCCCAAACATATCAACAATTTCTGTGATATCATTAAACATAGTTTAACTGTTCTGTTTAAATTCTCTGGAGGCAGTTGATTTGAATCTAAAAATGTCTCTAAATCAAAACTATACACAGACTGCATTCTCTTTACTAAACCTTCAAAAAAATCTGTGCCCTGAAACATAAATTGTTGGAACTAGCAATATTATGTCCTTTCTTTCTGCTACAGATTTAAGTTTTTACAAATAGTGAGAGAAATTTGGCCCACTCTTTAAATTTCCAAGAGTTTTTTCCGTTTATTATATCTTTGGTTTGAGTGCAAACATTGTACTCACTAAGCTTTCCTGTTCCTACACCTTGCACCAAGATGTCCAAAATCTATTTATGATTGATAGAGATGGTCTTCAATGAAACAAGCTTCAAAAGCAACCTTACATTTTCACATTTGCCAAACATGCAGCAAGTTTTAATAAATTTTAATATAGTTGACTAACTTCTTGTAAAATCTGTAACAATTGAGTTTTCATATTTTCATCATGTTCTTCTGTTAAATTTTTTCTGAATACTTCAATAACTTGATAATAGGCTGATTTCCATAGCAACTGTTCTATATTATGTTTATTGGCTAATGATGGATCTAATAACAAAACCTGTTGAAGACGACCTTTTAACTCATGTCTACAATGAAAACGATAAAATAAATATGTAGTTTAATAATATATGGCATGCCCATACAGCAAATTTGTTTCTTTTAATATATAAATATAAAATCATTAGCAATGTGCACTCGGCTAAGACTAAGACTTAGACAGCGAAGTTGACAAATCTCACTGCTGAGAGGCATTAGGCATGCTTAAATTGGATGTCAGAATTGAGAGTTCCAATGATTTTCAGTTATTTTTTGGCAATCAATGGGTATTTGAAAATTCCAAGTAACATCGATGATTTTACCTCATTCTATGTAGATTTCTCCATCCTTCTTCACCATTGATTCTACAAGCTACTATATGTGATAGTTGATTATCAATCTGTAATGCCTCGTGTAAAAGTTGTTGAGCTACCACCTGACATCTATGTTTGGACATTGTTGATATCAACTGATCAAAATCAGAATTACTGAAATAAGATAAGATAAATAATTATTGAATCCTTACTCAACTAGTAACACACATATAGGATCAAAAGTTACCAGTTCATCAAGAGAGAGCACCTTTTTTCTGAAGTTGTTTAGTTACATATTCTTTGACTTAAATATGAATGGGGTTATATATTAGTTGATTGGTTGATATTCAACACAAATGCAGACTTTAGCTCGACAGACATTTTTGACTTAAAACTTTTTTATCGTTAAATTTTTTCATGTCTTTCATGGCAATTGTTGAAACCTGCAGAAAAACACAAATGAAACTAGATCAGCATTTTAATCATATCACTCAAAAAGAGACAACAGACATCATCTGGAAATATTATAATACTTTAACATACCTATGAGAATAAGGTCCTTCAAATCTCCCATCATCCTGTTGCTGTTGTTGATTGTGAAATCCATCTGACTGGTTGCCATGGTAACCATGTGAGTTATCTTGGAGGTTATAGTTACCATAACTATAGGTATCACTATCAGTTGGACTAGAGGCAGCATCACCTGTATCTTTGAACTTTAGTTTTGAGTTGGTGATCACAATTGGTTTATTAGGGTTATTTGGATCATACAGAGTTCTTTGACCACCTTTGCTCCTTCCCTGTCCTCGACCTTGACCTCTGTTGCTGTCTCTATGAATGTCTCTTTGTTGTCTGCCACGACCTTGACCTTGATATGATTGAGGTCTATCTGCTTGTCTATAGTCTGAAGAAACACTGTTGTTAGATGTCTGTATCTTCAGCAGACCACCGCTATGTGGTTGAGGAGACAACGGTTCCTGTTTATTTCTTTGTTTATTTTCGTTTGACATTTGAACTTGTCTTTCATTCCGACCTAATGTTATTTTCAAGTTCAAATTTTCACTGTCACCTGAAGGATGCCTGACTTTTGGACCAGCAGAAGAATGGCGTTTTCGATTTCGTCTGCCCCTTCTTTCACCTGGCCAATTATCATCATCTTGGTTACCAGCACTACTTAAACTAGAGTCTCTACTACGATTACTATTTCTAGAACTTTTACTGTTTCTTCTCCGATCCTTCTTTCTGCCTCTATAGTCATTTCTGGGTAAACTTGAATATCCTTTAGGATGTTTGTGATCATTAGTCTTCTCTGGTTCTTGTGGAATCTCCAGATCTGGCGGTGGATAGCCAGCTACACAGCTCTCTAGATATTCATTTAATTTCTGAGCTTCATTAGAAACTTGTTGGGATAATTCTCTTTCTACTTCAGCTCCCCAATCTAAAACTCTTTGCATGGCAGCTTCATGCTCTTCATCATCAAAATTATCAATACTCAACTCGCTACTGACACTCATATCACTGCTGAAACTACCAGCTCTGTGACGTGAATTTGAAAATTTCTTGGCTTTCTGCTTCTCTCCATCTATCTTATCTCGTTCTTTTAACATTCTCTCTGTGATGCCTTTCACCTGAAATTTCCTATCGTCACGTCTTTCTGTATATCTTCTTGCGCCTGAGTCTCTCTGTGAGTTAGCATTCCTATCTCCTCTATAGTAGCCTTCATTTCTTTCATAACCCTTTTCTGAGTATGAATCACCATCTTGGGAGGAGGCTGAGTTTCTTCTACGATTCCTACCATAATTATCTCTGTGGAACTCTCCTGGCTTTGGACTAGAACTTCTGCGACTATTTCTTCTTGGTTGGTCATTCCTATTGTTGTACTTATTACGTTTTGGAAAAGTATTTGATTTTTCATTTTCAAAATGGTGATCTGGCTGACTATCAGGGGTCTTCACAGTCACCTTAATATCTCCAGAAGTATCTTTCATATTGATTCGTCTGTGTGTTGGTTCCTTGTTGTCCCAGGGTATACTAGAAGTTTTAGATGGAGATCTTGCCCAAGATAATTCTGTTTCATTTTTAACAGGACTAGACAGAGCAGAATGACTTTGACTTAAAACAGAACGCTTCAAATTGGGTGAATCTGAACCTGAATAATGTCTTCTTGAAGTTCGTGGACTGTAAGTGTCTTGACTAGTAATGCTAATCTTCATATTGTCAGTCTCAGTAGGTATATCCATATCCCAATTTTCTTCTAGTTTTTTATCTTCTTTTTCTAAAAGTCGACCTCTTGGAACATAAACTTTAATGTCAGGTCTTTTCTTTCGTCTGTAGTCTGATATGGAACCTCTGTCAGTATTGTCTCCTTCTTGAAGTCTGTTGTCCTCAGCTTCTGCAGGGGAATCATGACTCATTTCTAGAGACTGAATATTTTTAGTAATTTCTGTGAAACTTCTCTCCATGCTATTTTCCTTGCTATCAATATCTGTTTGGTTATCTTGGCTTGGTGACATTACTTCAGGATCCCAATCTGTTTCACCAACAAATTTTATGTCTGTGTTTTTATTATTCGGTAGTCGTGATCCACCTGGTCTGTAAATTTGTTGGGCAGGTCGTTTAACCCTTGAAGGCCGTTTTTCACTTTCATCTTTACTTGCCTTAGATCTTTCAGCTGAAAAGGATATATAAACAACGCAATCACTTACTTGTGTCTGACTATAAATTCAAGTCTAAGCTTATAGCAACAGAAAAGTTTCATTCCTTATCAATATTTGAAGTCTGTTGTAAGTCAAATGAGCTTGCCAAATACATTGCTTTAGACATTGCCAATATAGTACCATATAAAAGCTTGCCTACATTCAGGGCAAATTTGACCGTCTCCTTAATATCAGGCAATTTATTTAGCGTTTAAAGCTGTTCTACTCCTAAACAAGAACATTGATAACAGTTGAAAATTGATTTATTGGGGAAATCCCATGAAAGTTGTTATCTCTTCAGCCACTTTCAGTTCATTTAGTTTTTTAGTTCTCAATAATACTATTCAATAAATGATGTTATCTTCTTTGAAGTTTGTGACTACCTTAAACAATGTCCTATAACAATGACACTTCTGCTAATAACTGGGGTCTAGCACCCTGACACAACTGTTACCCTTAGTTTCTGTTATATTACTTTCATTTTCTTCATTGTCTGTCAAAATCTTATGATCAAGAGATCTCAAAAAACATCAAAATCAACAATGCATGCAGTTTTATTGGCAGTGTTCAAACTCCCTAAAATCATCAACAATTAATAAGCTACAAAATATAAAGATTTCATTCTACCATTTCGCTTAGTTGTGACGCTATTTTTTATATCTTCGTATGTTATTCTCACTACTTCTCTTTTCGAAGCCATTTTCTTTTTAATTCACGATTTTTTAACCTCCCTGACAGAGAATATTATTAAAGGGTAACAACTCTTGTATTTGGATGTGTTCGAAACCTTTGTTGTGGATTGAAGAGAACAGCATTATCAAATAGAAACATCTTCTTTATGAAAAGAGAAAAGAAAAAAGACGGACAAGTCTTAGTAAATCTTAGCAAGTTCAAGAAAGTGTAGTTCCTCATATATTTGGTTCCCACGTTCATGGAACGTAGTTATTAATCGTATGTAAGAATTATATATTTTGATGGTTAATTTTTGGGGGTGTATTTTGCATTTTAAGCAAAATTTTAGAGATGATATGTTGTAAATTTTCAATTATGTGAGCCGAATGAATTGGGATTTACGAATCTTTAGTGAGATTCTGCTCTATTCGTATGATACGAGCGACACGTGTGAAAGAGAGAACATGTTCGAGTTCGCTCTTAGAGTACACCCCCATTTCAGAGTTACTCCCCTTTAATCACCGGTCGATGACAGAGAAAGAAAGCCGCTGTATTTTATATTATAAACAAATTAAACTCGAAAAGAATGGATGACGGAGAAGATATCTATGTCGAAAACCCGACATTCCGGTCAGCATATCCGATGGAACCATTACATTATGGAAAAAGACTTAGATGGGACTTCAAAGTCAATCTGATTGGTGAAAAAGTTGTTGACCCGTTGATCCACACATGTGAAACTTGTATTCAACCAATTTTAAGTTATGGAAGAATGATTCCTTGTAAACATGCCTTCTGTTTAGACTGTGCCAAAGGCGCCGGAAAAAGGTGCCCCAGATGTAAAGAATCTGTCACAAGAGTAGAACAGTCACCTTTAGGAAGTGTATTCATTTGTACATTCAATGGACAGAAACAATTGGCAAATGGTTGTCGCAGAACATACCTTTCACAGAGAGACCTAAATTCACATGTTGCTCACAGACATCTCCAGAATCTAAAATCATCACCGGGTGATGGTGCCAAGTCAACTTCTACTAGAAACCCTGTTCAAGATCCTGGTGCCACACCTCGTCCAGTTGAGCAGCCTGTATTTAACCCTGGTGCTGCAGGTTTACTGCAGTCAGTTAATGCTTTATTAGGTCACCTGACACCTCAAATGGTACCACAACCTATTCGTAATCCTGTTTCTCAACAAGCCATACCTAGATTGCCAATGGTTCAGCAACCAATTGCTTCTACAACTATAGAAAGTTACCAAACTTCATCCATACCAGTTATGTCAACTAGTAGAAATTTGATTACTGTACCCATACAAGAAGAACAATATAGACACCCTGGTGCATTCCCTGCTCCTATTGGTGCAGTTCCTGGTGGATTTCCAGGACAAGTGAATCCTCTTGCCCCAATGCAGCAATTCAATTCATCAGCGCAAGTGTCGTCATCTCAGTATCCCCCACAAATCAGTATGGCTGGTGCTCATTTTACGACTGCAGGGGTACCTCATCCACATCATGTACCACCACCTCAAATAATGAGTGGACAAAATCAACCAAGATTTTCTAGTCCACATCAACCTTTTGATGATAAACATCCCCCACAGTTCAATCAGCCTGGTGGAAGTCCTAGGTTGCCTTGGAACTCGGGGTCAAGACCGCCCGGACCAGTTCCCCCTACTCAAAGACCTCATGGTGAAAATTCATCTTATAATCAATATTATTGATCAAGTTGCTATGTAGAGAAAATTATTTTTGATTTAGACCTATTGATGAGCCTGTGAATAATAATTATTTGGATGTTCAACATGTTACATTATGCTTATAAAAAAAAAATAATAATATTAGGTGAAAAACAGTGTTTTATTGTCAGTCAAGCAAGTACTGAGAATATGTAAAACAGTTCACTTAAGGTGCCATCACACCATGGCGATTACTATTTGCGAAAAATTAAAGTAGTCAAGAGTACCAAATGCAACTCACGAATCATTTGCATGAGAGTTGCTTTTGAAACTCATGATCGATATTCTTATTTGCAACCTGTGATACTATGGTGTGAGATCCCTTGGGGTTCTCAGAAGTCAATAACTTCTATTAGCCTTTATAGGAAATAAATTAAACTGAGCTTGAACACGTTGAAAATTGAAGAAAATTATGAGGAACTAAACAATGCATATTCAGACTTAATTGAAAAATTGGATGAAATTTAATAGCATTCATTGTGTTATGTGCTCAAAGTTGCTAAGATGAAGTTACATATTGTCTAGTTATCTTTAAATGTTACTTTATCATTTACATAATTAAAGATAATCTACATGAAATATATCACCTTCATATGTATCACATTTCTGATGCATTTTTATCTGTGAAGTGTATGATATTGTATTTAAATTTCTTTGTAAATTTATCATAGTATGTATCATCATTGTAAAATATAGGCAATTGCTAAATGGTTGTTTTCTTTCATAATTCCAGTTTAGACTGAAACCCAGGTCTCTAAAATAAATTGGAGGGTACCAGTACTGAAAAAAGAACTAAGTATTTGTGATAACTATTTAATCTTGGTCTCTAACAATATCTGAACAGATAAATGCAGATGTACATTATATGGCACACTTTATTAACAAATAAATTTGATATCTTTGATTTTGTAAGTCACTCCAGTTTACACATAGTCTGCATTATCATGAGCCAATCAACACTTCCAAATCTTCAGAAGTCCTATCAAAAACATTAATCATTTGGTGCAATATTCATGTAATTTCTAAACACTGCATAAAGAGCATTTTCTGATAATAAAAATGTATCCATTACCTCTGAATCAAAGTCATTAGATAATGTAACAATTTTTACAGTAAACCACAAATAATAGGTTGCTTTAAACAAATATCTTGAACAATTGAAATAAAAGAAATTAAGAGAAAAGCACTATTTGAATGTGCAACAACAAACATAAAAATTTGATCGTAACCAAACCACTGCACCGCTCATAACTATTTCCATCAATTTTGTGACAAATATTCTCTTTACCAGCACATATCAACAAAATGCTATATAATATTGTTGGACAAAGAAGTTTGCACACATCACAGTACAACTCAACTCAAACCATATCATGAGCAATTAAGTTTATTTTTAAGTACTATCAATAGTAATTGAAGCTAAAGCCCACTTATAATTCATTCACCACAAGGTACTACAGGAACCTATTGCGGTTCAGATCATTAGTACTTGGGTCTTTGCATTTATATTAACTGCTCAGTATTGACAGTTTGAATCATACTAGGATATGCCATTGCTGACTATGCCTTTACATAGATAGCAAATTACACTTCATTGACTAATCTGCATAGATACCAACTTAACAATTGCAATAAGAACATCAAAATGAACATTTGAAATCAATAAAGGTAATGCCAAGTTCACAAATATAAAAATTCTACTTCACAAGCATGGTGAAATTTGACTTTAAATTTCACCTCTAAATATTAAATTTTATTTTTTTTTGAGTAGCGGTTTCTTGTGTACATCTCATCATTCATTGTTCAAATTTTTACCTGCTGTGAATATTCAGAATACTTGACACTTTCTTTAATTTGAAAACTAACAAAGGCAACACCTTTAAAGATGTTCATGTTCAGACCTTATATGATATACTATGTTCATTGTTCAGACCTTATACTATTAGGTAACCCTGTTTTTATGCTGTAGGTTAACGCTGAATGAGTGCACCAATATTTGCCATGTTGACCTATCATCCATCAATTATAACATGTTTAAGATCAAGTATCTGCAGTATATCAGATCAAGTACTATTCTATTTAATCGTTTTTAAATGTTTAAAAGTGATGAAATTATAAAGTATGTACAATATTTGTTAGACACCACAATATGTTAGGAAATCTCTCACTGATAAATACATAGAGCACTAATTTCAATTCCTTGTATTTCCTCTTTAATTCTAGAATTTACTTGTTGACAAAATCTTCACCCTTCTTGATGTTATCTTTTAATTCTGGTATGGCAGCCTTTAATAATTCAGTTTCATAATCATTCAATTTACCCAATCCTAAATTTTGTGATATTCCCTCTTTCTGAAATTACAAAAGAAGGTTGTGTGGTAATATGTAATACAGAAAACAAACTTCCTGAAAACCTCAGTCAAGTGATCAGTTGCGGTCCATCAATACCTTAGGACATGATGTACCCCTAGTGAAACATTCATTCATTGCAATACAATACAGTATCTAAAAGCATCTGACATTAAATTACCATTTTTTTATAGTTTTTTTTATGAAATATCAATCTGTTCATTAAATGCAACAGTACTTTAAATTATAATTGAAATGTTAAAATCAGAGGGGATTTCTTCACACATTATACCTACCCCTAATGCAATTGGTGTGGCAAAATAAGATGCATCAGTTAGACTTGATCTAACATAGGCACATTCTATTTTACCATCAACACCAGCCATAGCTTCTAATAATGAGAAACAGAATTGAGCAGCAGCATATGCCATGGACAAAGTAGCTGATCCCTGAAAACAAAAGGCACAATCTATGAATCAGATATGTAAAAACAAACCTTTAATTACACTGCATATTAAGATCTACAGGACCACTGTATTACATTTGTAAAAGAAATGAAACCAGGGTTAAACTCCCTATATACACATTGTGAATCTTTCAATATGCATTTGAAAAGACTAAACATGCCATGCTTCTTTTATGAGTTCAGTCTTTCATTCAATCTCATAGTTAAATTCTGAAATACATGTAATACTTACAGCACCAGCTTTGGCTTCAACAACTTCTGTACCTGCATTTTGGATTCTGACAGTAAGCTTGGCTCGTTCATCCTTATTAAAAATCGTAAAGAATTAATGCAAATGACACTTGATAGTCTTGTATCCTCCTTAACCTAATAACAACTACTGTGTAATACTTCATCTAATTGGCCCATAAATATATGTCGGATGTTGGATTGTTCAGAATGTCATTACAAACCCAAGTGATCATTAATATTAATGAATTTACAATTATACTAATTTAGGTTCTGTGAGTTCAGATCCTCAAGGTAAGAAAAATTCTGATTCCTGTGTAAGTGTTTCCAGAAGTCAGTCCGGGTATCAGCTTTCACCCCTTACTACTACTCAGGAATCATGACAACAATATAAAACCTCTACTTACTGAAGGGAAAGAGACTGGAGGGTTAGCTTGTGACATGACAGGTATAATAGTTATACCACTATGACCACCAATAACAGGTACATTAACTTTACTCACATCTAAACCCTAAATATAAAGCCAATATCAATAATACACTTTTATTAAACATGTAATGATAAAGATCTACCTCTGAGTTGTAATATTATCAATTGATGCATTTCAAATGATAGTCAACAGTTAAATTTTTGGAAGAGTATCAAGAAAAGAGGTGTAATTTTTTTTAGAAGCTGTGAACATCATTACCGATCAGCTTAGATAAATCATTCCAGTTTCTGTTTATAATTTCATACAATAATGCCAAACTTGTTCTTGGTGAGCTTTCTTGAAGCAATAAATCTAGGTCTGATATCTTACAATGTGAAAAAAGTTTGGAGTCATCTAATTGCAGACAGTCCCTCTTTAAGAATCTTAACTGGTTCACATTACCTTGGCTTCAGCTACAAATGTGTTTGATCTCACAGTGTCTAATGTTGTTACTCCAAATATTCTTTTGGCAGCATCCTGTTCTTTAATACCATTTCTTTTGTACATTTCAAACGCAATAGGAACTGTTGAATTGACCTAAGTAAAAAGAGTTATAAAAATTAAATATCATTAGAAACGACACAAAAAGCAAAAGTTAATATATAACAGAATAAAGGTTACAACTGTACTCTTCGAAACTTTATCAACAATTTTTACTCTGCTTAAAGATACCAGAGAATAAACAGGCTTACTGGATTAGTAATAATTCCCAACATGGCTTTTGGACAAACTCTAGAACAAGCATCAGCTAAGTCTCGTACGATTCCAGCATTAGTATTAAATAAATCATCTCTCGTCATTCCTGTTAAAAAATATTTTTTAAATAAAGTAATATTATGTACAATAACAGAATATTTTCACTGTCAACATAGTGCTCTCCCTATCAATTGTGTATATATTACCACCCATGATCATGAGCTTTTCATAAACAGTTTTTTTAACAGTTTTAATAATGCTTTTTCAAATATCCAGCTCATCACAAAACATTAACTATCTGGTAACGAGCAAATTGACCAACAATATGCGGGCAAAAATGACTAGAATTTTTGAATCAACTTCCTGTAGCCAAATTTACCTGGTTTTCTGGGAACACCTGCTGGGATTAGCACCACATCTGAACCTTGCAAACATTTCTCTAACTGGTCTGGTCCCATAAACCCTTCAACTTTTGCTCTGGTTTCAATGTGGCTGAGATCTGCTGCTACACCAGGTGTGTGAGCAATATCATATAAAGATAAACGTGAAATCAATGGAGAGTTCTTCAATAGAAGAGACAATGGTTGTCCAATTCCACCACTAGCACCAAGAACACAAACTTTGGCATCTTCCTAAAAATTCATAAATATTTACTCTTTCATCAAAATTGAAATCAACAGAAATAATGTTTTGAATGTTACATAATCTTATAAATACCAGTTCATGCTCAAGTGTTCAAATTAAGTTTGTAATATTTTAGAAAAAATCAAGAGCAATAACTCAACATCCCCTTGTCAGAACATCAAATTTATCTGACATCTTGTTACAGATTATAGTAACATCTGACTCTAACAATACCAAAAATGTGTAGTCTTAGTTAAAGTTCAATTACAGCAGAATAAAAAAAGTGCAACCAGTTGTCTGTCTTATAAAAAGTTTCCAGAAAACAATTTGTTTTGCCTCCAAATCAAATATGATATTGACAGAATAACTTTAGCAAGTCTCTTTTAGAATAAAATGAAAAAAAATGTTGTTTAGGCGCAAGGAGGTATTTTTGTTCACTATATTGAATGGGAAAATGATGCAATTAATGGGAAATAAGTCACTGAATTTAGTTCAAGTATGTCAAAGATAGGAACAAGTTCCTCTGATGAAGGCAAGGTGACACTTCCGACTTGGAACATGATGAGGATGTTTAATGTCGTTAGTTAGTTAGTAATACTAATAGTGTTGAGTTTACCAGGGAAAAAAATTATGTAATGATAATAGGCTATTAATAAATCATGCCTCAGAATTAGAAAGTAAAATGGAACTCTTGATCTTAATATTTCAAGGAATGTTATATTTAATTCAAGATCAAATGAGTTGCTCCAGTCTCAGGTTTTACGTTGTAATTGACTCAGTCAGGTTGGCAGTGCGTGGTGGCAGCTATCGCAACGTTTTCGTGCAACTTTTTATCCTTGAAAATTAATTCTTTTGTCTAGGAAAAACCGCAACTTTATCCACTCTTTTCTGACTTTAACTTGACGAACAAACCTTTGCGTGGGTCGAAAATGATCGTCTTGCGACAATGAGAGTATTTCGGTAAATTGCAGCGAACATTTTGTAAGAGGCTCGGAGTCAAAGCACCGGTTGTAGAATTAATGGCGAAGCTGAGGAAGTGACGTATATTTGACCTTGACCCCTGTGCTTTTCATATTGGTACGCACTTGACAACGTCAAAGAATCTTATTTTAAAGAAATTTTAAAGGATCAATTCTGATTAATATCAAATTATAAAAAAAATAGTAATTATTCTTTGAAGAACTCCAATTTAGTAGCCAGGTTATGTGATTTTTTATGAATCTATTGCAGATATAAAGAGGACTCCATGTCAGATCGAATTGTTATTTGTTTACAAAGGCGGTGATCAGAGCCATTGAAAGTAGCAAGTGAAAGTTGATATATTGTGCAGAAAAATATTTTCACGACTTTTTATCATAATTAACTTGATCTATTGACACTGGCAGCATTATGGATGGTTTAAAACTTTTAGAGCCAAGTGAATTATACAATATTCTACAACAATCCACTGTTTTTTCATGTTTAAGTGACCCCAACTATCTTCTTTTAATGGGTAAGTCCAGAAAAAAACTAGGAATAGAAAATAGAAATAAATTTTTATGGTACTAATATCGGAAACATAATACCTGTGAATAAAATTATTTTGATTTGAGAGGATATCATTAATTGATCTATCTTGTTTGATAATCAATAAACTTGAGCTTGAACGTGTGATCTCCAAAATAGATGCACACAGTTGTTTCAGGCTTTTAAAGTGTGTTCATATGTCTAACTAGCATTAACAGTGTTATGTTAAAGGAGCTTAAAGTTTTTGGAGTCCAGAGCATTACTTGCATAACTGGATTTGTAATATCATTTATTTATGTATTTATCTAGATGCAAGGAAGAAGAATGAATACAATGAAAGTCACATTATAACAGCAAAGAAAGCACCGAAGGTACTGGTATTGGATATTTTGTTCTTTATTTCCAAAAACTGTTGTATGTATATCAGACCAAAAACAGCCTCATGTGTTACCTCTATGATGTACAGTGGTCATATTAGTTAAATTTTGAAAAAGGCTATAAGATATTATTTAAGCCTTCAAATTTCAAATTAAAGGCAATTTCTAAACCTTTAACCATGATTTGTTAAAATATTATAGCCTTTTTAAAATTTGACTTATTAAGTCTTATTATTGAGGCTCAAAATGGCTGTGAACTACATTCATGTGTGTTTCTTCCATGTAAGAACCATACGTATTTCCGTATGGCACTGGTGAATGGGTATGTTGGTCTATCATAATGCTTCATAAGTTTCATATCATTTTATCAAAAACAGCCTTATGTTTGACCTTATGATTTACACGAGTATGTTTGTCTATCCACTAGATTATTTGATAGCTTTATAAGTTTGAATATATTTTTTTTTTCCTGTTTGGGTTTCAGAATGAAGAAGATCAGTTTATGATACCCTATGATGCAGAGTTAGAATGTAAACAAACAATAGTTGTCTATGATAGCAATACAGAATCTTTGAAGGAAGAAAGTAAGTTGATGTGATATGATTTTCAGTGAGGATATAATTATGATGGTTTCTTAATAGACTTAATGGGCCTCACCTCAGAGAGACACCTCTCATTTTTGGCCTCCTCCTCAGATATTTTCTATATATGCCTCTGGGAAAGGATCAAACAGCAGAGGTTTGGCCAAGGAACAGCTGGTAAAAACGATCCTGGTGAACCTTAGTTTTGATTATCCTTGAAAACAATGGTTATTCTCTCTCACTCTTTCTTCCTTTCTCTTATTCTTCTTTTTGTAAATGTGAAATGGAAGGCAACAGACATAATTAACTGATTGGAAAATGGAAATGGCTAATGATATAGGTACATATATACATCACTCCAAATAACTCCAAATGACTTGTTATATTGGAATGAAAAAATGATTACAGAACTTTTACATAACACTGAATTGACTAATTCTAGCTCCTGCTACAGATTATGCCAAGTTGTTGTGGAAGTTAGGAAGTCGTAATGAAGTCAATATTTTAAAAGGTAGGGTATGGATTGATTAGTTTAAACAATGTATTCATTCATTTTAACTATACAACTGTATTGATTAATACAGTGACTTATGTAGATGTATATTATCAGTATTTTAAACTAAAGATTTCAAATGATATACTGTATATTTGTGAATATTATGCGCAACATGTAAGCTTATAATGTACACCCCTACCTTACACTCCAGGCTCCAGTATATCTGAGGAAATCTCTGTCACCGTAAATAATGCTTGCCCTATTTGGCATAACGCATAACACTGTGTATAATGCACATCCCCAGTTTTGCAAGCCCTTGTAATAGTAAAATACCATGCACAATTGACATAAATATACAGCAAGCGGTATACTGGTAAATAGTAGTATATTCTATTCAATTCAATTCAATTCTATATATTTTCATAAAGAGACTCTTATCTCACTATATGTTCTATCCCGATTTCCTATTTGGAATATGTTGTACCTTTCATTTCAGACACATTTGCCGATTATGACACCAGTATCAAAATAAGACTTAGCTTGAATAGTCTGAAAAGAATCTATATACACAAACACCTTCCAAATCTATTGAAATGAATGAATGATCATAATATTATTTCATTTTTTAGGTGGTTATGAAGCTTTCTCAGCTCTTTATCCATTTTTAAGAACACAAAAAATAATTTATATGCCAAGGGTAGGTGAATTTTAGTTATTCATAAATCATCTTGAGTGCATTTGAGTAAATTGGCTCACCTTATATGTCAAGTTGAAATTTATACATGCTTATTATTAATTTGTGAAAACTACACAACAAAATCTAGAGAAATGTGTCCTTAAAGTGTCTGAAAGTTGTAATTAAAATAAAATTTAAACTTTACATAAACTTTTAAAGTTCATTATGCTTTTTGGATGCTGTTAGAAAACTGCTGTACGGATTTAATTGAAATAAATGCTTTAATGAAATGAATGAAATATATCTCCTACGTATTCAACGAATATCCAGCCATTATAAAGCTTAACACCAAAACTAGGTTAACCCTTTAAAAACAAATTCAAGAAGATACATAGATATAAATTGCATACTTTACAATATATTTATATATTTACGATGTTTTTGATAATGCAAATGTTTTACTAAGAAAGCGGAATGCCCTGTTTTGAGGGATAATAAAACATTCATTCTTGACTTTTCAATGAAATGAAAGATTGACGATTCCCTTCCAGGAACTTGACGATTTGAAACCATATCCTATTGAAATTATTCCTGGTTTATTATATCTTGGTAATTGGCAGCAAGGAAATGCTGCTTATGTACAGAAAGATTTAAAGATTAAAGGTCATATAAATTGTGTTATAGAATCAGAAACATAGTAAGTACAATTTTTGGTTGAGATATTTTGGTAATAAGCAGGTTTATGTTGCCTTGGAAACCTCATTCCATTTTATCAATATAGCAGGTGGTATTTTTGAAAATATAAATAAGGGACAAATAACAGTGACACTCCTTGACAGTTGATTCCTGCTCAGCTCTAAGCCATTATTTAAAGACTGATACAGAGCGCTAGATAAATTGTGGTCATGGATTATATGTTAGTAAAACCAAGAGTTTTAACTTAACTGTCCACTGTGTGTAATAGAAAACGATTTAAGATAATAATCCATCAGAGACTTTTCCAGACACAAACTCTATTCTAATTTTTGAGAAACAGGAAACCAGAATTTTGTCTGCATTGTTTCCAAATTATACTAATTTTTTTGTAATTTCCAGTTTCCCTGAGTCAGGTCCACAGTTATTACATATACAAGTTGAAGATCGTAATGATGCTGATATTTATAACCATTTTGCTGCAGCTTGTGCTTTCTTAGGTAATAAATCTTATCATATACTATTTTATACCTATTTTATACCTATCTTATACTACCTTATAAACAAGTTGAAGTAATATAGTCATAAAGATCACATAGCGTGAAACTCTGAATAACAACATGTTTTGTTATTATACATTTTATGCAGAAGAACTTGCATTTTTATTTTCCATTTTTGATGATTTATCTTTGGAGAAAATTGTTCTTTATTGTATCAGTGGCATTTCTCTGAATCTTTAGGTGGAGGGGCAAGTCAGGGGTCACACTGGATGGGCCAAACCCAGACCAGCTTCATTTCTGGCATCCCCCGTTCACCCAATTGAAAAGTATTGATACTATTTTACATTGTTTATCTTAGATACTCATAGAAGACTAAAGAAAGCTGTCCTAGTATTTTCTAATCTTGGTATTAGTAGATCAGTAACAGTTATAGTAGCTTATTTAATGTATTATAAAAAATGTTCATTAAAGGTAATGTAGTTGACATCTTTATAACATAATATATACAAAAGCTTAATAGATGTTGTGTCTGAATTTTACTGACATTTTTCATTTAAAAGTCAGTCACTTGGAAACAAGGTTAATTTGAGAACAATATAGTGATATCTGACTTTAGCTCAGGACTGACAATATATATGGCAAATGCATCACTTTTAAACAATGACCAAAGTTTATAAGTGTCTTTTGTTTTCAATTATGAAATCCACCCAGATTCACTACCCACTTTTGTGTTATTTTAACATGGCATCCATTGTTATTTACATCTGATAAGAGCTTAATTTTTCTAATTTGACTGTATTTTCTTTTCATGTCTGATCAGATTACCAAATTGCCTTCCCTGAATATATGAACTTGGCACCAATGACTCTTATTTCCTTTCTGTGTATACAATGTCAACAGCCTTTCATTGAGCGTTTGCTTATTTTGCTATGACATAAACTTGTTGTCTTCATAGCACAGGTTGATTACTTTACATAAAATACATTTGCTAATAAGTTTGCAATGGTTTTGCATTTCAGGAAGCATATGAGATTGTTTCCAAGTGTTGTAAAAATCTGCGACCAAACCGAGGTTTTATAGAACAGTTAAGTAATTGGGAGGTAGAATTGTTTGATACACAAAAAACAGATATCAGTGATCCAAATTTTTGATTTTACCACTTTTTTGTAATTATGTATATACTCTGTGATATTTATGTCTGTGATAAAAATATGAATTGAAATATCTCATTTATATTAGATCGGTGCCAAGGGTGTAGCATTCAGTTCTGTCCTTATAGAAATAACAAACCAAGGGTCAGCTGTGATGAATAGTTATCAGACAGGATCAGCTGTGATGAATAGTTATCAAAGATCAGCTGTGGTGAATAGTTATCACACAAAGATCAGCTGTGGTGAATAGTTATCACACAAAGATCAGTTTGGATGAATAGTTATCAAACAAGGATCAGTTTTGATAAATATCTAAAAGACACAGATCAGCTTTGATGCATAGTTATCAAACAAGGATCAGTTTTGATAAATAGCTATCAGACAAGGATCAGTTTTAACGAAAAATTATTGGACAAAGTTATCAAAGATTGAAACGACAGGCGCCTGATTGAAAATAGGAATGGTGAAAATTGATGATATCAATGACCCCGATACACATATTTTTTATGAAAACCTCTATTCAATCCAGGAAGTAATAAATTTCATTTATGGCATAAATCATTAGAGTTACTTATGACATGATATAAACATGACATCTTGAATCACTCCCTTTATTATTTTCCAATCCATCAGAAACAGGACATGATATCGCTTCACCTAGGAAATTTTTTGCATAAAAAAACGGTTGCCTTTGGTATGTTTTGACCACAAAGGTTGGGCACGTTTGTCTGATGGTGACTGTAAACCCGTTAACTTTAAAGGGGAGGTCTAGTAAAAAAAAAAATTTCGAACATCAAAGAAAATATATTTATTAGACTTTTAAAATCATAAAATTTTCATCAAAATAAAACAACAAAAATGAACACAAAAGAATTAGACGTCATAAAGATTAAATTACAAAGACGCAAAATAATGCTTAGAATTCACAAAGCTCTTGACACAAAGACGATTCTTTACTTTTCATAACACTTTGAAACTGGCGCAAGATTACATCTTTCAATATTCATATCATAAAGGGTTCCCCCTGCACATCTCTGTCTGATGCGACCATTTTGGGTACATCTGATGAAGTATGCACAGTTATTTTTATCTGCATAATAACCGGAAGTTGGTGGTGGACAGGTCATGGTGGAAATTGGAACTTTGGGCTTTATTTCTAAAATATAACAAAATTTGGTTCAAAAGATAATCTATCAACAGATGGTAGTAGGATAAACCTTGAGAAAAACTAACAGTGGAAGTAAGAATTGGATGTTTTGTTAAGATGAAATTTCCTGCTCAGAGATTTCAAGGTCAAAGTCCTATGGATCTATCTGATAGTGCTCTGTGCCGAGTCAGCTTCACGTAGAAACAAAGTATTCAAGATGATGGAAAGATTTTTTATACACTTACCAGGAAAACAATTGCCTGGAATTGGAGTCACTGTGGTATCAGTTACTGGAAAGAAAACAAATCAGTCATGAAACGTTATTTACAGGGACCAATACCGCAACTATGTGGCATGTTTTATATAAATTGAAAATTGATCATGCTCAGCAAAGATATTCTATTCTATTATAGGATACCTATGATTCTGTCTGAGCGGATGATGTTGATCGGGTGCAAAAGGTCTTATGGTAAAAGGACAACTTAATCATTAGTCGATGCAATTTCAGTTCTACTATATACCTACCGTAACATGTAGCACTAGCCAAATATTCCAACAGAGAGCCTAAACCAGTATAAGATCCCAAACTAAACAAGCTACACCTATCTTTACCCAGAAACTCAAACCCAGGTGATCCTCCATTGGATGATACTGCGAACATATGAATACCAGCTGCAGCAGCTCGTTGTCCAGCAGCTGTAAAGACATTTCGTAAATCCTGTTCATTGTCTGCAGATAAATCTTCACCACCAAAGGTCATGATAATTCCAATCTTTGCAGCTGCTGGACGTGTGCTGGATGCGTGGAGGTCAATAATGGCATCCATTGCTTTAACGACATTTAATCCAGTATCCATGTCATAATAAAGTTCTCTTTGGGCCAACATGGACACTTTGGTATTGACGTCTCTTTTCTCCTGGTCTGTTGTTAATCTGTTGATGACGTGTGGTTCTGAACCATACAATACAAGTCCAACATTGGTATGAACTGGTGAGATGGTGTAATAATTGATCAGATTGATGAGAAAATCTTCCAGTAGGATAAACTCTCCCTGGGGAACAATTTGTTTTGAGCCAGGTACAGCAATAACAATATCGGCTTGTCCATTACAATCTGTGAAGTAAAAATCGTTAATTTAGAAACTAGTTCCATCATCTTTATATAACACCCTCCGTCGAACTACCCTAATCGGTATCGCACGATAGATTACCATTCTCTGTGGCCCGACTAATGCCCTATCTAGTTCCACAGATATGGTTGTGATGCCCAAGTCGCCTAATATTAAGCATACTTTTGAAGAATCGAGTCCGTTGCAAATTATAATGGGATTGCTTCATTATCTAGAATTGTGTCGCTATCCATCATAAAACTTTTATACATTTCTCTATCTCAGACCATACCAGATTCCTAATTTTCATGTGGGGCTAAGGCTTTAAGGAATACACACAAAGTAAAAAATCGGATGTCATTGCTTATCTCCAATAAGAAATTACTATTTATTTTATTATTTAGTCAGTTTATAGACTTAAGAACTTATACGTACCAAGAGCTTTAACTCCCGTTAAAACAGCTGCCACAACCAGAACCACCGAGAACTTCGTTTGTTTCAACATTATGTCTGAAGGACCAAACATAATTCAATTATATCTCATTTACCTGGATGTCATTCACGTGTGATTTATATATAAATACAGTAAAGGTGGTAGTAAGAATAATTTTCAAAGGCTACATCGAGACTTATTGGTCTTTATCTTGCTAACCTCAAATTCTTAACCCTCTCTCTCCCTAATACTTAACCTTACCTACCTACCGTATGGTCGTTTCACCCGAAAATAATTTTTTGTAAGTGCAAGACCCTGTCCAAAATTCCAAATATTACAGCAAATGAATTCTTAACCCTGTAAAGTGCAAAAGATAGTGTGGAAATTTGTGCTAGAATGGAAGAGAACCTTATACATTGATGACAAAAATTGTATCTTAAAGATGGGTTCTCAAATTTTCATTTATGGAAATGAAAATGCTAATACTTATATGACTAGAAAGTAGAGTTGTTCTAATGACTTGGAAAATATCAGTTTGTCCAGAATTAATTCACAGTAGAAGGATATTACCAGCAGATTTCCAATGAGTGACCGATCAAGAAAGGTCAAAAAGTCTCATTTATGATAGGTTAAAACTCTTAATCATATGCAATAAAAACATAATATTATGATTAAGAATACATGATAATTCATGAGAGACAATCAAATAGTTTGCTTAATTTGACACTAGAAAATAAAGAAACCCATCTTTAATGCTTAACCACTGCATATCAGAAATTGTTATGTTTCTAGGGTCAGCAGTACAGATGACAGGAAAGACCACGGAAGATTTGATGTATTAGCTTCATATGATCTTACCTTTTTAGCGTCCTCGTCTGTTGTAAGTAACTACACACTTAGACCTACTTTTATAAATAAATGTCTCTTGCTTATATTTCAACATTACATCCGTGTATTGAATAATTACTTTAAAACGTCACTATGACGAGGTGTGTGGTAAATCATGAGCATCGAAAGGATTGGTCAAAATAAGTGTTTTGTTTACAAGGGGATTCTTCCTTTTATATTGGCATGATCAGAGATAGAAATCATAAAGTAATTTAACCCAGTTTTAAATCAACTTCACAATGTCAAGCTATAAGAACTTCGTCTTATACCTTGGCTGCAATAGTCAACTTACTTGTATCATGCAATGCGCGTATGGATTGTACGCTAGAGAATAGCCAATTCGAGCAGTCGACAGAAAGACAGTAAACATTATATTTGGTTGTATTCACCAATTACTACCTAACCAAATCGCTTCGTTTACAGACTTCCGTGATACAAGAAAGGTGGCTTTTGCAGTCAAGGTATAAGACGAAGTTTGACATTGTGTAGATTCAAGAGGGTTTGTATCTGGAATCTAGAAATGACCTCCAGGCTAACAGGTACAAGGGAAACTGGTCGTTGGATTTTAACTGGGAAAATGATATGAGTATAATTAAAAATGAGCTCTTTCAAATGAAATATAGCGAGATGACTTTGTTTGTTGAAAGACAGCCTAATAAAATCTTTCTTTTGACCAAGCTCAATATGGGGAATTTTAACAAATATATAGTAACTATATATTGAACGATATGCACTCAACTTTATCATAACAGAAAAGGGGCTTATATTTTAGGATGTGTTTTATACTAACAGGATCTTGTCTTATATTGCCTAATGTGAGGTCTTACACTTTTTTGTTGTTTTTTGATTTATATACTTATTTTCGTGCACTTAAACTGTGTAAACTTTATACTACACTACAAGTAAACAAGGTGCACGATCCGGAACATTCTATTTTTCGGGATCTATGATACATCAGTTTTGGATATTGAAACTTTTCTATGTTTGATAACTGTATTAGTATAACGTCTTATATGATCCAGTGTTTAATTCTTGCTGTACAGAAACTATGGTCTGGCGTTCCGTGTGTGTGTGTGTGTAACGTACGTGTGTGTGTAAAACCTTCAGAAATGATTACATGGAACATGAAAGCAATATCTCTAATTTATGATATTCGGTTTATTATATAAGATACTTGACTATAAAACATCTTACTGTTAATAGCCCAAGCAAATATTTATTGAAGGCGATATATTTGTTGTATCGTGTATGTAAATTGTTCCCAGTACACAAAGTTAATTATTTGTGGGCTATTCTCTCTTCATATAAATTGATAGCCAAACTAATGAAAAATCTTCAGAAACGATTATGGATATGCATACATAGAGCGATATAAAAAAAATAATTAAGGAATGGGAATGGTAGAGGGGTGTCTCTGATACACATACAAAGCTTATTTTGAATTATAACTGCCCATGGAATCTATCCATATAAACTATTGCCAAAATTTATATCAAATTCACCATCGTTGTGATTGGCAGAATTTGATAGCAACGGGAATCCCAATGACTTTTTGCAACTGACGGCATCTGTGTAAATTAGATCAATCGCTGGATTCATTTGACCTGAGCGCACAAAGTCTGTTTCACCAGCTGCCATCAGTTGCTCATGTTCCATCAAACTTTGTACCTAAGCGGTCAGGATATTGGATTGTTGATTGTACTTGTTAGCAGCCAAACAAACGTAAAGTGTCTGAGACGGATCTGATAAACTGCTGTGACAGTCGATCTAAGCACCCCTCCCCACTCTTCCTTGTGATGACTATGCACACACCTGAATAAGTTGTTTTAGTACAGTACGTTCGAGCAGCTGTAACCGATGATAAAGGTGTTATACACAATCACCGTAATATATAGTATTTATATTTATTTATATCCCAAATAAAGTTTTCAAATCAAACAACAGTTTCTTGTGTGTCTTGCCATGTCCTTTGTTGCCATGTCCTTTATTTCCACCAGTGGCACACATGGCGTTACTTGGAAAATCACAATAACCCATAGCCATATTAAAATGTAACCCGGCTGGACACGACTGTACGTAAGGTATATTAGCAAAACAGTTCAGGTACTTTCCACAATCATGTGGGTGACTGAAGAGTCCCATTGGATGAGGACATTTGATCTTACTCCAGCACGTCACAAACTCTTTGTGGTTACATCTTTTAATATGTTCGTCAAAAAGAGTTCCACCTGGACACCTTGTTCTGTACCGTTTATTTGATGTACATTGTAGAAAATAGGCGCAGTTATTTTTGTCTGGGAAGAAACCGGAAGTGGGTGGAGGACATTTCATAAGGTGAAGTGGTTTCCTTTTCAACACAACTGAAAAAAGAAAATGATAATTTATACCACAAAAGAAAAGACATGCTGCAAAGGTTGAGTCAACCTGCGGCTGATTTGCATTTGACTATCCCGTTTTACAAAGAGATCACCACAAAAACAGTGGCGTTTCTAGGAAACATTAGTTGAGGGGGGCGAGCAGGGGAGACAAAATTTGCCAGGAGGGCCACAAGCCAGTCTAGTACCATAATATGATAAAAAAAAATTTGAAAGTGATATGATGAAGATCACTTGGAGCGGTTTTGCCCACCAACAGTCATCTGGTTTACTACAGTACACACTCTTCACAATTTTGACCTATTTTACCTACTCCGTCTAATATAAGGAGTCGTAATAATTTGACAATGTGACTAGTGAAGATGCAGTATTTCAGAATAATAACAGAAATCAAACATCCAATGTTCGACCGAGTTGACAAACAACCTATCAAAGGAATGTGGGCCACATTATTCATGCAGATGAAGGCACGCAGAAACTTTGGTTTTAAGTACTCAAAGAAAAGATATAGAGACCACCATTTTCTTGTTAGCTTACCTGGAAAACATTTGGTCGGTGTCGATTTAACGTTTCCATCAAAGGCTGAAATTGAATCATTAGAATGTACTGACAATTGATGTACGATAGTATGAAAGTGACGTTCTTTAGGACACAGGTACCTCGAAATGATCTGGATGAAATTGAATTAGTCTGTCTGCAAAGGTAATAATACCAACATCGTAGGTTGCTTTCAAATTTCAAAAGATCAGATAAAGGTAATTTGAGCCCCAATTTAATAACTTAACCTTATGAAGAGAATTAATTGAGTACTTGGTAGAAATCAAGAGAGTTCCTTACCGTAGCAAGTACCACTAGCAATGTAAGGCAACAATTTGTGTAGATTACTGTTGGTTCCTAAGCTAAAAAGTCGACATTTATCCATAGCTATGTGTTCGAATCCAGGTACAGATCCACCGGCTGTTACCGCAAACATGGTGATTCCTGCTGCCCGAGCTCGTTCACCAGCCTTCATCACGGCACCTCGTATAGCCATATTGGTGATTCCAGATAAATCATCGGATCCATAAGTTAAGATGACTCCAATTTTGGGAACCTTGCGTTTACTATCTGTATGTAGCTTGATGATAGAATCCATAGCTTTGACTACATTGGATCCCTCGGCCATAAAGTGATATAGCTCGCGCTGTGCCATAAGAGATATCCTAGTAAAAATGTCTCTTTTATTCAAGCTCGGCATCAATCCGTTCATGACCATTGGTTCGCTTCCATAAATTATTAAACCTACATTGGTTCTGTCCTTCTTGACGGTATAATAATTCACCATGTCTATCAAGAAATCTTCATACAGATCAAATTCACTTTGTGGTACTTGTGTTCGAGATGCTGGTATAGCTAGTACAACATCTGCTTCGCCATTACAATCTGAAAAGAATCTTCATTATTAATAGGCTACAGTATGTTGGTGCCACCTTCACAATGTCAAACTATTACGAACTTCGTACTTATACCTTGACTGCATCTTATATCGTATCATGGAATGCATGGAATGATGGATTGTACACTAGCGAATACAGCAAATAAGAGCCCTCGAGTGAAATGCTGTAACATTGTGGCTTTGTGTTCGCAGATTTTCTATTTGATTGGCCGTATTCGCTAGTGTACAGTCCAATCAAATCGCTCCATTTACAATCTTCCATGAAACCAGATAGGTGGTTATTGCAGACATTGCAGTCAAGGTATAAGTACAAAGTTCATCAAAGCTTGACATTGTGATGATGTGATGGTGGTATAGTTTGTCTCATTCTCTTACTGCATGCCATTTACACTAGCTTAAATTATATGCAATGCGAGATATTTGGCAATAATCTCCAATTTGGAAAGTTACCACTGTGCGATGGAATGACGATTTCGTCATTGTATGACCTTCAATCAACGACTTCTTTTCTAACTTATTCAATTTTCAGAGAATGTTTTATCACTTTGCCTGAAACTATCTCAAAGCCTGTACATATTACTATTCGAAACTTGTGTTAATATGCCTCACCAAGAGCTGGACCAGCAGCCATGATGTTTGGAACTAAACAAAATATTAGAAACAGTACCATTTCTCCACAAAACCTTGAATTCATCTTAACTGCAAAAAAAGATAAACATACAAGTTTCTTAAAACAATAATGGTAAAAAGGGTAAAACATATTTTTTGAAAATAAAGACTCATTCTTCTGATTACCTACTTGAAACTTCGAGATTTCTCCAAAACATGACCTTATATGATGTACATACACCAAATCATTATATATTCTATGGGTGTAAACCAAACTTGGTGGTTTTTTCTTGGTGCTCAGTTGCGGTTTACCAAAATAACAATACACCTCACAAATACTAAATTTTCGTAAATAACAAGTAACTGTTTTCCTTGTTAGTTTTTCATATTGATGTCACACAGTGTGAATGTGTCAAGCCATGTGTGCACTTTGTGCACGATTCTGTTTCTGATGGCATAGACGCACTTTAAAGGGATTTTTCTAAAAAAAAAATACATGTGTATCGGGGACACTGATAGCATCAATTTGTACCATTCCAATTTTTGATCAGCCCTCTAGTGGAATTACAGAAACCACAGACACCTGGTGCAATGATGCAAATTGATGCTACTGATACAAGTAATTTTGTTTTAGAAAACCTCTTTACAATTCCTTTTATTTATATGTCAGTTAGGGAGTACCCTTAATGGATCCATATCTATTTTGGCAGATACCACCAAACACAACACTAACACTTCTTTATCTTTACAAGGTAAGCCCCCATCCTATATGCTAATTCTTTCGAATTAGATAACTTCACAAATATCCAATAATAGGAGCATTTTCAGTCACTTTTAAATATTCACTTTTAAATCGGAAAATACAAGGTTAAACTTACTTCTAATCCGTATCCTAACAATGATACATGCACTCTGATTGTACATAAACCATACTGTAATTACATAATTATAGACTCGTCCAGATAACCTTTATCCTACATAAATCCGATTAATTTGATTTTTAAAATTATTCAAATATTAGAGAAAAAAATTAAGTCAACAGCCTAACCCATTAAGCTTATGTATAATATTGTACATTGTCTAAACAATTTTACAAAGAGCTATAAAATAAATAAAAGGGCAAGCATCAATAACTTTGTATAATATTCTTTCCTTTTCAGGGTTACAACAGCGATCTCATTTTGAGACATTGTAATTTATTTTTTCAATCGATTTAAAAAGAGAACTTAAATATCTATACGGTTTTTAGACTGTTCTTTAAATCTTTGACTTAAGCGGCTTTTGCACGATCTGAAATTAAATTGAATTATGGTCAAGGCCAGATAGTATTTTCTACCATATACATTTTCTTGGTGGAACCTTAACGTATCTTAAAGACAAGTGTCCTTGATAATCTGTATTTTCTGAAAATATGGCTTGTCCCTTAACGCATCTGAGGTTTTAACTAAAAAAAAAAACTTTTTAACGCCAAAACTAATTAAATGGTTTACGTAAACTTTTTAAGGTTGTTATGGTTTTAGGTAGTTGTAAGAAAAATTACGGATTTAAGTAAACTATATCTGTAATTGTTCTGAAAGTTTCATCTAAAAATATCGAGTCTTTATAATTCCCAACACCAGAATTATAGTTTAAGCTGCTATTAGTACACGTTTTTAATTAAGCGCTTTAAAACAAATTCAGTTTGATACGTAGGCCTAGATGCAAAATAGCACATTTAAGAAATATTTTCAGGTAAAATTTATTACTCTTTTAACGGAAATTTTGCATACGGATACGGCTCTATATATGAATCAATCAGTACATGAGGAAACTGTCATGTGATTGAGATTTTACTCAAAAGATATGCGGATATAGTCCGCATATTTAAGGTCATAAATAAATTCAATGAAATATTTTGTGCGTAATCCTATTATATCTTTTACTCTCAGTTGGCTGTGTGTACATTAGTATCTCGTACAGATATGTTTAATTACTAGAATGTCGAGGGTTAAATAGCCTACATCATCGCCTTTTTTTTGAACCAGGAAGTGATCATAGTTTCTTCCCATTGCATACTTATTATCGTGTACAAATATGCTTAAAATGTGGCAATATTGTTTTCATCGCTTCGTTATAGTTTCAATTATGAAAAAGTTAGTTTTTATTGTATGATGGGCGGTATGGTCAAAGGGGAATAATCGATGATTTTTCTCACTGGATTGTCTTTTCCTCTTTTGCATTCTTCTTGTATGGAGGTAATTTTGATACAATGTAGTCTTTGTTATCTAATCTTTTAAGGGACCAAAAAATCGGTAATGTAAGTTAAGACTTGTTAATCGAGTATGCAAAGTAGCCGGAAATGAAAGGAAGTTAAACTAAACTTCATTGTAAGCGCAAATTTTATCAAATTCTTGAAATTTGACCTAATTTGTGAGCTTACCCTTTGTCAGACAATAAGGTGAAAATTTACTTAACCTTAATGTAACATAAACAAGCCATGAAAATGTAAATAATTCAATCACCGAAGACCAAATCAAATCCCTCAGTGCTCATCAACATAATGAATATGATCACAATGCTATACAGTTCTCGATATAGTTTATGTTGTTAAGCCATATCAAGTCCATGACTCAGGCCCTCAATTTACCGTCCAAGACCATCATCAGTCTTTGAACATAATCATGAACCAAACATACTTCACAAGTCAAGTGAATGATATTAATTTCAACATACTGCCCCTGGTGGTGTTGAAATTAATTGAATTCCTTTGCTGCATTGATGGAAATAAGTAATGAGTTTTTCTCAGCCCCCAGTTTTCATGTGCCCTGTAACTTAAATTTTATAACTTAGGTTGAAAGATTGAAATGTTTTTTGTCCTTCTTGAAAATACTTATGCCATTATCAAAGATATTCTCTGTGGCACTACTTAACAATTTTTTTTCTTTGCCCTAATCTTGTCTTACATAGAACAAGTATCCTTTTTAATTTAATGTAATTCTGAAAATATGGCTTACTCCAGATTTTACTTTTGTCAATTCAATTTTCAAATCAAGATTTGAATTTTTTTTTTTTTAAAGTACCGGTACTGTATGGGGTTCCCAAGATTTTATTATCTAATTTGATGGTTTAATTAATTTACAAAATGACAGTTGAACATGGATTTAGAGTACTCCTTCAAGAAAAAAAATATTTTTAATGATAAAGTATGACTGTACAATATTCACAGCTTTGACTGAAAAACTTTAACCAGAAAATAATTTCAAACAAATAGATCTAGCAGAAAATTTAACAACAGATAATAGAAATTTCTCCAAAACATAATAGTTATTATTTTGTCAATTTTTTGATCAAAGTACTGTCTCTTTAAAATCATTGATAAAGACTCTTTCGTTATATTGGACTGAGTGATAAATGGAAGAACATTTTATCTTTGAAGGATCTTAAGTCAGTCCTTTATTTGAGTTTTAATAATAGTAATGATGATAATAATGATTTATTTACTGTATAAAATATGTCTATGACCCATAGCTACAATAGTTATGACATCATCCAAATACATGTATATAACATAAAATAGTACGAAAAAAATGATGTATTTTTATAGTTTCACATAAAATATGTCTAGAATTAAATGGAAAAAAATGGGATGAAACTTTGTTCTCTATTGAAGAAGCAAGTTATAGGTGCAGCTGCGCCATTTTGGGGGGTTGATTTGAGTCTTGAAAATATGTAAATAGTCTTTTGAAGTACACGAAATGTTAAAAAATCGGATAATTCCTTCAAAAATATCTCAAACTAGAAATTTTACTCACTATCTATATATCACAGAGTATCTTAAAATAACCAGTCGTCATTTTAACATTCGTACGTGGATATTCTGGACAGACATGGATTTGAAGGCTAAAATTGTGATGGTGAGCTGTGAACACTTTTACTGATTAGCGAAGCTAAAAAATACTGTTTCTGAGATTAAAGTATGATTGGTCAAAAATGGCGAACTGTCCCTTTAACAGGTGCACTTTTAAAGGGACAGGTGCCATTCTTTTTGACCAATAGTACCTTAGGTATTTTTCAGCTAATCAATGTGTTCATAGCTCATCGTTGAAATTTGAATATTCATATCCATTTTTGGACCAAGGCATTGTAAAACTATCCTACATTTCCTAAATCTAATCATTTGAAAAAAAGATCTCACAAATTGCCAAATAAGGGCCAATTTTGGTATCTTCATTGATTTTTCTTTTCTAGACTGTGTGTGGATATCTATTTCTGATATTTTATAGATTTATGCCAAACATTATCTGTGCTCTGTTCACATAGGGAAAGTTTGTTTTTTTTTAACTTATTTGAACCTAAAATTAAAGTTTCAATAAAACACAACAACTTTGCATTCTAATGGAAAAAAATACCCAAAAAACAATTATCAATGATAAAATATTTTGGAAATGAATTAATAATGCATTTGTCATTGTACTAAACACTAAAAATAAGAGATGAGTTTCTTTTTGCTCTGAGCCTTTGCTAAAGGTTTGATTGACTCATTTCAGTAAAGTAAAATATCTTTTATATCCATTGTATTCACCATGTTGGATGTTTTCTGGAATTATCAAATTAGATGATGTATTTTTTCAGTTGATTTCATTGGACTATTTTCAGATCAGAATGTCTAAAAGAAAGAAGGTTGCTCCCATGATAGATTCAGATTCATCATCAGATGACAGTGACAGTGGTTCAGATTTAGATGAAGGTCTTCGAGCTCTTGCCAAACGAAAGAAACCAAATGCTGAAAAAGAAAAAAGTGCATCTCCGGAGCCAGCAGCCAAAGATGACAGTGATTCTGAAACCTCCAATAGTGATGAGGAATGGACTGCAAATGGCAAAGCTAAAAAGAAGAAACCAAAGCAAGTGAAAAAAACACGGAGATCCACTGCGATAAGTTCATCAGATAGTGAAGCTGAAAAAGAAAAAAGTGCATCAGAACCTGAAGAAGGTGAAGTTTCAGATTCTGGTAGTGGTTCAGCATCTGGAGATGAATCTGGTTCGGATGATGAGAAATTTGTTGATGGCTATGATGAAAACTTGATAGGAGATGAAGAAGATAAAAAAATGTTGGAACAAATGACTGAAAAGGAAAGAGAACAGGAACTGTTTAATCGAATGGAAAGAAGAGCTGTGTTGAAAACTCGCTTTGAAATCGAAAAGAAACTGAAAAAAGCCAAGAAAAAGGAGAAAAACAAGAAATCAAAGAGTTCAGGTTCTAGTGATTCACCATATCAATTAAAATCAGTCAGTGATCGAAGTAAGGAAAGACGGAAGGATATAGAAAGTAAAAAAGACAGTAAGAAAACCTCAGCTTTGGAATTGCTCAGATTGCAAAGAGAAGAAAAGAAAAATAAGGAAGAAAAAGTAAAAGAAAAACAAAAGAAAACATTGAAAATCAGTGAGATTTATAGTGATGATGATGATGAAGATGATGATGATGATAATGTTGATGAAAGTGAGAAGAAGAGAGAAGAGAAAGAAAATCAAAGAATACAGGATGACTCTGATTCAGATGCTAGTGAGAGATCTTCAGACTATTCAGATGATGATTACAAACCTAAAAAAGTTGTACCAGTATCTAAAAAGGAGGAAATCTGTAAAATCAGACTTTCAAGACATAAAATGGAAAAATGGTGTCACATGCCGTACTTTAAAAAGACTGTGGTCGGTGCTTTTGTTAGGATTGGTATTGGAAATCATGATGGAAGAGCCATTTACAGGGTTGCTGAGATCATTGATGTAGTTGAAACAGCTAAGATTTATCAATTAGGAACCACCAGAACAAATAAAGGATTGAAACTCAGACATGGAGCCGCTGAAAGAGTTTATCGATTAGAATTTGTCTCCAATCAGGATTTTACAGATACTGAATTTGATAAATGGAAAGAAGCTGTAATGCTAAATGGTTCTCAGTTACCTACAGTTGATGAGATTGAAAAGAAACTGCTAGAAATAAAAAATGTTGGAAGCTTCCAATTCAAAGATGAAGATATTAAAACTATTGTGGCAGAGAAACAGCGGTTTCGTAAAAATCCTCATAATTATGCCCTCAAGAAGACTCAACTTATGAAACAGAAAGAACAAGCTGAAATTGCTGGGAACCAAGCAGCAGTGAATTCAGCTAAACAGGAACTGGAAGAATTGGAAGATCGAGCTACCAAATTAGATCGTAAAAGAACAAGCACTATTAATTCTATTAGTTTTATCAATCAAAGAAATCGTCAAAATAATATCATAGCAGCTGAAAAAGCTTTCAAAGTAGAGGTAGCAGCTGCTAAAATTGCTGCTGCTGATCCTTTCACCAGAAGACAGTGTCGTCCTACTCTAGTAACTAAAGCCAGTGGTAAATTTCCTGAAATGGCCGTTCCAACGAAAGTTGGTAATACAGCAGCAGAAAAAGCTGGTTCTTTGATGCCAGCACCTGTTCTAGGAGAGTTAACTTCCTTAGATGATCTTGTGTCCGACAGAAGTCAGTCTACTTCCAAATCCAGTGACAAGAAAGACATTGAAGATGTGTTTGCAGTACATGACTTCGACATTAAACTTGATCTTGATGTACCAGCAACCAACCCAACTATGGTAATGGCTAGTCGGGCACCTCAACCTGTTCGTGATATTACTCCTCGAAGATCATTGAATCTTGAAGACTATAAAAAGAGGAGAGGCTTAATTTAGACCTCATTTATCAAATTTGATTTACCGGTTATGTTTCTCTTCTGTGTTATTTTCTAGAGGATCCTGGCCACATATTCTTGAAACGATCTTTAGGCTAGGATGTCCTAGGTTCTTATCCTCTAACGTTGATTCTAGGACATCCTAGAGTTAAGATCGTTTCGAGAATACGTGGCCAGTCTTCTAAAAGAGCTAGACAGTAGGATGTAGGATACTCCATTTTATTCATTGTTTTTTAGAAATCCTTTAATAACCATTGATTTTACTTCATATTTCAAATTTCATCATTATTTATGAGGGAAAGTATATTTGAATTGGAAGTGGTCAATAATGAGCATTCAAGTCTCTAAACCAAAACATACAAAATTATGTGTATGACGTTATGACCAGATGGAAGAGTCAGTTGTTTATCAAGTAAATGTTCACTGTCTTATTTTAATGTCATATCAAGACCAGAATTGACTGTTGCTGTATGATTTTAACATGTAAAGATTTTGTTAGCAATTTATGTTGTGAATATAGGCTACTTAGAATTAAAAAAATATTGTTTTTGAAAGAACTGCATGATGTTTGTAACTTAAAGTTAAAACCCTATTTTGGTCAAATCTCATTTAATTATTAAATAAAAGGAATTGTAAAGAGGTTTCTAAAATATTTGTGTATCGTAGACACTCATAGCATCAATTTGCACCATTCAATCAGACGTCACTGGTTCCTGTAATTCCACTAAAACTAGGTGTGTGATAATGTCACTAATAACAAAATATGCTGATATCACGTAAGGCAATTCAACATCATCTTAATTGAAAGGGACCTAGTTGTCTCATTTGTTTATATTCATGAAGAGAAAAGAATTAAATCAATCAAATTATCTTGTGTAAGCATCTTCACAATGTCAAGATATTATAAACACAGTCTAATACCTTGACATCAAGGTTTGAAATGCAGTGATTTTATTGGATTGATTATTAGCAAATTCAGTGAATTTAACAGAAAAAACTAATTCGACCAAGTAGTGTAAAACTATGACATTGTGAAGATGTATTGAGAGTTCTCAGATACATTTCATTTTGAGCACTGACTTCTACAGTAAGTTCACTTATAAAACTGTTTTGGTTATCATAAATTGAGAACGAAAGCTTATTACACCAGTTAAAGAGAATTTATCCGTGGATGACTGAAGAAATGTGAAGTTTGTAGTTGAATCTGATTAGAAATGTGTGCAGATGTAATTCATATTTTAATGTTTTTAAAGCTTTATTAGATATTCTATTCTTGAAAATGAGAGGCGCTTCTATTCTGCACGTGTGATTTTTTGTTTCAGTTTTATCAATTATAAACCATAGCCAAGATGTCAATCAAATATATAAATAGAAAACCACAATAGACTTTGTATATATATTGTATTATAGTTTTGTAAATATTTGTTTATTAGAGTACTTATTATAATTAGAATCATGGTTTGATTGTTTATTTATGTTAAATATTCATTCATGTATTACTAAATATTAATTCAATACATCAGTTTCTTTCTGTTTTAGGAAGAACTAAAATTTAGAAATAGAATGCAGAGCAGTTGGATGTTAAAGGCCAATTCTATGAGTTTCTCATAAAATATTGCACAAAAGCCTCTTTCATTGGTAGCATTAAGGCCAGACCAATTTATTTTATGGATCATCTCCCCAGAATTTTCTAAAAATAATTGGTGCCACTGACAAAACAAACCAACTTTCATTCCCCATAAAATAACATAATCAGAAACTCCCATTATTGATATTAAAATGTATGACCATTGTTGTTTTTTTTCTCTTGATCTTCACACTTTTTCAAATAAATTGGTCTGGCCTAATGTTCTATTATATTATATTTCCTTTACTTTGGAGAAACGCGGCATAATTATTGTAATCTTATTAATTATTAATTATGTTTGATTGGTTGTTTTGAATCCAAATTAGCCAATTAGGTATTTGTATTTTTGTAGGTCAAAATTGTTTTTTGCTCAAATTTGTGAAATCTAAACACATAAATCTAGAGAAATGTGTCCCTCAACATATCTGAAATGTTTTAATGCCAAAACTATTTAAAAACTTGATTTAAGTTTACTTAAACTTTTAGAGTAGAGAAATTTGTCTCCTACGTAGTCTAAAACAAATTGAGTTTGATCAAGTAGATACATAGATTTACATAGCATACTTTAGAAATATTTTCAGGTATAATTTACAACGTTTTTGAAAAATGGAAAATGTTTTACAAAAAAAAGTGGAATGCCCCTTTAAAACAACATGGTGTTATTCACTCTCTGTGCTCTATTTTGCTTTTATTTTTGCCTTGGAAATGGCCTGCTTTGAGAAAGATTGATGGTTATAGTGTTGAATTCATGTGAAGTTGACTTCCAGAATTCATACAACAGGAAAGGGACGGGTTCACCAATTTCCGGGTGTTGATTTGGTTTTGAATATATGTTGTTTTCAAAACTACTAGAACTGCTGGTAAATCACATAATTCCTTCAAATATGCTTCAACTTAAAAATATCACTTTTTTTCCAATGTGTTTCTGTATGGTGGAGTAGCATATCGAGAAAAGACAAGTGGTCATTTTACCTTTCAAATCCTGATAACACATGGATTTGAAAGCTTAAATTTCGATGGTGAGCTGTGAAGTTATTAGTGATCATCTTAGCCAAAAAAAAAATTCCCCTTTCTGAAACTAAAGTACAATTATTCGGAGAACTGTCACTTTAACTTATGAATAAGACAAGGTGAGCTTAATTGAATCTATGCAAGCAATTATCTTTCCATTATAATTTAAAATTGTTACCTTTCCCCATATTACAAATATTCTTCATTAATTTTATGTAAGCATGGAGTAAGAAACCAGCACAAGCCCTTTGAACCAAGGACCTCCCCCAAAACTTACCGATTGACCACAATTTCTCATTGGTTTTTTGCTTGTATTACATTTTTCAGAATGTTCAAATTTTAATGGTTCTTTTTATAACTCATTGGTTCTACCCCTTTGTTCACACCTGTATTAAAAAGTAGGACAAGTTGGAAGTGTATCTATTCAATTACTATTATTAGTAAGGACAGCTGAATTGCATGAGGATGAGGCAAATATCTACTATCAATCTTTTCTGTCATTCATTCAATAATTATTAGCCCTTCTTAGTTTATTTTGTCTCAAACAAGTTGTCAATCTAAATTAAGGGCTACATATTTGAATAAAATGCTATAATGCATTATGATATTGTTACTAAGGACAACAATATTAGACTTGATAAATTCCAAACATTGTAAGACAGCTGATCTTGTGACAGGATAATCGAGACTAGATAACGGTTCACGTAAATGTTGGGTCACGTGACTAAGAAACTGTAGATTTACCGGTATTTTGATGTACTCTAAATGGCAATGCAAAATGAAAATATAGGCTTAAAACTCGAGATGGAAAAGATTGAAAACCTAAATAGTAGTCCAACAAACTTTTGGCACGGACAATATGTGATGTTTGGATCCATCGTGTTCTTCCAAATAGTGAATATAGTTGTTCAAAAAATCGGTAAACCAAAATCTGTGAGAGAAGACAGTTGGCGATGGACGAACTTAGTTGTATCCTGGGTTCATGCAATGATTATAAGTATATGGGATATTGTTTGGTAAGTTTGAAAAATTAATCTTTTTTAAGCCGTCTGCCTTGTTGAAAAGTTAATAGCAGCCTTAAATACTTTCGAAAACAATCAATGTTATTGTAAATATTTGGGATGCTTCATGATTAATAATAGTGACCATGTGGTATAAATATTTATAACCTACAACACCCTATTTAAAGAGTTGAGTGAAAACTTTCCTCTTTATGATAGGAAATAAGATAAATAACACCCAATTATAAAACAATTCCAATTTCATTACTTGTGTCTGCTTCTCAGACAGTGAAATTTTATGTGGCTTAGGCCCTACTATCAAGTTACTTTGTGATGGATTAGCTTACTCTAGCACTTGATTAGTTTACTTATCATCACAAAAAAATATTGCTCTACTTTATTTCTATGATCTAGATATGGGTGTAATTCTGTCTCTTTCTCCACCCACACATTTGAAAATTACTCATATTGCATTAACATGATATCTGAGTAAAGTGTGTGGACAGGACCTCAAAATGTCAAATAAAAATTACGTCTCAGTTGACACCACATAACAATGGCCATCAAAATGCATTACAAGGGCTTGATATAATCTTAGATAGAATCAACCTTTCAACTCAATGCAAAGGGTAGTATGTTTGCTCAATGAATAGGTGGGTTGAAGTCCCGAAAGCACTGCTTATGGTACTGGTATTAGAATTCCTCATAGCTGGAGGAAGAATTAGAATCTGTGACTTTAAGTTAGGATCTCATATTAACTTTTTGTTTGTATCAGGGACACTGATAGCATAGATATGAGATGAACCACTCCAATTTTCAGTCAGACATGTGGATCTTGGTCTTTGAATCATGCAGAATGGTCATATTACACATTAAAAAGCTAGAAAACCTGTTTTATTTCATCATGGTATCTAGTAGCAGACCATTAAGCATACTATCCTAAGGTATTCAATCCATGGTTGTATCAAAACAATGTAAGGAACAATATGACCATGATAGTAATAGGTTAATATTTCAATGCTGTAATTATTATAGGGTCAATATTTCAATGCTGTAATCATAATAGGGTCAATGTTTCAATGCTGTAATCATTAGTAGGTCAATGGTTCATTGCCATAATCATTAATACGGTACTTCAGTATTTAAATGCTGTAATCATTTTTGGTTAATATTTCAATGCTGTATGTGATTATTAGAATCAATATTTCATTACTGTAATCATAGAATAGGGTCAATGTTACAATGCTGTTATCATCAATAGGTCATTGGTTAATGCTGTAAAGATTAATACTGTAATCATAGAATAGGGTGAATGTTTCAATGCTGTAATCACTAATAGATCAATATTTCAATGAACATTGAAACTACATGTATTTGTAATCATAGAATAGAGTCACCCTTTCAATCCTGTAGACCTAATTACCAATAGGTCATTACTTCAGTGTTGTAATCATAGAAAAGGGTCAATGTTTTAATGATGTAATCTTATGAACTCATGTTTTCCTGTCTGGTGGGTATCAGTTCATTGCTCTATTCTTAGATAAGGTCAGAGATACAACTGATAATAATACAATGTGAATAAGGATAGCTAAACCTTCTGAACTCTAGAATATGCATTTAAGGCTTAAATTGTATGTTCTCTTTGTGTTCTCTCCTCTTATTAGATGGCTAATGAACTCACTCCATGTCTACCTCAGTATTTTTACAAACTCCTGGACTTTGACTTAAGGATGGATTGGCACAATCAGTTTTTTTCATCTGATCAACTTTTATCTTGGTATCATTAATTTTTGAATCATTCAGACTGAATTTTAACTATCATCATCAACTTTTATAAACATATTAATGCTTGAGTGGACAGTTTTAAACTGAAAGTCCAGGGTTCAATCCCGCCTGTGGCAGAACTGATTTTCAACTGCTTGCCCAAATTGAAGGTTGGAGAAGCTGACAGTGAAAAAGTGTTCATTTGGTTAGATGGTTAAAAAATATATATAGAGAACTAATCTGGCTCAGGATGCCCAGAAGTTCCTTGACAGTTTGAACTAAAGAAATTTCGGATGTCATTAACATTGCTGGTCATGCTAACTTTTTTGGAACACCTGATAACACTGTGTGATTTGAGTTTATCAACTCGGCATCCTTTCCATAGACTTCACAAAGCTAATAAGCCATTGTTCTTTTATAACACATAAATAATATTGTTATAAGCTTACTGTATTTATTATAAAAACACTTATTTGAACTTATAAATGTATATGTAAGCTTCTATCAAGTTCCATGCCAGAAACCCAATAAGCTTTTATAAATTTGATATCATTGACAAGTCAAGGTGATCATAACAAAATTGAGACACAAATTGCTAGTGTGAGATTGTCAAACAACATTTAATCTTCAGATTAATATTCTAATTTAAGTACCTTATTGTTAGTTCACAGTAATATTATGTATCCAGGGACACTTTCAGCTTGTATCTGCACCATTCTTGACTCCAAGGTAAGCCACCTCATCTCCAACTCAATGAACTCATTAAACGTCTGATCAACAGCGAGGATTTGGACTTAAAAATCACCTTTCTCAGAAGCATGTGACGATTAACTTCATCGGAATGAATCTTTAAATAGCTTAATCAATTATAATGATGAAAAATATGATTAGTTTTGAGCTAGTGGGGTTTGAGTAGGAAACGTCGAGGTGGTAATTTTATGCAGTGCAGTGTGTTATGAGCCTTGTTCTGGATTCAATCAGCCGATGCGTGAATAAGTTTGATTGAATCCAATTTAATATAGTGATTTAGTCATTTTGACTTTCAGACAGCCTAGTTGTTTGTCCATTTGTGATATTTGAGCTATGTAGATAAGTTGCTAAGCAAGCCATTGATAGAAATTGTGTAAACTATGAGGAAAGAACTGTTCCGACTAGTAAACAACTATGACCTTTTCAACATTTTGAACTTTCACCTGTTTTGAGTTCAATTATTATATTGTTGCTACCTCTGATGGTCATAAGATGCACTTTTTTTATTTAATGTCCTTCAAACATTTGAAGTAAGCTCATCCTCCTGAGGATGTTTTACCTAATTATAGACATACCCAAAGCCAGACTTTCATTCTTGAAAGTGAGAGGTTGTTCATAAATTTGTAGATATTTAGATGATTATTTCATTGTAATCTAGTTAAGGACACACTTTGATGAATGTAGTGAATTTATGACTTGGGGCTAATAATTTCTTTTTGACATTTAGTCTGCTTTGGGCTGCCATAATCAATCATTTTTGGTCTGCATTAAGTTTATACTGTGTAGTAATGAAGACACAAATAGCTATAGGCTGGTGTACACTTTTTATAGAAACTAAACCAATAGATGAATAACATTATTCAAAATTCTGTTACTGGAACACCATAGGCCAGTGCTTTCATTGAGACTCAAAACACCCTAGAACAAATTTATTGCTGGTGGTCTGAAAGGCAGATATGAGTGCCACACCTTCAATTTTAAGTACTTAAAAAATGTGTTTGAAAGATGTCATGGTTACTTGCCTCAGTAATTCTGTTAAACAGAATTATGAATTATTCATGAGACTAGTAATTTTAACGAGTCAATTAAAGTATGCAATAGAGCATTACTTGTTATCCAAGTATTTATTGTTTATTTACGTTTGTTTTAAAATGTTTGTGTCAGCTTATTTGAATATTTGATTTGTTGACAAAAAATCATGTTGAGGTCAACACTAAGAATTCCTATAGTGTTGTTGTGTTTTGGTGTGCACGATGGTGTCCATTGTTGATATTTTTATATTTATTCATGATTTATTTTGGTTACTGAATATTTGGTTACCCATAACCATTCAAACTAATAATGATTATATGCTTGAATGATCTTCAATATCTATCTAAAGAGTACATGTATACTCAGTATAAGCTTAGTCAAAGGAAATATATAATGAATTCAAAATCATAGAAATTTATCCAATAAAGTCTGATATCTCTACCACTTGGCCCTCTTGAACCATATTTTATTTCGTAAGGATATAATGTGCCTGTTAAAAAAAGACCCTAGTTCCAGCCCTGAAATAACATAACATACCAAAAACACACAGAGTGCTTATTAATAACTTGTAGTAAATTGATATTTTAGTCTGTGATTTCCTTTCTTTTCATGCTCTCTTCTACAAGATGGTAACTGTTGATCTAGTTCATGGTTTACAGGTCTAGGCTACATTTGTTTAAAAGTTGAAAAGGGAAGCCAAGAATGTGATATTCATTATAAGGTCATACAGTCTAATGGGGTTGTCCATTTATTAGATAAAAAGAGGGTATGTGGACCCCTTTGATTTTAACCAACAATCAACTTCATTCATTCTTGCAAATTAGTTTATTTGTGCACATAATAAATATTTCTTTAATTTGACTTCAGTTTAATCTTAAAAGTCATGTCAAAATTCATCTCAAAAGTGATCAACAAATTCAGGTCGTTTGCATTTCTGGTACAACTAATACACAATACAAAAGAGTCTAATTGATGAAGTGTACCCCACCCCCATGTATGTAGTCTGCATCATCATGACACTATAAGTTCTGTTAAACTTGACATGATTTAGCTATCTATAACTTTTATCTCATTTTTCCTTTAGAGTTTGAGAACTTTAGACCTTGGCTAAAATATATTTTTAAGTTGCTAGTAAAAATCTGATTTGATGGCCTACTAAACTTGATTCAGATTTTATGATTTATAGCAATCTATTAAGTTATATTAAAGATGGGTTCCCCATTGAGTTTAATGTGATAGAAATGTAGTTATGTTCTGATACATTGTAAAATAATCAGCTTCTATTTTCCAAGATTTTTTTTTGTCAAACATGTTAATTTATGTAAAAAGGATTGATATATTTCGTTTTGAAGTGTTTCAAAGTTTTGAACTTAAAACAACCTTTGCGTGGGCCAGAAGCAAGTTGGTAATTGGTACAGCTAACAACAAGGCCTATTGAGTTAAAAGTTATTGATGACTTCAGAGCAGTTCAAACCTAGCAGAGATTTTGGTAGCTCTTTAAATATGTATTGCTATTACTGCCATCCATTCCTGTTTTAACATTATCTACATAGTTTCAAGTCAGTAGCCAGACTCAATTGTTTGGAGGGGCAAGTTATATAAATATATCCAAAGGGGCAATAGTGTATGGTATTTAGTTTCTGTAATGGAATTGCTTGGTTGTTAGAATTTTTTAGGGTGGTGGAGGGGTCTAGTTTATTTACGGAAGAGCATTGCTCCCCTTGTTCCCTGTAACTATGGGCCTGGTAGTGTTGCTGCAGTCTCTGCAAGGATATTTGGTTGGGTTTAATTTCCTATGCCCAGGAGTATTTAGGTAGAATTGTGATACAGTTCAAGATAATGTTATATGTTAGTATTTTCTAAATGATAACTAAATTGGTGAAATAAAATAGTTTTAGATATCATGTTAGTATTTTTACTATCTAGTCAGAAAGTTTTGTTAACGGAAAGCCATCTTTAATGTAACAATGAAGATTGTCAATAAAGTAATAGGTGTGGACTATGACATTATTAATCTAACAACTAGTTACCTAGCAAATGTAATCAGACCTGTACACAAACTCATAAGATCAATCTGACCTTCAAAAAATACTTATATATTATACAGTTCATCTATTTAGTTTTTGACCTACTTTTCCTCTCTGTAATACTGTGTCAACTAATTGCGCTTTCATATTTATTTCAATATCTCATACAAACAAAGGAAAATATAGTATGTAGTATAATAAGTGGAAGTAGACCAATTGAAATTGAAAATGATATTCCATTGTCATATAAGCTTGTAAACTGAATATCCATAACAATGCAAGATAAAGTTCAAAGTGTAGAAAAAAAAATTTTAATTACAGATATGGGAGAGATCAGTTGTGTGTTATTTAGCCAATCTAAAGTAGAATGTTTCCTTTCATATTTTGCTGAAGTTGACTCAACCTGCTACCATGATCTGAAGAAATTGTTAGCAACCATGAGTTCCATCCTATTGGGTATTAGCTTTGTTATTTAAGGTTCTTCTTTATGCAAATTTAATATCATCTTTCAGTTATCTAATTTTTCAAGAAATTTATAAAACCGCGCAAATTTTCATATAGGCTTACAGTTGGTGCTATTATAAAGCTGATATACTAATTCTTATGAATATAATCTGTAAAATTTGATACAGCAATGACCTTGGGAAAACAATAGTATCTGGTGTTGGCTAAAAATGTTCAAAGTAAACGAAACCTAAATGAGTTGTTTTGCTGTGGTTGAAGAAAAAAGAAAACAGACACAACTATCATCAAAGAATCTAGTGTTTATGTTGGAATAGTTAATCAACAAAGTCGCCAGAATAATGAGATTTTTTCAAAACAAAACATTTAAGATGTTATCCCCTTGTTTTCTTTTGCATTTCTTTTTTGTCATTAAATTTTCATCATGTAATTTTAGATCTTGTGTTTTTTTTTTAAATTTTCTTCTGCGCTGGCTTAAGGCAGATTAAGACAAACAAATTTGAATGTTATAATTGCAGACAGTTCTACTTTGAGGATACAATTTTATGGATAACAATTACCTGTATAATGACCATAATAGCTTGATAAGACATGGCAAGTCATTTATCAGAGTAATTGTTATTGACATTTTGTCCAGTTATTTACTCTTCAATTAGCATCTAAGATTGACTCAAACCTTTTCCTTTATATAACACTTAAACACTAAAATTCAATGTTGGGTTTGTCTGTCAATGTAAACTATTGAACGTAACTATGGACAAATTCAAACAACAACAATTAAACTTGATCTCCAACCTGCGTACCAACAGGGGGTGCAGAATAGACCTTGTTCATGCCTAGTTATTTAAGCACTGAAAATGAGTCATCCATTAAAAAGATGCTGAGGTCATAAGGTTGAATGAATCGCCTATATCAACAGGGTGAAAATGGGCTTAAAACTGCCCATGTGTGAAAATAGCTTAATCAATTCGATATTTAATGATATAAAATAGAAACTGATGAAGGTTAAAGGACAGTAATTTGTGAATCACATGACAGTTCCGACTGTTAAAAACTGTTTTATACATACTCTACTCACACAAATTAATCAGAGACTTTTAAATTTAATTAAAAAGAACAATAACAAAGTTATGTTCATCAAGTGAATTATAAGAAGAAATTGTAAATTTATTTTTGATCTAGGTCACATTTCTTCAGTTAGTTGTTCAAACTCTGAATCAGGTTTTCATAGGCATAGTGCCAGAGTATCAGGAATGCCATTCACAGAAAACAAATGTTCTTAGAAACATATGTAATATGTCTAACTATATGTAATACAGAAAATCTTAGATAAGTTTCATTTTGATGATGATAGTGTTTTTTTAACAAGTTTTGTATAGTGAGTAAAACCTTAAAGGAATGTTAGTAAGACTTATTTAGAATGACAAATTTGTTGGTCATGGTTAAAAAATTTAATTTTTAACACAGGTTACACAGGGTTATTAAGTTTCCTTAGGATATTTCAATTTCAAAACAATTTCATTTTTACTTTAACAAAATATTTTCTCTTTATTAAAAAAAAAGATAGTTCTGAATACAGGTATTGAAGAGCGATTTAGAAATAGTAAAACAGAACCTGAAACATGTTTTTTCTCAGAGTTTCACGCTGTGCGATATTATTCAACTTTGGCATTTACCGTACTAAAATAAAAATTATGGGAAATCGAAAATATATTTTTAAAGCATAATTGCTGATTTAATAAGTTTATGTCAAAAAATCATTAGATATCTAAGATAGCTTCACCCAACTCTAGCCCTCCAGCAATAATAATAATAATCATTGTCTTCATTATGAAAATACACAGCGAGGGGGCCAATGTTATCTAAGTGTGTTATATAGCTGAAGGGTATTTTGAAAAGCAGACTATAAGTTATCAAATACTTACTATTTGAGGAAGCTTAATTTCAGTTATTTGCTGATTCAAAATTAATGCAGAGCTGAAATTTGATTTTTTTTATTGATAGATCTCAATTTCATCTATCTTGATAAAATTTTCGAGTTGAAAAAGGACTTAAATTTGATATTAAGCTCTGTCAGCTGGTTATGCCAATATAAAGCAACTATAATCTTTCATGAGTAAATGGATGGTTCTTTCTATAGAAAGTTGTGTTGTCCTTTGTTGTTGCTTTTGTAAAGATTGCATCCAAAGTAAATTCTAAAACTATGGTCAACCAATGGTCCAAACCATCTCAAAATCTTCAATGACTAAACATATGCCACATAATGAAATTAAAGTTTTCTTCATTTGTCAATGAACAGTTAGATGTACAGATGTTATAAAGAAAGACTGTGTTTAAAACAAGATTTCTGACAAAATGAATCATTTTTATGCCATATGGTTTGATGATAAATTCTCTTTTTACAGTCATGAATACTATTATGTATTTCTGATTTAGACTCAAACAAGTGAATTACATGTGAACAAAGAAAATATAATTTTGTTTCATTCTCTAATGCAGTCCTAATCTAAAGATGTTATTTAGAATTAACATTTATTAATTTTTTCGATTTTAAACCAATCAAAGCATGCCATGTAGAACCAGTTTCTTCAAACAATAATGACCCAAAGAGGCTGTCATATTTCTCTACTTTTGGTTTGAAATCTTAGCTTAATTTCCATTTTTCTAAACCACTTTGCAGAGGTGGCATTAGGTGTTCAGGTTACTCAAATTACTTGAGCTTAAATTCAATAATGTTGCAATTATTGGAGCTGTAATTAATATAAGCTTGATTACATCAACCACATCCATTTTTGATAGAAAGTAGGAGCAACTGATAGCAGTAGATTAGTTGGTAGTTTGCTCAATGAAATCTTCAGATTCTCAGTTGCTAGCAGTATTTAAAAATCAGCTACTTTCACAAAAGTATTCACCACTTAATTAATTTGTATTTTTCAGTTTTATTTTATATCCTGAGTTGATGAATGATCTATTATATTATAAAAATAACTTTATATATTTCATGGTGGCTGCAACTACAGGTAATATGGTTTAATTATATATTTTATATCTTATATGTTAACTGTATCTATGGAAATGAAGATTACAAAATTGATAATGATTAATTCATAATGACTTTAAAGGTGTAGAAGAGAAGTTAACATTGAATAAATTTTGTACAATGTTTACATATAAGCCTATGTAAATTAAAGTTGGGGAATACACGATGTATCATCACTCATTGGTATCTGCGTTATGCCAACTGGTTCATTTTTGCATCCGTAAGGTGTTATATATACTATATTCCATGAAACAGGACTGATTATACTTAAGATGATAATTAAAATGTTCCTGAAATGAATTATTAATTAAACTTTTAATATATCACTTTGGTGGGTTTTTATTGTGTTATATTTCTCAAAAAACCATTGGTGGAAGTGTTTTAATGTTTTTATTACCAGCTAATAGACCTGAATTTTAGCAATTTGTATCACTTGTCAGACCTAAAATCTGAGTTTGGGTGGTCCTACCATTAAGGCTAAAACTTTTTTTTAACTAATGAATAATAATTTGATGGTTGTGACGTAGAACCATATAGAAATTGATCATTAATGAACGCCACTGCAAATGTTCTTTACTTCCAAGTTGTTATAATGATTGTTTTATGTTTATTTCAGGGTATTTTGTTTATGATTTTATTGATATGATAATCAATAATAAAATATTTAAATTATGGGAAATAACGTTACATCATATAGCTGTAAGTAGTTAATATGTATATTCAAGAGAGTAGACTTGCTTATGCTCATATGTTTCAATACAACCTGCAAGTCTATGATAAATTGAAATTCAAACTTTTATTCTAAATCTAATCTAAATTCATAGTTGAGCTATATGGACTAGACTCACACTAAGTGATAATTTCAATAGTAATAAAACCTCTATTATCACTATTGTATATCTCAGTAATAATGTACTAGTAGTTATCAGATTTGGCAATGGTTAATCATTTATCAGGTTATAGTTAACATTGTTTCTTCTATCAGGACACAGACAACAAATTCTTCTTGTTCAATAATATAAAGATCCCTATCAAATTTCAAACTTAATGCATTGTTTTTTGTTTTTGAGTAATTGCTCTTGTCTTGCCATCGGTTTGACATTAGTCTCAGAAACAGAAATTTTTTATCCAAGCTCATCAATAATAGTGTTCACAGTTCACCTTTGAAATTTCAACCTGTAAATTCATGTTTGTTCAGAATTATCTGTGTTAAACGTTAAAAAGACAACTGTCTTTCTTTGAAACTCTATATAGAAAAGACCTACCAGGCATATAGAAATAGAAAGTGAAATTCCTAATTTGAGATATTTTTGAAGAAATTATGCAAATGTACATTTCTAATACTTCTAAAGACTATTTACATATATCTAAGTCCCAAATCAACGTCCGAAAATATAATCCATTTTCTAGTATGGATATTCATATTTATGAAGATATGGAAAATTGTTGATGCTCTCTTTGCTCTGACATAGATGATGAGTTATTTCCCTTGAACCATAGATACATAATATTATTTGGTCTCATTTCAGGTTATTTCAATGTTTGGTTTAAATGTTTATGAAGGATCATACTTAGCCTTTACTTGTGTGGCCTTACTAGCAGAACTCAATTCCTTTTTCCTTCATTCAAGAAAACTCTTGCAGATGATGCAGTTTCAATATGATAGTAAATTTTACAAACTTGTGTGCTTTTTAAATCTTATGTCATTTTTCGTCTTTCGTGGAATTTCTGTCATATCCATAGATTTGTCCCTGTATTACTGGAGAGAAAAAGCGAAAGCAACAAATGTTTATTATTATTCCTTGTGTACTTCCATGATTTTTATGAATATCATGTCACCAATATTCTTTTGGCGTCTGCTGAAAAACGACTTTTTACGGAAACCTAAGAATGTCAATAGTGTGAATAATAGTGAAAAGATAAAAGTTAATGGTAACAACAATGTACTTCATTTAAATGATTTACATTTAAAAAACCAATGAAATGATATATATTGGTCAGCATGCGCACAAACTGTTTCATTGTTTACTGTTACATTTTTCTCAAGTTAGAATTTAAACACAATTCATTTTGTTATCATTCTAAGGATCATAACTAAGAAATGAACTAAGAACTTTGAATTGCCACATGTTAGTTATACACCCATTTAATGATATAAAAAAATGGTTTAGTTTATTTTAAAAGTTACAATATATTCGTAAATGATCACAAATGGTTTGTAAACATGTTTATATAGCCACACTTTACACCATTTTTCATTTTTCATGTCCAGGGGGAATTGTTTAACTGATATTGTGAATGCTCCAAAATTAAGCTTTAATTATTTATAATATTTAAGCCATAAATATCTAGTGCCATGGAAAGAACACAAACAAAACTCGGCAAAGTTCTGTTGAAACATCGGTGATTTCCTCTAAATATTATCTATCATAGACCAGAAAAAATCTGGGCATTGTTCAAAAGAAATTGGTTTATATTTATTGCTTTGGAATATGACAACTGCTGATTTTACTCATATCAGTTTCCCACAACTGGATCTAAATCTACCAAAGACACAATTGTAAAGTTTATATATTTATATCTTTTTTTGATTAAGGCATTAACATGTTTAGCCTAGACATAATTACGGGAGACTAAGCCACCCTAACTCCTTGACTCCTCAGGATCAGTTGTAGAAAAATTTATAGAATCACATAGAATTGAAAGGTTATCACAATCAAGTACTTCTGTATGCTTTGTAATTTGATAGGAAATGGGGTATGATAACCATTTGTATTTCATTAAATTTTGCAAAAGCATTTTGTTTGTATACAACATAATGCCAATTCTTCATAATTTTGTTTTGCCTTGTGCTATTAAGCTACATATTGTACATCATTGATTTAAATAAGCATTTTAATTTATTCATCAACTTCATCTCAGTAAGCTTAAAGAAATACTTCCTCTTACGATGACGGAAAATTTAAAAATTTTACACTTAGAGGAAATGAGCCTATATGAGACTTATTTGGTGTCATAACAATACAACAGAGTCCCTCTATAATACAATAAATCCATAAAACTTAAGTAATTATTCATAAAAATGCAGGTGATTATTGAAAATATTTTTTAAGTTTTAATCAATAATTACTTAGTTTAATGGATTTATTATCTGCAAAAACACATATAGGGATTCTGTTGTTTAGTTAACTTCACTGATAAATATACACTTATTGACCAAGTTTAAAATTGGAAATTTTATGTTCATTCTAAGAGGTTGTACATAAATTTTGAATTTTATGTTGGGATTGTTCCTACCTGGATTCAAGAAGATACAATTTAGTCATCTATAATATCTGTACAGTTCTTGTGTAAGATAGTATGATCATTAAAAGTCAGCCCTCATCATTGTAATCTTTCATTGGCACACAGTTGCTATATATATAAAAAATATCTATGTAAGATGGAGAGATAAGTTCCTTACAGTACATGTGACACAATTAATGCCATATTTGGTAGTACTTTATGTATATTGTTGAAGTACTTGACTGGCACAATGATATACACTTGGTAATTTATTTTTAAGTCTTTAGTTTATAGTTGTAGAAAATTATCCGGTAGCTTAGTTTTAGCAATCTTTTTTACTGTTTTATTTCGTAATTTATTCCCCTTTTTTTAATTTTTTTTTTCTATTTTTATTTTTTTTAGTTGATTTTAGAAAGACAATTTGTTTATTTTTATCTATTTTATTTTTAAAGTTGAATAACGCAAAGGAAGCGTACTCCTCAGAATAGCTCTGCTAAGCGATATGAAATACAATCAAGTAAATTGATGCATAATCCCACATGAAGTTAGCAGAAATATTTTTATGGTTTTTGATTTATCATTATAACATAATATACTCCAAAAAAGATATTTACTGTATGATTAAAACAAAAACTCGAGCAGTCCATTTTAATTTTAGGTAGTAAATAGTAAAAGAAACAATGCAGACTAAACTTACATTGTGTTGACTAATACTAAAACTACCTAACAATAAAATGGACTGTTCGTGTTATGTTTTGAATCACCTGGATGAGCAGAAATATCTCTGTTTAACTACACCGTCAAATTTAGACAAATCAAAATATTAGGTTCTTTATTGTTTTAGCAAAAGAATTGTTAATTGTTCACAATTAAATATATTAAAGTATTCACACATTTCTTTAAATCAAAATATTTGCTAATTGTTTTATTGTTACCATAGTTGTTACTTAAGAGTAACACTGAAGATTTTCAGGTTACTGAACTGTTTCAGCCTGTGTCCCTGCTGAATTTTTTACATTGTCAGGTTGTTGAATTAGTATTTAACCCTTTGAACCCTGAGTGCAAATGAAATAAAACGTCATATACCTTGAACTTCAATTGATATTAAAAAAGTGCATGACGTTATCGTTGTGTGACGTCACTTAGTAACGGCCGGTTTACCAGCTACTCAGATATTTATTGTGGTAGTGTCTGGCTGGTAAACCGGCTGTTGGGGTTGTAAGGGTTAAGAGTTAAAACTTTTATCTTATTTGAAAAATTGTTATGAACTGGTTGAACCACTTGTTTGAGTTAAAGACAATTTTGAGTCCTGTAGGTAGAGGTTTTCTCTGTTTTTAGTATCAATTTTCCATCAGATGTCTGCTGTTCATGTAGAAATACTTAATTGCACATGATGTCACTATCACAGCAGAAAATATAAGGGTCTTAGTGATTGCAATGTCAATAAAACGCTTACTTGTAGTGGGATTGCAAGAACCATAGAAATCTGATTGAAAATTGTAACTTTTTGACAATCCCTTTTTACCTTGCAGTTGATAAGTTGCTTTGATTGTTATAATTTTTGCTCAATGTAATCCCGCTGTATTTTTTAGCTTAATGAATTTGGTATGACATTTTTTAAATCACTGTATGTATACTGAATAACGTACATGCACTGCTGGTCAAGATTTTCTATTAGTATCTATAGTTATAAAAATATTTTTGATAAGATTTACTGAAACAGCAGTAGAAACTAGTTAGATATTGTCATCAATATTCACTTCTTGCCTTGTCTATTGCCTTATATTCATCTTGGATCTCCAAAGTCAATAAGCTATACCTTACTGTCTAATTGGTGAGGTAGTTTTACAAACCAACAATCTAAATAAAAAAGCATTGAATCTTTATAATGTTTATATGATATTAATGTTATTTTGGAAATATAGAATATATCATACTTTTTTACTCTTCTTGTCGAACAAGAAAGTTAAATTTTGTACAAAATATTATCTTAATATATTCTGAGTATAAACATATCTGTAATATAAAGTACCCACTGAAAGTGCCAACATGGAATGTTAGAAAGCCTAATTTGGTATTAAGCATACATATATTTTTCCCTCTGTCTTACTTTTTTGTATTTTTTTTACATCAGTTGGTTTGTAAATCTACTACTCTATATTTATTATATAATTTGTGTAAAATGTCATACCAGAGTTGTGTACTGAATTGAATTGTTTTGCCTTATATAATGTTTGTATAAGATCTGTTATATATTAATATTTTGTTTACATGTTTATTTACATGACAATAATGAACATTATTTATCATGAATCTGTCTGTTTAATTTCAATGGCGTTAAAATGTCCCAGAAAAGTCTCGGATCTGTTGTTAGTTTATTGCCTAATTATGAACTTATAGAACTTTGAACAATGATTGGTTGGTATTTTAGCAGGGAGGATATAGACCAATCAGATTTTATCTAGTTTTGACCTCAACACATTTCACAACCAGGACATCTTGATCTCAACACATTTCAGGACATCTTGATCTCAACACATTTCACAGCCAGGACATCTTGATCTCAACACATTTCACAACCTCAGGACATTTCACAACCATAGCATCTTCATCTCAACACATTTTACAACCAGAGCATCTTGATCTCAACACATTTCACAACCAGAGCATCTTGATCTCAACACATTTCACAACCTCAGGACATTTCACAACCAGAGCATCTTCATCTCAACACATTTTACAACCAGGGTCTTAATCTAAAAAAAATAAGCATTTGAACCCAAAATATCAAAATTTCGATCCTTTTCACAAAGTTATGCAGAGATTTTATCCTCTGGTTTTGCAGTCAAAAATACTTTTGACCAATGTTTTATATCCTGCATGTCTGAAAGGATAAATGATGAAACCGAATCTGACACAATGGTGTTTTTCCAAAATTATCTTATGTAAACGAATACCTTGGTGTAATCAAATTATAAGAGATGTGGTCTTCACCTGGTATTCAAGAAGGTTAACGCTCGTGACTTGATTGTGTTAACCTTCCAATACTTTGAACTCATTATTTTACTGGATTAGCACCAACTTGCTACATGTTGACAGTCACTTTAAAGTTATTCTCCATACCAATAATACTATTTTAGTAATGTCCAGTTAATGCCTAATTAAAGTTAAAAACCATCGTCTAAAACTACTCGGACCAAATACCTTCTGAGTGGGTTTGTTTATGATATTATACACCGAGCGACAAGAACTAATAATTCTGGTTTCTTCAACGTATCGCCATACCTTGAAGGAAAGTGTTTTAGGTAGATAGCTATTTATTAACTGGAAAATTACAAAATACCGCTGAGGTAGGCTACGTATTGTTTTTAAATATGTGAATTCGTTGCATTGTCAAATTCAGACGAGATTTCTGGAGCGAGGAATGTCCGAAATTAATGAAGTGACATAATCATTTAGCGAATGCTCATTTGCACCTGGACGCCAGATTAAGAAGACATGATTTACTTGTCATAATTAATCAGTTCCATAGAATCATTAATAAAACCTGGATAACCCAATATGACATCGTGTTATGTAGCAGGCCAAATTGTGTCAAAGTTGGCACTTATGACAATTTATCAAATTCCAAACTTGTGCCCCTCATTATCTACTGCTCAAGCCTTTTCTATTCTGAAGGACACGGGTAAGGTAAGGTTTTCCAGGTTCATAAAGCGTTTCATAAGTTGTAATTTTTTTTAATTTTTTGTCGGATTTTGTAACAATTCTAGAAAATCAAAAGAAGAGATTTCATCGACAACTTCGAATATTAGTTATAAGTTCTTTTCTGAATTTAAATTCTTTATATGCACATGTTTTAAATAAATGATACTGTTGGTCTGGTCTGCTCACCTTTGACGTAGATTTGTTAAAACATGGAGCGGGCCCTAACTGTTCATTATTTTTCAGGATCGTCGAAAACCAGTAAAATGAATTCTCTATTTTTGATTTTGAAACTATTAGTCACTGCAGGTAAGTCGGGTCTGATCAATTGAACATTATCGTATCTATACTGTCCGACCACTATCTTTCTGATTTGAATAATGACGTTTTTGAGTACCTATAGTGTCAGACCACTATCATACTTTCTGAATGCCAGTTACTCTCAAATGAATTGTAATTTCAACTCTATAAAATCAATATTGTGAGTCTAAGGGGTTGATGAAAAACTTATTTTCGTTCATTTTCAATCTAAAATATGTTCTATTTTTAATTATACAAAGTGTGTTTCAGATGTAACATTATCAAACCTTAACAGTAACCCTGGGTATAATAAGACTTCTAGTTCTAGGCATCTTGAACAAATCTTTATCTTTTCTTTTCTTACAGGTTGTATTGAGATGATCAACTCACAGTTTTACTGTCAGTCATCAAATGGTTTTTATCCGGATTCCAACGATTGTGCCTACTATTATCTGTGTTCTGGTGGAATACCACACCATATCATGTGTCCAACTGGAACTTTATGGGATCAAAGTGTCCTGACGTGTAACCATGCTTCGGTAGCAGAATGTTACACCAGATATTCCTGTCCAGAACCAGAAGGTTTATTTCCAGTAGATGATGATTGTGGGAAATATCTCAACTGTTATGAAAATATACCCTACATTCAGGAATGTCCAGTAGGTCTTCACTTTAACCCTGATGCTTTACTTTGTGATTATCCTATGGAAGCAAATTGTCAAAGCAATTACCGTAAATAAATTAATGTGATTTCTTTTCTAGTAGTCTTATTTCGCGGAGGTACACATAGGCGTGCAAGAAAGATTTTGAATCGCGGGAAAGTACATGCCCAAGGGCGGACTGAGTAGCTCTGAGACCTCATCCAGTTGCCAAACAACACAATCAGCCATTGTTCATGATGCCAGGGTCACATCATACTTTCCATATCACGTTAATTGCTGCAGGATAAGGCATTTCAGATAGCAAACCAAACTTTGAAATGATATAACAGAATGACTATGTCAGTAGACAAAAGCCTATTAGTACTATGTTCTGTAGACCTTGCATGGCTGTAGAAAAATGAAAACATACTAGATCAAAATTAAAACTTAGCCTTCTGATAGTTGAGTTCCATGAAACATGATATATATAGTAAGAACAAGATGTATTAAATAACATTTATTACTTAGGATTAACAATGACAAAAGAGGCCCTATATTGGTTCTCAAATGTTAGGTTACATTGTGTCTTACTGAATCATTACTATTATGACATAGGAATGTTGGTTTTACAATTGTCCATTGATCAGTATTTTCAATATTATTTTATGACTTTTCTTTTGAGACAATTAACATGTGTATAATTATTGACAAATATTTCACATCAAATGCACATCAAAGTTATACTAATATGTACCCAAAGGCTTAAATTCGATAGAATAGTTTCAATTATCTTTTTCTTAAATTTCACACTTAAAATTCCATAAACAATATTGTACACCATGAGGTGTTCACAGATATCCCTGGTTTGGATCCATAGACTGATGGTATATACTATAATTATACTGAAACATTTTACAAATTACTTGCAGTTTCTATTTGCTTAGATACACATGTATATAATTAATTTTCACGTCTAAAAAGCTAGAAATAAGTTAGCATTAGACTTGACCTTTTCCTTCAATACATAGTTCAGAGTAATTTTGATAACAGAACAAATAGATAATATCAATTGTAGATCTAGCTGTTTTTTTTATGTTCCGTGTTTACAGAGGATTATTGATCATACCGTGGATAGCTAGTGCAGTAACTCACAGAAAAAACATGAAACAAAGCAAAACATCTTCATCTGCATTTCAATTAGATTTCATATTAAATTCACTACCTCCAATAATCAGAATAATATAAACTTCTACAAAAATATAAAAATATTCCCTCTCCCAAATAAATTAGAACCATAATATATTCACATGAACCTGTAGCCTGGGACTTGATGATCTCGGATAGATGTAGTCTATGATGATTATCAACATCCAGACTAGTCAACCCCCAAAATTTTCAAAATATGATTAGGTTTATTGCACTGTCATTTGACCAGTTGAAGTGTCCATCATATTCTCTCCTCCCATAGCTGAAGAGTTCGCATCAAGAGGAGTAACTTGTTGTGGAAGTAAAGGTGAAGGAAGATTTAAATTCTTAGTGTCATCTGTTTCATCCAGGTCTGCTTTTGTTTTCCTTGGCTTTACAATTAATGGGTTACTCATGACAACCCTATGGATTTCTTTAATAAAGTTTTCTTTAAATTCCACCATATCTTGTTGTAGTTGCAGGGTTTCTGCCATCATTTTTTCTTGCCTTGTTCTCATGTCGGATAGGGAGCGTAAATTCTCATGCATTAATCGTAGTCCTTCACACATATATTGAGTATCTGATGATGGAGTTAGTTCCCCTGACATATATCTATCATATTCTTGTTGAGACAGGCTTAGAGAGTCAGCTGTAAGATTTTCAATAAATGCAACAACACAACACTGAAATTAAAACCAAAATTCTTTTTGAAATATAACGCCTTCAAGAAATACAACATATGTTCAAATTACAATATTCTATGGAAATTTTGGATGTACAAAGTAAAAGGCTTATTAAGGCAACCGATCTCATTTAGTGGGCAATGGCATTAGTCTGCTCTTTTTTAATTTTCATTAGGGCCCTCCAAACAACAGACACTTTTTCAAATTCTATGTAAATTTTTCATGTAAAGTCCAATTTTTATGTACCCGAAAAAATGTAATGAAGACAACCACAGCCATACAATGGAAAATAAGGACAGTTTTGCAGGAACACATCAAAGTAGCCTATGATGTTTCCACACAGCTTCCACATTTGAAATCTCAACACCAACAATAAGTCCCCCAATTAAATAAGTCTGTCCTTTTATGAATAAACTTACCAAATTGGTAAAATAATATCCAGCCTCACCACTCATTAATCTACTAGGGTTAGCAAATCTTGTGATATACTGTATATTGGATTGTAATAATGGTGGATTAGCTTTTAATACAATATAGATCAGAGCTGGTAAAAACTCATCTGCACTAGCTGGTCCTTGTTTAGTCTGACGTAAAGCCTCAAATATATGTTTACTACATTTGACTACACTTTCTAACTTGTCTTGAGTGGCTCTTTTAGAATCCATTTCTATTATATCTATAATAACAGACAGAAAAGATATTTTTAAATCTTAAGATGAAAAATGTATGCTTTTATGGAACAAAATTAGTCATGTAAACTAAAAAATAAGAATCTTGCCTCTTAGAACTTTAAGCTATTAGCTCATGCTTTTTATACTTTTGGCTCTTACCCCATGCAAAAAACTTCTTAAATATACCCCAGCTTCAAGCCCAATGACTCTTGCAATACTTTATGCTATAGATTTTTATAAAACTATTAGATTTTGGGTCCCAAACATATTTTGATTTACAATTCACATTAATAAAATAATTACCTGTGATAGCTTTGTCTACTTCAAGTCTAATATCAGAATCTTTTTCATTGATCATAGCATCTAGTTGTTGAGCTGTCACCCAGTGTAAACTACGTATTTTAGACTGAATAGCTAAATCTTTTTCTTCATCATTAGTGGTAGGGGGACAAAATAATATCCTATACAGTCTAGTTAATATATATCTTTCTGTAAAATCCATTATCTTCTCTATAGCATCATGACTTAAACCTACAAATAGATCAGTTCTCTATAGCATCATGACTTAAACCTACAAATACATGTAGATCAATTCTCTATAGCATCATGACTTAAACCTACAAATAGATCAATTCTCTATAGCATCATGACTTAAACCTACAAATAGATCAATTCTCTATAGGATCATGACCTAAACCTACAAATAGATCAATTCTCTATAGCATCATGACTTAAACCTACAAATACATGTAGATCAATTCTCTATAGCATCATGACTTAAACCTACAAATAGATCAATTCTCTATAGCATCATGACTCAAACCTACAAATAGATCAATTCTCTATAGCATCATTACTTAAACCTACAAAAAGATCAATTCTCTATAGGATCATGACTTAAACCTACAAATAGATCAATTCTCTATAGGATCATGACCTAAACCTACAAATAGATCAATTCTCTATAGGATCAAGATTAAACCTACAAATAGATCAATTCTCTATAGCATCATGACTTAAAACCTACAAATAGATCAATTCTCTATAGCATCATGACTTAAACCTACAAATAGATCAATTCTCTATAGCTTCATGACTTAAACCTACAAATAGATCAATTCTAAGGTGACGTGGAATTTAACTCAAATTGTGATTTGGATATGCACACATTAACATAGATAAACTACAAATTTCTTTATTTCTGTCTCATTGTAATCTAACAAGTTTTCTACTGCAGTTCCTTTCTAAGGACATATTTTTAACCAACCAAGCGTTTCATGTAGGACCTGTTTCTAGATAATGATGACAAATTGTGGTATATCAAGGCTCTCATTTTACTTTACTATGGGTTCTAAATTAGATTGAGGCAGTATAAAATATATCTAGTTAGTAAGACTAAAAAGACTAAAAAACAAACAAGACATTTTCGTTAATCAAAATCTCATCCAAAGTATCAAGAGTAGTGTACTCTACCAAAGAGCAGTACCATCAGGTGTTTTGAAAAGAGTTAGCATGATCTGCTTCACCCACCACTAATATATAGAAAGTAAGTAAGATAAAAATCAGTATCTGACATTCCAGGAATGCTCTGAAACAATTGCATTATGTGTTTTAGATTTTTGTATTATCTGTAAGCATTGTATAATTTCAGAATTTACAATGTTGTAATTTCTCTTTGCACGCAGCAAAGTATATTATTGTGCACTTTCAAATTGATACTTAATGTAAAAGAAGTATGTTCTCTTCTTGTGACCTTGGCCAGTGCTTCTATAACACACAACACTCACCCTTGAATACTGACATGGAATGTAATTTATCATTTAATGTTTGGTAGAAATCTTGCACCATCTCTGATACATCATCTATAGGATAATCACCATACTGTGGCATCCTCTCAATAAAACCTCTCACTTGTTTCGAGATTTCTAATGCTGCTGGTTTTCTCAATGATTTCAGAAAATCTGTGAAATCTTGTCCCACTTTTTGGCTTTCTATACTTGACCTGCGAGTTTCTTTCTTCACATGACCTGACTGGTCTGAAGATGTGTCTAAAAATAAATAACATAACATTTTGGATAAAAATTCCTGGTGGCTAAGTCTAATAGTGCCTCAGATTTATAATAATTACCGTACTTGAGGCATATAGGAGGGACAAAATGGGAAAAGTCTCTCATTTTATGCATGGGACCATAAAAAGCCTTCTGTGACAAGATGCCTACACAATTGGAAAATGGAAGGCAAATTGGTGCAAATGATTTTATCAACTTTTAACATAAGGTACAGTAGAAAACTAACCTTTGGTTGGTGTTTTCCTAAAAATAGCTTTAACAGTATTGGTTCTTTTATTACTCTGTTGAGTTTTCTTTTCAGCAAATTTATTGAATGATGCTGGTAGATCTATTTTTCTGCAAAAAAAAGACCACAAGTAAGTACAGGTTGTATCATAAAGTAAAGAGTTCTAATTAATTCTACAGGGCAGATTTTTACTCCAAAACAAGAAACAGGCATTGATTTCACTTTAATTCAAAGTCACCAAACTATCATCACATGCCGACTGAGGTAAAAACCTACAACCACCATTTGTTTGAATTTTTCAACAGAACCCCTCAAATGGAACTCACTTTGTTTTGGCTTCTTGTTGATATTGATCATGTTGTAGTTGAGCTTGTTTAGCACTTTGATAAACTTCTCTGTAACATTTGGAACAAAACCCCTGCCAGGCTGGATTACCATAAAATCCACAACCATTTTTACATAATAAATCTGACTTATCAAGATGTATCTTCTTTCCCTTTTTATCTTCTTTACTTTGTTTCTCTGCTGAACTCATCTTTGTATCTGGAATAAGGTAATACTAAAACTTTCAGCAACGTTTAGTGTTTATTTTTACCAGTTAATGTCTCACTCCAATCTCCAGATGACACCATTAAACTTAAGCTGCCTGTTAAATGTATGATGTTTGTCTACAATTACATAACATTATTGTTGCCAACACTATACAAAACAGTTCGCTTTTATATAAATTTTGGACCTTCTCTAGACAAAATATCTGAACAAAACATAATATTAAATTGAAATTAAAATCAGTTACACAGATTATACAAAACTCCTCAGTTCTCAAATATTATATAGCAATTTCAACATAATCCATTAAAACTGAATAGATTCTACTCTCATTGCCTTTGGCAGCAGCTGGCTCTAACTCTGATGTAAAATAGCCTATATATAGACATAAAATACAAAATGGACTAGGCCTATGGCTACACATAGTTCAGTAGCTGATAAAGTATTTGGTTTACACTAGCTGAAAAAGCAGTAGATGTTGTTCATTCTTCTCATAATTCATACATATTTAATAATGTTCAATGAATATATAAATGTGATTATGCCTAAGCTAGGATGCAAATGCTGATATTACAATACGCCTAGGCCTAGTGAACAATGTCAATCTGTTGTTGATGTTGTATAATAATAATAAAAGCCAAGGTATGAGTCTGAGTACTGACGTGTAGGCCAGACAGGAAAAACAATTTGGTCCCAAACTGTCAACTCAGCTAAATGATTTAAAAAACATTACCACTGATGCTATTCCAACACAGCCTCTGAACACGACCAAAGTAAAAGAGCTGGATATATTTGTTATTTCATTTAATCAATTCATCGTCTTGTGATCTGATCGACTTCCATTAGTAGGTCACTGTGACATTATATTTCTGACCTGATTTGGTTTCGTACTTTTAAATATTTCTGACATGATTTGGTTTCGTACTTTTAAATTTTCTCTTCATAAAAGTGTTACTTTCGATAGAAAAGTTGTATATTAAGAAATTCGTGCAAATTTTCTTTTTGATGTTTAAAGATTTAAATACTGGTTGTTAACTCTCAAGAAAGATTCCCCTTTTTTCTTCAATAGAGCGGTGAATGTAATTTGCCGACTTGCCGTCCAATGAAAATTAAATAACTTCCTAGGAATATCATCATCATATTCATAGGATGTATTTCATAACACGATAGTACAAAGAGAGATGAGCGCAACCCATATTTACTTTGAAATAGTCCATCAAAGCTTGCAAAGTCTAGACTATGAGCTTTGAATACAAGGGCAATTGAACATTCATTATATAATATAGTACTTTATCGGATCGATCCAGATATTCCTGTTCAGTGTTGAACACGTAATTTCGGTTTCTTGATGGCTACACAACTGGCTATCAAGTTAACATGGTCAGTTGGTTACTTTATAAAGTCAGCTCCAAACTGAATAGTTATCAATGTGATAATGACTCATCAAATCAACAAATTGTATAGTTCTATATAGATAGATAAAACTAATTGATAGACCTGGTTGAGAAATGGCGCGGTTATCTTTCAGTTGTATCTTTCAATCCGGAATACAAAATTTCATACGGCCTGGATGGTGTCCTGGGATACGATCTTTACATGGTCATCAAGAAACGTAAGCATATTTTGTCAAAAAGGGTAGTGCATCTTTAATAGGCCTATGTAACTTAGTCACAACTGAGTCACATTAGGCATATGTGTCTGCACTATGTCAATTTCAATACACTTTATTTCATATGGGCGTGAATTAGATAGACCAAAGGTCAGCCACAATACCAAGTGGTTTTATATATCCATGATAAAATCACATGTTTTGCAAGTACAAAAAAAAACAATCTTTTAAGCTTGTGATAGGGTGAAATCTGTTGAACGTCGCTGCAAGATCCTACATCCCTTATTTAGTAGCGAGTCAATACCCTTCATCACTTTTTAATTGAAATTTCAACGTACCGTCGTCGTTTATAATGATACATAACATGCAGCCGACAATGTCTTGAGAAATAGTGTAAAGTTTATAATTCCAATCACAAATCTTTATTGATTAAAAACTTTCACCTATGTGTTTATTTTAGTTGGAAATGTATTGAGAATACAGAAGAGAGGATGAGAGAAATATTGAATGGTTTATATAGATTGGTACAAGATGACGATACAGGTTCATTCTATGATGTTCATTTAGTAAGTATATCGATAATTTATAATGTTCATTTAGTATGTATAGTTAGTTTATGATTAATGATGTTCATTTAGTAATTATATCAAAAATTTATGATGATCATTTAGTATGTATATCTATAATTTATGATTTATGATGTTCATTTAGTAAGTATATCGATAATTTATGATGTTCATTAAGTAAATTTATCGTTAATTCATGATAATTTATGATTTTGATTTAGTAAGTGTATCGAAAATTTATGATTTATGCTCGTCATTTTTTAAGTAGCGGTATCTCATTTTTTATGTTCATTTGTTGCTCATTTCGTCAATATATCTATAATAATTCATGATTTATTGTATTCATTTAGTATGTTTCTATAATTTATGATGTTCATTCAGGAAGTAGGCATGGATAATCATAGAGGTATACAAAACACTTTCTATTCAGTAAGCAAGTGGTATTGTATGTATGTCACACCATTCCGATTTCCTGTCTAATGTCTGTGGTTCCCGTGTAATGCCAGAAAATGGTAGTGCGACTAAGGCATAGATATTCTGGTTGTACAAAGAGTGCTGTGCTATTTGAAGACATGTGGGTTTGCTATGCCGAACCTTCTGAGATTTCTAGTATTAAATCAGCTTTTTTTTTTTCAGATTACCAATGATTTTATACGTATTTTGGTGTTTACTTGGGCAGAATGGTTAGATGTAATAGAAATTAAATTACACCCAGAAATCACCTATGTATGTAAAATGTTTGTATAAAAGTTGTATTTGTTTTTGTTTTTTTGGTAATTTGGAATAATTTTGCCTCAAATTCATCTTCGTCCTTTTATGACAATGTTAACTAAAATATGAGCCTACTGAAAGTCAGAATATAAGGTTTTGAAATTATTTTTGAAGCGTATATAAAAATTAACATTTTACATTACCTTTCAGGTAAAATCATTTTCAACGGGGCTGTTTCCTCTCAGTATACCATTCGCCTGCCTTTTAAATGTGGTAGGCATACATATCGTAATTATATTGCATGTCGTTCTTTACACTTTCTCATTGAACAGTGGAAACGCTCCGAGAACAACACCCAGATAGGCTACAGGTTTTTCAAAAAGATGGAAGTAATTCATCGGTAACGTTGGATCCGCACCGTCACTTGCAGGGCGTTATAATATTACGACGTAGTAATTGTAAGAATATTAAATGGGCTCTTAAGAGATTTTCTAGCTTTTTTATGTGTAGGCCTATTGGAACTTCGTCTATTTGCATCATTCCAATTCCGCTCGATGTCTGTTGGTCCTGTAATATAGCATGTTGATTATATTTAAGGGCCGTTGCAAAGGCAACGTCTGAAAGCGTTCAGTTTTAACAGAATTACAAAATTCAGATATCTGAATGGTGCAAATCGATTCTATCAAAATCACCGATACCAAAAAATAATTTTACAAAACCACTTCACAATCCCTTTATTAATAAAAGTCTGGAATTCCTAATGGTGGTAGGCCAAACTATCACTGAACGTTATTGTTTTTATGCGGTCTTGAAAAGGTAACGATTTAGATTTTCTTTACTAGCAGATAGTGCATGGGAAATGCAATTTCTGCTTTTTCTCCGGATTCCATTTCATTCCTTAAATTTTTCGTTAAAAAATCTCTCTATAGGATTCCTGTTATTATGTTTTGTTCGTTACAGATATTTTTCTGGGTGCCATTCTTAGATAAAGGATTAAATAAAGAAAGAATTGAAAAACTGCGCCACAGAATGGCACTTCAGTTAGAAGTTGGTGGTATTAACTGATCAACAACTGAAAACCAATCACTACTTTTTTTTATGGTAAATGAGATGAGGCATCAACTCAGACTTTTCTTGTCTTCTATTAATGGTTTTTCAGACCATTCCATAATATGAAGATCAGTTTTACTGACAATGCATATGAATTTTTTAGTCAAGAAAGACAAAATAAATTTCTTTCACGTATTTGTTTGCATATAAATGTTACCTCAATATTTGTGTAAATGGATTAATGGATTATCTTTTTTTTAATAAAACAATTGCCTTATTTTCTTGATTTCCATTTCCCAATTATGTATTCTTCATACCCATAACGATCTATATCGTGGTATAGTACCTCTTAGTAAAAAAAAGTTTTGTGTTACCTGAAACTTATAGAACCGAAGATCTGCAATGAAATTGAATAGGAACTTTTAATGGTCAGAAATATCACATTAGGATATAAAAACCCTGTTGAACACTTAATGGGATGAAAGAATGAGGAAATGCTTAGGAGCGTGGAGCGTCTGAGCCGCTTCTCCCTCAAATATATTTTTTGGAAATATAGAATTGATTTGGAGCAATTTGACACATATTTCAGGACTAAAACGTATCTAAATCAAATTAAGATTATTTTAAGGTATGAACAACTACAAACCATTTTTCTACACAATGTAATACACGAAGAATTCTTCTACTTGGAGGAACATTCTAGTTTCTATTGAGCTTAATCTTCATAAGTAGGCCATAATGAACTGTTTAAATGAGTTGTTACTGTCAGTGCCAGTGGCAGTGGAGTTGCCAGAGAATTGTTGACACCGGTAACAGGATATCCATATATGGCATCTCAAATTCTCGAAAGTGTAGGGAAACTATTGATACATCGGATAGATCTGACGTAATCAAACTTCCGTTGGTATCAGCCCCGTCGCCAGGAATGAATTGGTGCTGGGGCTCAGATTTTGTACTAAAAAAATTTGAAGAATTAAGGGCCCAGAGAACTCATAATATGTGACATTTTTGAGCTGCCAAAAACGTATCAAAAACGATATCTTTTTGATTTTGTACAAATACACTGTAAATGAATCAATCTCTGTTGAACTGAAAAGGGTTTTGCTGGGGCTTAATTCTCACTTGCTGGGGCCCAGCCCCCATGGGCCCCACCCTAACGACGTGACTGGTTGGTATTTTCTGTGTATGATGAAAGGTTTGAAATGACAGCTATTCCCGCCATGTTAGGTAAAATCGTCCTTCACCCTTTCACTTCCGCTGTCGAAAATCATATGAAATGCGCAAGCGCACCAAAAACTAGCCCGGATGAACGCATGCGCTTTAACGCTGTCCGACATTTTTGCGCCAAGTTTTCTTGATTTCTTGCTTAAAAATTGAAAAAAATTAATATATCTCTGAAAATGTTCAATCAATTGAAAAATGTCGATGCGTAAGCTTTAGTGGATTACTTCATACGTCTAGATCATCAACAATTGTTCGGCAAGCTTATTTATCTTTTGGATAAATCGCATCTGAAGGAAGGTTCAGTGAAGAAAATTTTGTTCTCAAAGAGAAAAAAGAATGGATTTTCTTCATCTATGAACAGTTTGAATTATTTCTCAGATTTATATGGCTTACATTTTGATATAAATGTAAGATGACTACTATAGAGTATGATCTTGATCACTCAGGAGGGCTCATGGAGGTAAAATTGTGTAAACAAATATTTTTATGATCATAAAATGGTTTGGATTCTTTCCCCTTTCTTTCTTTCACAGATAAAGCCATTTTGTTTGTTTGATTCTTAAAGTTCTAGCTGTCAGCCATGACAGTTCGAGTGTAACCTCAAAAGAGTGTCAGTATTTCTGACTGATTTTGAATGTACTTTATCTTACAATGGTAGAAATATGGCAAGTCTTAAAGTCTGTACAGAACACATCAGCTGAATGACTTTTTTGTATAAAAAATGGCTGAAGAATCTTACAGACATGTAAACATATCACTAAGTAGATCTTGTCTGTGTGCTGATGATCTGATATATGCTTATGGTAGTATGCTTTTTTTGCTGATATTTTAATGTTCATTTTATTCTTTCAGCAAATCCAAAGTCTCGTTGCTCCACCTGTCAGTGATGAAAGGAGGAGGAGAAGAGATAGAGTAAGGGAACATAGAAGACATGGTCGAGCTATTAACCACGATTCTTGTGATAGTTGTAAAGAAGGTGGTGATTTACTTTGTTGTGATCGATGTCCAGCTTCTTTTCATCTTCAATGCCAGTATGTATTCATATTCCTAAGTATCAATATAAATTGCACAAACAATATATTGTGCTTAAATGCCTGTCTGTGGCTGTGATTTCGTAGCATTTCTTAACTGCAATGTTACATCCTCTGATTCGTAAATATACTGAAATATTTTTGGCTATATGTTTGCCATATCTGAGTCACAAACCATATTTCACATCAAAAGCTTGTAGACTATTTTGTATTCATTTACTAGGTACAACATTTTTTTTGTAGATATTACATTTTGGGAACAATTAATAGAATAGCTGCAAGACATTTTATCTTCAAGACTTTTAACGTGAATATCTAATACATCCTCTAAAAAATTATGAGTGTAAAAAATATGATCATCTCAATATTAGAGTCATCAGCTATTAATAAAAGTTAAATTTCAGCTATCCATAATACTTCCTGGCCATTATTAACTTTCTCACGTATGCAGTTATTAGCGATATCGTGAAGTCACTTGGTGAGAAAGTTAGTAGGGATTGATATTAATGGGTGCAGCATGCTATATTGATATTCACTTACCACGATATCCTCAGTCAGCATTTTGGGACAAAAATTAAGATAGGAAGTCCTAGATAGAATAAAGAGTGTATGGTTTAAATCATTCATAGTTGTAACTATTTTGTTATTTGATAATGTTTTCAAAATGTCTCTGAAATTGAAATGAAGGTGAATTCTTTCTGTTCTTATGAGAATGCATTACAATATTCATACAATATAGGAAGAAAGTAATGTATTACTACGGTATTATCTACCGCATGTTACAGCAGATCAAGTAGTAGAGTTTCTTAATCTTCTTTCAAGTTAGTATCTGACGTTACAAAGGATTTTTTAAATTGTGACCTGAAGGTTTGAGCTGTTGATGTTTAGGTGAAGTTTTCACATAAGCTCTGTCCAACTAATCTGACCTAGATTATTATAGTACATTGAAATTTATGTATGAAATTCGTCTCTTCAATGGCTTATATAGTAGATGTAATAATTGAAAAGTTTTAATTGTGATCTTACAATTGACAGGTGGAATTAGAGTGTTTGTACATAACAGCTGCACTGCAGATTTGATTTTATTATACCCTCTTCCAATTTATTTTATATTATGGTGTTTGCAATTTGAGGACTGTAGTCTGCAGTTTATTTAAGTGGGAGAGTTCATTTTAAGGGGGGATAATAAATTAGATTTTATTGTTGGTAATGAATCAAAATATTTGATATTTAGGTAAACAAAGCAACCTCAGGTGCAGAATTTCTTGAAATGTTTTCATTTCTTACACCTGATGCCACTCTGTAATTTGGTTTTTGAATTGTATTGTAGTGATCCACCATTAGAAGAAGACGAGTTACCACCAGGAGAATGGTTATGTCATAGATGTCAACTATCTCCAGAGGTAAGGAACTGTTTTTACCATAACCCATCTTGCTTCAATCTATCTATTTTGGCTGGTGATAAAGAGTGGAATTAGGATTATTATATTTGTATATCAGTAGTGGGTGATACTGACTTGTTATAAGACCAAGATTCAAACCATTTTAGAGATGTGAGTATTTTAATTCAGGTTCATTTTAAGGATTATCTAGGATGGAAAAAAGTTTGCAACTAAAGTCGAGCAAAGATATTTCTATTCATCCAGTTCAAAACACAAACACCATCTGTCAATTATATATTTAAGTTGTTTAAGTAGTAATCAACATGATGTAAGTTAAGTCTGCATATTAAATTTTACCCAAATATAAAGTGTATTGCCTGTGTTTATGTTTTGAGTCAGTACAGGATGAGCAAAAATATCCTTGTTTGATTACAGCAACATTTATGAATTTTACAGAATGCATTCTGGACCTCCTCTTGATTTATTCAGTTATAATATATATATTTATTAAATATAAGGATTAGAGTTTAAAAATTTGACAGGTAGATGAACTTATGAAAAGAATTTTTTGTTTGTTTTCATGAGTCTCAAGTAACTCGACCTAAAAATTGAGTTAATGCGTTATTAGATTGACTTGAATTGTTGGCCTGAGGGTCTTGAATCCCTGTTTTCTATTAAAACTGATCGTCATGTCATGATTTGTTCTTTTTGCTTTATGGAAAATTGGCATCTGTATCAAATGGCTATAAACTCAGCAACCATTATAACATTTATTCACACAAAGGAGCATGTTTATTTGCTCCAATTTATAATGTCAGTGAAAATATTGGCACAATGCCAGAAGAAGAGTCCATTAATGTTAAAAGGGATATTTTGTGAAGAATTAAATTGAGATATTGATTTATTTCCCTTGAAAACTTGAGTGGAGATTTTTTGTTTCATTGTACAAGATTTTAGTTTGAGTTTAATAACAAGTTATACTCCATTTTGAATTAAATTTCATCGTTACATTATACATTAGATTGCTGATCATTAGATTCTATAAGATGAATTGCTTGATCTAGGTGTATCTAATACATTTCATTGAGTTCAAAAAAGCGTGGCATTTATTTTTGTTTTTAGGTGTGTCAAATCCATTAATGTCCCTCCAAATAGCAATTATTACATGTGGCCTTGAAATGCCAAAATCTCTTTGATGGCTCAGTAATGTTATATAAGTCTTATTTACTTTCTCGAATTTCCTTTGAGGCCACAAAATATCTGTTAATTGAATCATTGAAACTAGACTGATCTACTGAGGCTTCTATTATGCTTTAATGTAAATACTAAAAAGATAGAAACAATATTTGGAGAACAAAGTGCATGATATAGTATTTATAGATTTTTTTTATCATTTATAAATGTGAATGCTTCTGCCAGTAATTGTGCTCTCAAAGACTGGCAACAAACTACTGTGTGCATTGAGGATAATTTTGGCGACACTGTGGTAGCCAACTCGATTGTTAAGGGATTTTACAAGTATATTGGTTTGGCCTCAGTTTATTCCAATTTATGTATGACTGAACACATTTTTCATGTCTGCACCTCTGACCTGCGACCTTTCTTGCTGACAGAGTTTACGGAAATTTGGTTAAGCCTTAAAATTATTGTTAGTATTTTTTTTCCAGAGCAAAGATGATGAAACTGCTTCTAATTGTTCTAATGCATCCTCAAGATCTTCAAAATCATCCACCAAAAACCGTTTAAAAAGGCAATATTCTGAAGAGGATACTTCACCTATATTTACAGAAAATGAGCATCCATTATTATCACTAGCTAAAGCTGCCAGATTAATGAACCCTGTACAGTTTGAACTACCTAAAGATATAGCATGTACCATACCCTTACCAGGTAATGTTTATTGTACATGGGTATTTTAGGGATTGTATAAAGGTTGTCAACTTTTTATGTGTATAGATAACACTTATAACATCTGCTACTATAACTTAACTGAAACCAAAGACAGAAAATTGGAATGGTGCACATATAGAAGCCATAGATACCCCCAATGCATACACAAATTTAGAATTCCCTTCACAATCCCTAAATAGATCATATTTGTCGTTCGTGTCTTGTTACATCCTAGATATAGTTTACAAACAAAATGTAATAAAAAAAAAGATAAAACAATTTTAAATGCCTATTTATTCAAAATGTAAATGGTTGGACCAAACAAGTTTTTGGTAGCAAGAAATCTTTAACATGTTTGTGGTAATATTATATAATTTTTTTTAACTGTGTAGGCTCTAGTAAAAGAAGGGTATCAACCCGAGGACCCCAGAAGAAAGTTCCTCATGAACTAGATAATGGTATAGTTCCATTACCTGCCAAGTTATGTTTTACATGTAGCAAGTAGGTATTTTATAATATTTAACTGATAACATGGTATCATCTTATGATCTAAGATGTATCAAAACCTGTTTTAAAGGAAAGACGACCTTGCTTCAAAGTACAAAAGCAATTTCAACAAGTCATATGTAACGGAGTAGGAGCAGTATCATTTCATTTATTTTTGATTATGGTAGGCCTATGTATCAAATTGTTCAGAAACTATTGACTACATATGACTCTTGTAACAATATCCCCCTGTGTTTCATTAAGAGTAGTATGAAATGACATCTAATAAATAACTTTGATGGAGAGACATGGTATGATATATTCCTTGTTGATTTGGTACATAATTGTACTATACTCATATAAAAATGTATTTATAGAAAGTGTATTTTGTGTTTGTATTTATAGAAAATGTATCATGTATTTTCAGGAGTTGTAGAGTGGCACCATTACTTCAGTGTGATTTCTGTCCATTGTTATTTCATATGGATTGTTTAACTCCACCAATGACATCATTTCCTACAGGAAGATGGATGTGTCCTAATCATGTTGAAAACGTTACTGTAAGTCTTGACAGGCAATTGCATCTGCTTATTAGATATGTGAAAACATAATATCCAGTTTTCAAAAACACATACTGGTCTTAGAACTTTTCTAAACTCTGTTTCTTAGATGAGATTGGAATTCTTGGTATCTTATGGCCAGAGAGATGATATTACCATTTTTCTAAATAAAAGAAAATTCTGTTATTCCATACGTTATGGCCGTACCAATCTTCATTCACCTAACAGGAGCAGCATAAGATGAAATAAAACACTATTATATTTCATGACTCTTTGAATTTTCAGGATGAAAAGTTATTGAAGTCAGTAAGTCTAGTAGAAAGAGTTAAATTGTGGGATAAATACTCAGGCCGAATAGATCAACATGCTGTCAAACTCAAATTTTTACAGAAAATTCACCAGAAAAATCCACCTTTTAGAAGGAAGTACACACATCCTCAAAGAAAAACAATAGCTGTAAGTGTTATTTTAGAAATTTGGATGATCTTGTTAATTGGAATTGCATGAGATATTACCTGAATACATTGGAATTGTAACTTGACAGACTGAAAGGATTTCTGTGTTTTAGAGAATTACAGTCGTGAACAAAACATGAAACATTAGACACTGAATGCACCTTTAATCACGTCAAAAAATGGCAGTGTTGGAGAGGGCAGAAATTTAATTGTCTGGCAGTATCATCAAACGAATGAATGTCTTACCTGTTTATTAGAACCTAACTGAAGTGGCTATATTGAAAATTAAAGCTAATAAAAAACAAAACAAAAGTTTGGTTAAATCTTAATTAAAACAGACAGAGTTAGACTGTCATTGGTCAAATGGTTATTTTGAAATTTTTTGAATTTTTTCTCCAGGTACCTCAAGCAATCATAGATCATTATGAAAGTCCACCGTACTTATTACCAGCACCTAGGGGTATAGTGGATCCATTTCCCCCAGATCTCCCCTCCCAGTCTACCACTACCCTTTTAACTAATAGTAATAATAATAACACTGATGAAGATATACATGAAGCTACATTAGAAGAACAAGAAGAGGTAAGGTTTTAATTCAATATTCAGAAATGCTAAAACTAGGCTTCACAACTAGCAGAGCCTTCTGATTTGCAGCATGGAAATGGTACAAACAAATGATGTTAATTAACAAATTTTACCTCAAAAACAGACTTTTTGTGGAACAATTCTGTTATTTGCCATACTCTTCCTTTAGAATATTTACATTTGTTAATATGTGTATAAAATTATATGTGATATTTTTTGTCTCTATTTCAGTGGTTAGCTGGTGTGGTAGCATTACAAACAAGTATTGCGAAATTATTAGCTCAAAAACAATTACATAAATCATCTGGTGATCTCAGCAAACCCGAGACACTTCTTACATCAAAACCTACAGCTTCAGTAGCACCTGTTGTTCAAAAAGACAGTGAATTCTCAGATAATGTGCCAAATAAAAAATCGACAGATATATCAGACTGTGAAAAGATCTTATTAAATGGTGCACCTGCTTGTGACAATCTGTTAAATGGACCGTACGGTGCTGTGTCTTTATTAAACAATTCAAGTTCAGTGAATGGTGACATTGACACCACTTCTAGTCCACGAATCAAAACTGATCCGGTTATTATTCGGACTCGTAGTAATAGTACGGATAGTATAAAAGGAACACTGCCTAACGAGCGAGGATCGTCAAGTAGTGCTTTATCAATACCAACTTCTTCTGGCAAAAACATCTTAATCAGTGCTATCAATAAAAACAATAACACAGTTGTCACCAAAGTTGTGCAAAGTTCAAGTCAGGGTAAAGTTGTGTTGCCCTCAAACTTTACAAATAAAAATGTTAGTGGTAATAATGCTACATCAATATTATCACCGAGAAGTGGACAATCTGTTATTAAAATACCTTCTACTGGTAATAATACTAGGTTATCATCTATATCAAATACCGGAACTTCTTCACCTAAAGTTATTACAGTTAGTGCTTCATCATTAGGTAGGCTCATTTCCAATTGAAAATTCTCTTATACCCAGAGGGGGTAGACTTACTTGTATTTATTAATCCAGTCTTGTTGTTGGGTTGTTTTTAAAACATCGTTAGATGATGTAATATACGCCACATACTTTGTATTTTTTTGTGTCTACTTATCTAGCAATATCAATTGGAGGATCTGAGGTGAATGAGTGACCTTGTGTGTTCGTTAATCTTAAGGTCAGGGGTTCAAACCTGCTATTGGTCGAGTTTTCATTCTAGTTATCTGAAGTTAGGTGAACAACACAAAAATATCTGGTCGTTCAGGATCAGCCATTAAACTGCCAATTGGAAATCAAATAAGAGTAGTCTAATGCTAAAGTTCTGGCAAAAATTCACTCATTGCACACTGCCTGTTTTCATTAACCTAAACAACTTCAGATAAGTAGGATATAGAAATTGATTAATTTCATTATCAATTGTAATAGAATGAATATTAATAAGCTGATGATTTTATATTGTATATATACAGGCAATCAGGTATCACAGCACAATTAAAGTGGCCCTCACACCATAGCAATCACCAGTTGTGAATAAAAATTGATAACAGACAACTGAGTTGTGAGTTGCGTTTGGAACTCATGATCACTATCATTATTCGCAACCATGCACAACCCAGAGTAATTGCTATGGTGAGAGGGCACCTTATAACTAGCAACAATAATATACTTGATATCACATCACAACCAGCTATTATTAAATTTAAATATTAATATATTCTAGGTAATAAAGGTGGTATAACAGGCCGCAGTAATACAATGAAAACAAGTAATATTAATAATAATATCACATCACAACCAGCCATTATTAATTTAAATATTAATATATTCTAGGTAATAAAGGTGGTATAACAGGCAGCAGTAATACAATGAAAACAAGTAATATTAATAATAATATCACATCACAACCAGCCATTATTAATTTAAATAATAATTTACAGCAATGTATAGACAGTAATACAGGTATAGTAAAAGTTATGCCTTCGTTAAGTTGACTAGACAGTTAGTCCTAATCTAATAAAAATTCAATTTCTGATAACAGTTGACAGCTGCCTACTGGAATTGTTCCATTGTTAAGCCAAATTTGAGCTTTCAGTCCATGTGTGTGCAGAATTATTCGCTCATTAAAAATTAGATTTTGGGTTATAAGTAATAAAACAGAACCTGAAATATGTTGTTTCTTAGACTGAAATCGACCAGTTGTATAGATTCTGTGCTAATATTTCTGTCTTGTCTTGTTATAAATGCATTAAGTTTACTTGTTTTAGAGTATTTTTTTTTGTTATTGTAGAGTTTGAGTTGAGTAAAATAGATGAAAAGCTTGTACAGATATTAGCTTGGCAAAGATTACAACATTTACTATCACCTAAACGACTATCATCACCATCTCCTACTAGTTCTAGTAATTGTAAAGGTGTCTTAAATACCATCTTAACATCATCAGGTATGTATTTATAAATTGGGCAGTTTAGCTGTATATACACTATACACTGTCCATTATAAGTAATAGCAAAATCATTAGATTTTTACTCACTAAGATTAGAACCTACAACCACCATATGATTGACGTAACCAAGCAAATTATGTCACTGTTTTTAAATTCTAATGGACGCACGTTTTTGCCCTTATAAAGGGGTTGAAAATATTGTCTTATTGATTGTATTAGAAGAGCTGGGTTATTAAAGACGTGTTTATTTATATTGGTTATATAGGTAATGAAGTAAGAGCTAGAGCTGTTTTATGTCCTTTAACTGGTAAAGGTCAAGCTGTACCAATGTCCTTTAGGTCACTCAGTATAGGAACAGGTAATTATACCCTTTTATCTGTGTTGAACTATAATAACTGTGTTTCCACCAAGAAAAAAAGCTGGTTTTAAGCTAGCTTACATGTGTTTCCACTAGGCAAATTGCCAAACTGTTACTGTTCAGGAACTGAAAACCTCTTTTTTTGCGTTCTGCAATTTATTAGAGCCAACTGAAAGCCACTTAACCAGTGGAAAGCCAACTTCTCGTTCGGCAATAGGGGGGGTACTGGTCTTTCCAGTCTATTGCATTTCTTACTGGTCTAAACGGTAGTCTTGTACATCATGAGTTGTCAATAATGTGCGATTTTGCCATCTAGGCTAAAGACGTTTGGCAATAAAGCTGGCTCTAAGCTTTACTTAGATTCTCAGTGGAGACACTGATGATGATGCTGACAAGTTTTTTTTCATTTGTTGACAATTGTCTAAGATGTATACATATTAAAGCCCTCACGGGATAGTCTGATACTTCTCTCTCTTTTGCCGATATCACCTACACCATTAGAGCAAGTGTTGATAAATTTGGGTTATATTTGTTAATTTATAGGAGCAGATATGGATGTGTGTTTAGGCCAGTTTGGTTTCTGTAATTTTATATCATCAAAACATGCTTGTATCTTCTATGATGAGGTTGGTACACATTTTACACTTTACAAATTTTCAAGCACTATATTGTTGTTTATTGCTGATGTTTGAAGTATTGACATCATCTAAACATTTTTCAGAAAAATTGCGAGCAAGTATTACAAAATGAAAACAACAGAATTCAGAAAATGTGATTTTGGGACTTCTGGATAATCTTATACAGAGCCAAAAATCAATTGTGATATTACACTTGTAGTAATTTAAAATTTGTTATTTTATAGATGACGAGGCATTATGAATTACTGAACTACAGTGAACATGGTACTACAGTTGATAACGTTCTGTATTCTTGTGATTTCTCTGATAAACCATCAACCACACCCCAACCATCCTCTATGGTGGCTGCTGTACGAGAGGTTATAGGTCGAGGTCGGAAGAAAAAACAGAAACCCGTTGAAATTAAACCACCAGTAGAAGAAAAAGATAAAATGTCAGCTAAAGCTACATGTGAGGTTAGTATAGATGGATTTGCCGAACATGTCTTTGGTACAAAAAGAGTCCAAAATTAGGAACAAAGTGTCTTAAAGTGATGCTGTCGGCAATCCTATGACATTTTGTCATCAAGTTAGTCCATAAAACTTTTACCAAGGAGTAAAGAGACACAATCAGGATAAGGTTAGCTTTATTGTTAACATGATGTTAGAAAATATAGTTCATTTAATTTTTAATTTTGCTACTGTAGGCAATTATATGTGATAGTTTTTAGGTCTGCAGTAATTTGAAATCTCACTAAAAAGGTAATTCCCAGCAAGAACTTCTTCAATATTTTCATTGATAAAGGTTTAAAGTTGCTTTTTCAACCAAATGACATTTATGTTCAAAAAAATTTTTTCTAGTTTCATCGTCCATGTGGTTGTAAAGTGAGTAGTTCCAGTTTAATAGGTGGTAGTGGTGCAGGCTGGGAAGGTACAGCACTACTTCATCATGGCAGCTATATAAAAGTGGGGTGTCTTCAGTTTGTCTTTAGTATTGTTGACCAAGCCACTGAGAGTGTCACTGAGAAAAAAGAACCCATGTCATTACTTAAAACTCATTTAAAAGCAGCACAGTGATTTTAACTCTTGCATTTTACTTAAAATATTGTTTCTATTTTCATGTTTTTGTATTGTTTAATAACAGAAAATTATTGTTTTTTTTTATATTTGTCTAATAGTATGTGTCTCATACATAGAATATTGTTATTACCAAATTTCTTTGATTATTGTAAATGAAAGCAGCTTAATTTAAAAGGGATGATTTTAATTGAGCCATTCATATTAAGAGATGAGATAAAATTTACAGCAGATTTTCATTCTGCACTATTCGCTTTTGTAAAAAACCATATCAAATTTTAAAGAAAAATCTTAAAATGGTGCAAATAATACTACTCAAATTAAAACATAAAGTATATTTTAGGGAATCCACAAGATATTTCTTTCTTATTTCATGTGCATTTAGGATAATTGTAGTGTCTGTGCACTGTTTTGATTTCCTAGTCAATGTTTGTGGTTCTTGCAATTCCAAATACTTGTCCAAATTATTTTGCCAATAAATATAACACTATTCAAGCCAAATGGTTAATGCTATAGTGAAGTCATCAGGCCATATTTTTTTCTGAAATTGCAGAATTCACAGACATTGAAATGGAGTTTTATAGTTAAAGTATAGGCATGAATATCCCTGAAACATGTACTTATCATTTGGTTTTTAAAAAATGTAATTAAAAGGACAATTAGTAACTGTTATTAAATTATAGAAAAATACATGAAATATAAGAAACTATTTTTTATCTATAAGAATATTGTTATTGTTATTATTTTTTCAATATGACTTAATGAGAATAGATTTTTAAATTGTGTTAAAATGTTGAATATAGAAGATAATCATGTTATTAATGTAATAATATTGTAAACGTTAGAGTATGTTATGGAATATCAAATAGCTTCATTTTCTGTTGCCACAATTCTCATTATTTAAGGGATATAGTCATCTAGTTATTTATTTCACTGATATACCTTAATTACCTTTATTACTTTTCAGTGTAGAAAATTCGGCATATAGTTTCACAACAATTAAATACTAGTTTTGCTTTGTCCTTGGTCAAAGATGTAAATTGAAAGAACTCGAACTTCACAGCTGGTTTCTATTTAATTTCTGTTGATTCTTAAAAAGGGATACAGATTATAATTAAAAGTTTTATCAGTGGTTGAAGAAAGTAACTAGGTGACTTAATCCCTCTACAGAATGCACTGATATAAACTTGTTTAATTTTACCCATAGTGTGTCAAGTGGGTTCTATTTAGGATAGATATTTTTTTACATTTCTAACAACCAATATGCCAAGAATTTGATAAATGAAAGAAAACATCTATTTTTGTTTTCTCTTCAAGTGAAATAAATTTTGAGTTGTCTAATCTTAGGAATATTTACTTACTGAAAGCATGATTCAAACAAATGCTGCATTAGAGATTTGAGCAATTAGCTATAGCCATTATAAATTTTTTTGGAAATTATTTATTTTGAATTTAAAGACACCAATCCTAATGGACACAATTTCTTCATGGAGAGAAGTAAACTGACATACTGAACCTTCTCATAAAACCATATTGATCGGACATCAAAATTGATTGAGAGTCAATAAATTCAATCACCAACTGATTATCATGCACTTTACAATTCTCTTTTTATTTTTTAAACAATATTCTATTCATATATAAGGATTGGGGAACAGGCTTTCGCCTATATAACCCCTCTCCTAAACAATTCTCTTTCATTGCCTGTGATTATCCCCAAGTGTTTCAATACCTTTCCTTTACCACATTTTTTGATAAAATATTTTGTGCATGAAACAAAAACGAAAAATTGATTGTGTGTCTTTTGAGGAAATCATTTTATGTTCATCATGTCTATTTTTTCACATTAGCTGCTGTTTTATCTCTTAACTACGCAATTCTAGAAATGCACAAGAAGGAACCCTTTGCAAAAATAATATGGGAAGTGCATAGTTTAACCATTTAATAACATCTTCAAATAAACCTTGTTGCAAGTTTTAACAGCATTTGATATAATAAATCTACATGTAATCTATGTGTTATTAAGTAATGTTAGGCAAGCATTTAAATATCCGTATGAATTTCTTGAAGTCAATTAGTACATTTAATTAAACTTGATACTTTCTTTGACGTTTTGTTTTGATGGACTATATTTCTTAAAGAAAATAGCAAAGTTTATTTGCTTCTATCATTTACATCCCAAGTAATATTTTTTATTGTAATCTGGGAAAATAATCTTAAGTTCAAACCAGCAATTAGAGATGTTCTAATCAAGGACTATTTGCCTTTAAGAAAATTAGCATTAGCATATTAGTTAGGCAAGTCTAGCAGAGATATTTTGGTCATTTGGGTCTGATTATACACAAACGGTATACTTTATTTTAAGGTATTTTTAGTAATCAACACAATGTTACTTTTGTTTCAATTACTATTTATTCTACCTACCAGTCAGCTGTGTTTGTGTTTTGAGTCAAACTCTGATGAGCATAAAAAAATTTCTAGACTAGAGTATTTAGGATTTTTCATTCACCTTAAATATTTAAAGAATAATTATATTTGCGTTACAATAAATGATAATAAACACTACTTATCAGCTGATCTATTTACCTGGTTTCTATTTTATATTCTTTGGAATATTTCTGCATATTATTTCCCCAACTAGCAGAAAGATCGAAAAAGTTTTTCTTCACAAGAGAAATCACTTTCTCCTTTAAACCTTGCAGACCCAATCAAAATCTTTACCTTCAAAATTGTTCATATTAATGAAAGTTATTTAAGAATTTTTTGTATATAAGATTTAAGCTAGATTTTAATTCTGTTTTTGGATTGTTTAGTTTGTTATCAGTTATTCACTTTTTAGAGCGAACTAGGAGTATTAATGAAGATTCAAACATTCATCTATTAAAGATTAGATCTTTTTTCATCACATTTGTGCCAAAAAGTACATGTAGTTTGAAAAATTAAGAACTGTAGTAAAGAAATCATTGTAGAAAAATTCTTTCATAAGACAGAGCCATGCACCGGAAAATGACTTAAGTTGTGAGAATTCAAGTTATTTCAAAATTAAGAAATTAGCTTCTAATATCTAGATTTCATGTTCTTTGAAACTCATTATTTTCAAAAGTATACTAAGATATTTTATGTAGAAATTCATTGTTTATAGTATATTTAAAATGTATATTTTGTAAATAGAAGAATAAATGTATACCAGTCTTAAAATCATTGTTGTTACCAGACATCTTGAGGCACAAGTCCCAATAGACCAATGACATCAGGTTTGTCTGCCCTTTTTTCACCTAGTTGAGATGTATATATATCTGTACTATTTCTACTTACTGTCAGACATTGCAAGGACTGTTAAGCTTCAATGATTTTTGTAGCAGTTGTAATATTACTAATATTTTAATACTGCATGAAGATCAAACACACCAGAAAACCTTTCCATTCCCAGTAAAGCTTTCATTTGTCACCCCCCCTTACAGCATTTAAGATAATATACCAATTATTTGAAGCAAAAAATAACTACATCTTCATACATAATATTTTATTTCTTTGTTTGTGCAAACTCCTTCACAGCCACAGAAAAAGTTGGCAAAATAATTGAGCATACACATCTCAATATATGAGTCGAGATAGCTTACAATTCAAACAAGCTGGTACAAGATGATCATATTGTTAGGTTCATATTTAGATTTCTTGGGTTAAATTGAAATCTTGTCTCCAAATAATTTTTTTTTTAATTTGGCCCAAATAATGTTGTAAACCGTATCAAAGCAAGTCTTAAAACTGTCTATTTTTAGTTTTATTTATTATTTATGTTCTATAATTCAAGATTAAAAAAATTCGTTTTTGTAATTCTGACTTTATGTGATGCATTTATTCAAAATCATTCAAATTTATATCCAAAATATTGTTATAAAACATAAATGAACAAACCCAAAATATGATCATCTCTTGATTTAACAAAACCAAAATGTTACTATCTTGTCAGTTTTAAAGGATATTTTTTATAATTTTTTCTGTCAACATAAGTAAACAGTTTATATCTTTTTTATAAATCTTTTTTTGGGGGAGAAGATAATGACAAATTGAATAATATCATATTGTCAATATTCACACACATTTCACACATTCTTTCTTACACACACAACAGAATAAACACAAATTATAGACTTCAAGGAAAGGAAAAACACAAAGAGATAAATACAGAAGCCTATTTCAAACCAAAACATTTAATTCTTTGTATTTGAAATCGAAAGAATGAAAATTATATTTAAAGTGCTCATTCTAGGGTCAGAATTTTTTTTAAGTTTTGAGACTCTAGTTGTCTTATTTTAAAAGTGACATTCTTGGTTGACATTTAAAACAACAATTTTTACCCTTAATTCATGTTATACTGCATTGGTTGAAGCTGAGTAAAAAAAGATTTTAATATTTTCAGATGAAATAATTATGGGCAATATGATGTATAGCTGATGTCTGTATACTTCTTGGCAGTATTGTCATTTAACTAGATTCTTTTCGATCAACTTCAACTTCAGTCTGAAATGTATAAGAATAATCAACATGAGTATTGCTGTGAACATGCCATGACAGGACTTTCAGTCCACTAAACGTCACAGATAATGTAAGTTCCAGTTCAGCAAGACATGGTCAGCTCAATTAAACTCAACACCTAAATGCACAAAATGACTTGGTATGTCAACTTCCTTTTCCAAGAAGCAAAAAAGCTTAGATATCGATTGGAACATTTTCTTTTGGACCTCATATTAATGTTCCGTTCTCATTCTTCAGTTAACCTTCATTTCTGATAAATATAAATAGCGATCAACAAGGTTACTTATGAATACAGACTAGTAATGAGTTGATATTGTACATACCTTATAATGTATGATGGAATACAGTTTGGTTTTTATCTAAACCATATATTAATATCCACATACATTATCTAGACATCTTCTTAAAATAAAACATTTGTATCTGAAAATTCTTTCAAACACAGTTCATTTCATAAGAAAGCAAACATTTTCTTAAAAATTCCAATAAAAATATGAAATAAATATTCAATTTTAACTGAATAATAATTTTTTGAATAAATAAAGTTATTCATTAACACAAAAAATAACTTGCACATTACAGCTTTTTCTGAAAGCTTAAAAAAAAACAGCATTAGGATAATTTTTTTTTAAAGAAATTTTCTATAATTCAATTTAAGTCACAATAATACTTTAGATATAATTCAAGGTGTTGTTCAGTTTTAATCATACTTTCAGAATACAATTTGAGATAGTGTTAATCTCTAATCATACTTGAAACGTTTAGAAAACTTTATGACTTTTATTTCAGATCATACTCTCAAAAATATAACTGAAACAATTTATGATGTTAATTTCAAATCATACTTTTATAAAACAATAGAAGATGATGTTCAGAACAAAATCATACATTCAGAAAACAATTCATGATAATGTTCAGAAAAAAATCATACTTTCAGAGAACAATTCAAGACGATGTTCATAACAAAATCATACTTTCAGAGAACAATTCAAGATGATGTTCAGAATAAAATCATACTTGCAGAAAACAATTCAAGTTGGAGCACAGAATGTGTAAAGAAATATTTCCAAGTTATTTAGACTGATGTTTTTCAGAAACAATCTTAGGTGATGTTTAAAATCATACTTTTTAAGTTCTTTCAAGTAAGAATATGTAGTTAAATTAAATGCCCTAGGGTAACTTCTAATTGCCCATAAAAATGTCTTGGAATTTTTCTCCTTAGAAATACACAATAAACAAAACGAAAACTAAACAATTACATGACATTAATTTAGAATATGACAAGCACAAGGATTCAAACAAACAAATTTAATAAATAAACTTTTAAGACTTTTTTTTTGCAGACAAATAAAATTAAAATAAACAATTTTTTATTGAATAAATGAAAAATATATCCCACCTTTATACGTACAAAAACACATTTACAAAACTATAACATCTTTTTTTTTTACTATTTCTATTATAACCTCTCTCAAATAACAATAAGTATTATTGATCAAGAATCGAGTTATAAGGAAACTACAGACTGTTTTGTGCTATAAATAGATTCTTGGACAAGTTTGAAAGTTAAATCTTGACTGATAAAATAAATTAGTTAATATAAAATGTTTTTATATATATATATATTATACGTTAGTTTTCATTGTCCTTATCATAAAGCCAATCAAATTTAGTAAAATAATTTTCTGATATAAAAGAATTTGTCATATAGCAAATATTAGTGCTATTGGAATCTATTATTAAGTATTAATTTATAGAAGATTCTGATGTATAATGAACAGAAGATGTGTTAATTCACATTAGATATGTTTGGTATCCAGTAGACAATGAACGATATTTAAAAAGTTTAGATTTAACTAACAAGCAATGTATCTAAGAAAGATATAAAACAAAAACAACATATTACAGAGTTTGTTAATTAATAGTTCTATATCATTATCTTTAACAAAGTTTGCTCTGATGACAGTGTTTCTACTGTATTGGACTTGAAAAAATCCTGGGTGAAATAAGGAAATCAAATGACCAATGAACTAGTTACTTTTAAATAAGAAAAGTAAAAATAATTAACATGGCCATAATTAGGTCTGATACACCAAATTAACATTCAGAAGTGGTATATAATATACAGATGTCAATACCAGTAATGCATTGCCAATGAGACAAAAAGTGCCATACAATCTGTGTTTTCAGAACTTGGAATTCAGATAATATCAGTCAGAATCAACCAATTTTTTTGACATTTTTACAGTTAACTTCAAGAATCAAAGAATTCCAGAGCAAACTTAGTAAGGATAAGAATATAGAATTATATACATAATGAGGTTGTTGAAGTAAAGGAATTTTGTTGGCAGTTATATCACAGTTTGATTATAATGTAGAAATTTTTACTTCAATACACACACAAAAACCTAAATTTATTAATAAATCCTTTTAGTAAGCATGTATAGGCTATTATAAGCCATGAATCTCTTTTAATTCAAATATAACAAAACACACAGCCTGTAGCAGCATTGAGAAAAATAAATTTTTTGTTGACCACAACATTTTGTGAAACTGAAAATAAAGGCACATGGTAGGCAGGACAAACACAAAATGTCACAGAATTATTCAATACGTTCATACCAATGAAACAGTTTTTCACATACTGATGTAATTATGCCAAAATAACGAACTGTGTTCATTATTTATTACGATGACTTAATAGTGATTTTGTCTTTAGCCTTTCATATCGTGATAATAATGTTCACACACTCATAATCACTTATCACGAAGAGTTTGTAAACAATCGCTAAACTTAAAAATCCTGTTAAGAATAGGGATTTTAGAGGGTTGGAAAAGTATATAAGGTGTTGTTAAGCATTTACAATAATTTTAATGCTATTGGAAAATGAATGCCACAAAAGGGTTTCTTGTTTTCCACAGAATATTGTTCTGCTATCCCTTTTCTTTGTCCACAAATAACATTTCAAAAAACCTTTCAAATTGAAAATCATTCACTCCATGAGGTCACAATAGAGTTTTAATAAAAGCAGCAAATTTTATTATATGGAATCCTTGATCACTAAAATGATAGAAAATAAGTTTAGCGTTCAGGGCAAAACCATGTCAATGTTGTCATCAAGGATGAGCCAGTTTGGTGTTGTATTAAGTTGTTAACAATACCACAGACAGTTTTGTCACTTATTATTCAATTTCCACCTTTCAGATAGTAAATGAGCAGAAACATAATACACTGAGAAACTATTGGTTGATAATTTATGGCTGCCATGGTAACAAAGATCACACACTAAATAACATTATTAGAAATGTCAAGTTTGTCTCCTGAATACAAGAATTTGTCTAGGAAACGATTGCGAAAAGTTTTCATTTCTAAACAAAACTAGGAGAGTTCATAGCTGTCTTCAAATTATTTATAACAAAAAAAAGCTAGGCTCCAAGCTTTTTATAGTTACACTGTACAAATAAAAATTCACAATTCTGTTTGTAGCTTGTTAAATAATGGCAACAAATAATGAAAAAAACAAACAATTAAACATCCCATTGTTGATATCAATATATATAAGATACCACTATTTATTGACTCGAGTAAACCTGAACACTTCCAGGATCTGAAAAATATCAATATTAAATATCAATGTTTCTGCTCCAAGTTGGGCTAATGAATATGGAAACATCATGTCTGCGGTGTACAAAACAAGATCTCAATTCAACGGCTAAGTGCCTTTCCTTCCATGTCAGTTCGTCTGACCTGATCTGAAGGAAGAATTATTTTATTGTTTTTGTCTTTGTCCAGGTTAATTACCTCTTTCCTGAAGAGTTCCATCAGAATGCGTCTGACAACAGCAGATCGTTAGCATTAATATTATGGAACTGTTCTTGTGATTTTATCACGTCCAGACTGACAACAGATCACTTCATAGCGTCCTAATGACAACGAGGATATAGGGACAGCTACAATGACAACACTATAATATAGTCTGTTATTTTAACTATATATTTAGAAGGAAATCAATCTAGGAAGAAGATGCCTTGTTTATCTCTTGATAGATTTTTACAAACAAGAATGGCAAATTATTATCATTCTTACAACAAAGAAAAACACTTACTTTTTGACTTTAATTCCATAACTCTATCCCATTCTGAAAATACAAATATAATGAAATTAAAAAAATATTTGCTTTTGTTAAAGGAACACTTCCTACACTTAAAATGAATATAAAATATAAATTCTCAAGTTTGGCAATTTTACCATAAAAATAGTAACTAATAATACTCTTAGATACTATTTTAACACTCTACCGGTACAAGAAATCTTGTTCAGAATTTGCTAGAGACCAATCAGAAATTACAAATAGTTTTGAGTTAAGAAGTTTTTTGCTATGAGCCTTTAGAGAACACAAGTGTAAAGAAGTGAAAATTGTCATTTGTCAGTCACCTTTCACTAAGAATAAGAAATAGAAGAAATTGATAGGGCTTTAAACACATAACACCCAGTTTGTGATTTTTGACTACCCAGCAATTGGCCCCTAATTTTTAATGTAGAAATAACTCAACATTTCACTAAGACACCTGGTCCATGTCAAATCACAGGGACAGGCCATTTTTTTTATGGTGAAGTTTTTCCTGTTTGTAATATATGGATGTTTTAAAGTCTTTATGACATCTAATGTCTGAAAACTAGCATCTTTAAATTAATTAGACTAAAGTTAAATTTTCATCATTAGATTTCTAGTGAAAATGTGATTACAATTGACTTCTATTAGATATATGTATCAAAAAATGAAATGAAATGAATGGAGTTCTACGTCCTACTTTTCAGCATACATGTATCAAAATCTACATGTTTACAAATTTGTTTACATTAAGAAAATCAGAAATTGAATTGAAAAACTCACCTTTCTTCAACTGTGTAACAGCTTCATTATGATTAAACTTTCCACAATTGATATTTTTAGAAGAGAATACAAATTGAATAGATTTGGTATTATTGTCACCTCCACTATGTACACAATCATCATTATTTACCATAGCATCACCATAATAAATCACCATTTTCTTATCCTCTACAACCACAGTAGAAGATGGGCCATTATTTTCTACTACTGGGCTACACATGATTTTTTCCTTCCCAACAATAGGCTGATTGTCATGAGATATTGGGACATTACCTTCATTTGGATTTGTTTGAAGAGTGCTAACAGTTGAACGATTTCCGTTTGGTGTTTCGTTTGTCAATGTTTGTTGTTGATTGCCAACTCTCTGGCCTACATTTTTCACTACACCATTTAAGAGGTTCACATGATCTTTTAATGATTTGACAGTGTTGTAATTTGGCACAAATTGGCCACCTTGTTTATCGTTCTCCAGTAAAGTTTGAGTAAAAACATGGCCTGGTTGTAAATCACTAGGGTTAACAACATAAGTTGGTGTAGTAACAGTTTCTCTATTTCTGTTATTTGGTTGACTAACAGACACATTGGTTGAAACGACCTCAGGGTCATTCTTAGGAGTACTTTTATTTTTTACACTAGTTGTATTATTTTTAGCAGACATATTCTCTATATTATTAGTCAAAGTTGGCCTTGATTCAGTAATGTCATCAAAACCAAATGTAATATCAAGGTTGGAAGGAACATCACGCTTGTCAAGGAAGACCACAGACTTATTTTTTCGGCCATTTGTGGGAATTTTAGGAACTAGAGTCTTATTTTTCACTGATTTTAAACTAACGACACTTTGAGATCGCATATCATTAGAAGAGAGTGGACTGGAACTTTTGATATTAACACTAGAAACACTAGTCTCAACCTGTTCATTACGACCAGGACTTTGTCTCATGTTCACAACACTATTACCTGTAAACGATACAGGACTACGATTTACCACAGCGTGAGCAGAACTTGAGGCAGTTGTTTTGTTGGTAGATTTCCTGTCAAATCGTGAAACATCAAAAGGTTGTATAGGTAAATCATATTTACTCGGACTAACTGAAGATGATGACATAGTAGATTGAGATAATTCAGACTGATTATTAGGTTCTGCTGGCTGGTGTGGTACACTACCCTCTCTAACATTAGTAGTCTCTGTTTCAGTGTTCACAAGTTTATCACACATTTGGTTTTTACTATTCTCAATATCCTGGTGATAAGGTTTTTGCTTAGAAACACCCGACGACGGACTTAAATTGATATTAGCAGTATCACTGGTTTTAGAAGTGGGATTATTTTCAGTTTTTATCACTTCTTGGCTTCCACTCTTTTGGCGAGAACTGTCAGTCAAACCACTAGAGCTTTCAAGTAACTTCCCATCATCTGGACTAGAACCGATTGAATGACGACGTTCAGTTAGACTTCCCTTCCAAACAGTTTGCTTTGGTTTTTCAGGAGACTCCCCGCTACATTCCTCGTAAGATGTATCAGGTGAACTTTGGCCAACTGGTTTAGAACTTGCAGCTATATTTGCATAAGATTTCTGGAATCTAGAAGAGGCTAGTTCTAAAAGTCTGCCAGCCTGAGCAGCAGGTAATGATCTAACTGAAGCAATATCACTGTCATCTAGAGAACTAGTTTCTCCTGCTAGTGGCAAGTCACCTATAGAACTACGCCGTGCTTCCAATGGATTAGATTTGTCCTTTGAAACTAAACTATTACTAAGAGCAGGGAATGCAGAAAGGCTGAAATCTTGACTTTTATCCCTCGACTTTGTGGGAGGGGGTGTAACGGAACGAGGCACAGATTGAGAATAATTTTCGCGATATTTTGGTCTAGTCACTGGAAATTCACGTGAGATACCAGCCATAAATGGCAATTGGTCTTTAGATTGTATAACATGGGCGATTGGTTTCTTTTTCTTTTTATTCACTATGGTAAATTCGGGTTCCACATGGGAGACAGGGATATCTGTAAAAATATAATTTCCACTGTCGAAATCATTCGCTTCACTCTTTGTGGACACAGGCGAGGTAGGTAGGGGTGATTTGATTTCACCAGGGGATTTGGAACAATTTACCATCTGTTTATCATTTGTTACTGTATCTATTTGCAACTTGTTTGCTTTTTTCTTGTCGTTCACTGATTCCGGGGTTTTATTAGCAGCACTAGTTTTCTTAGTACTCTCCTTCACTTTTTTATCATGCTCCTTTGTAACTCCAGCATCTAAACTCTCTATCCCATGATTGAAACCATTCACTTTGGCTTCTTTCACCTCCTTCTTGCCAGGTGTAGTGTTTTTAGGTTTCTTATCACTAGGTGTAGTTTCATTTTTAGTGCTGGTTTTATTTTTGCTTTTTACATCATTTTCTATGAAAGCTTTATTCTTCTGAGTAACAGATTTTTCACAATCTTGTGGTTTGACATTTTTCTCTATCTTCTCATTAGGTATTTCATCATTTGGGGGCAATTTCTCACTCGAATTTCCCATGACATCAGTGGGAGGGGGAGGTAACTCTAGTTCAATATCAATAACAATGTGATCACCAGGTTTAGGAACACTAGGAACAATGCCAACTGTCTGTTTGCTTTTCTTGTCCTTGGCTTTTTTCACCAATTTATCGTTAAGTTTGACATCCGATGAACCATTGGATTTTTTCACTTGATTTTCTTTAATGTCATTCTGTTCAATAAATTTAACAAGTTCCTCCAAATCCTTATGACCTTGGTAATTTTCAACGTTTTCGGCTAAAACAACGGGCTCTTCCCTCTTTTGTTTGCCTTTCTTGTTTCCAATCTTAGCTTTATTCTCCGTGGCATGTGAAGGCTCCTGTGGACTAATGGGGTTCGATAAAGTGTTATCACTTGAGGTGGCGCCATAACTTTTATAACCAGAATTACCGCTATTGAAGGCGCTTGCTTCTTGATTCAAGGGACGTTCTCTCATCTGACTATAAAGTTTCTCTATTGGATTACCATTAACATCGAATCCTGAAAATACACCATCATCTGAAAATATAAAATACAAGACTATATTAGGAGAATCTACCATTAAACTTTTTATCATAACCATTTTCATGTTTTAACAATTTATATCAAGCATATTTATAGAATATTTCGGCATAAGAAGAAATTATAATTTTTACGACAGTTTTTACAAAGTTTCTCAGGGAATCAATAAAAGTTGAGGTCCCATAAATATATAAATATAATTTAACATACTATTATGGCCAGTTAATTAATATTAATTAGTGCTCAAACTAGTACTGATATTGGATATCATTTACTATATTAATGATATCTTGTAAGAGAAAATATTTGTTATCATATACACTGTATATTAAATTATACAAATGCTACAATTAATCTTATATAAAATATTCACGCGTAAATAATGATTTTTGGTAAAAATGTCTTAGTAGTTATAAACAAATTTCTATATTACAAATTATCACCATGCTTTAATCTAGTAAATTTAATTTTCAGTCATAAGACATTTTTAATTAAAACTAATCTAAACAGTTTGAGCACTAATATCATTAAAAGTGAAGGGACCTAACCTAAGAGTGTAATCTACTGTGCTTAGTAAGATGCTTAAAAGATTTATCTTTAAAGTACAGGCTGATCTTTCTTATATGAAAAGTTTAATGCCAAGATATTCTTAAGATGTTTTAACAATGAAACAAGTACAAATACCAGATTCTCAGGTTTGTTTTTTTGTTTCAAAAAAGGCCAAATCCTTCGTTTCAAGCAAATAGAAACCACAAATTGTCAAACAAGGAAAGAAAAGAAAGATTTGCTTGGTTACATAGATGTAATTCACACTTACTCTTACATAAACAAGATCAGATAAAATAAATTTTGAAAAAAAAAAAAAAAATGGAGGACAAATATCTAGATTCTAAACACTAAAGTTTACATGTACTTCCAATATTCAACATTAGCAAAACCAAAAGATCAATTAACTTTGCCCCATCTAACAAACTGCTGAAATTAAATTTAACTGCCTGAAGGCTTGGTTAATAACATTGATAAACTTCCTATATAAAAACGTATCAAATAACAATGTCTTATCCTGTGTCAACTTTACTTCTTGAAATATGTTATTTTTTGTTGTATACACATAGCAATATCTTAACTTCCATACCTTAATGTTGACCAAAAAATACATCCTGGACTGACAAACATCAAAATGTTGAAGACATAAACAGTCAAAATCAAATCTTTAGAGAAAGAATGCCATTAACCCTTCCTATATCATTAGTCCCAGTCCTAGTGTCAAATTCACTCTTAAATATGTCAACCCGACTTAAAGTTCAACATCTTCAAGACTTTAAAAAACGTCCTTGACCTTGATATTCAAATTACATAGGCTTTCAACGTAAACAAATATCATGCTTTTCTGAATGTGACATAAGTACGACAATATAACTTTACAATTGAAACTCACAATAATTCAATGATATATATTTTAAGTCTTCTAATCTAAGGCTCAGTTATAAAGTATTGGTGTAAATGTCATAAGCCAGCCCCTATAAGGTTAATATCAAGGCCTATTGTATTGTATAACATTTTAGTTTTATAATCACTGAGTCTATAAAAATAACTATGAAAGTAGTGATATCCATAATTATCAGGTTATTTTTTAACACATTCAAGCAAACAGCATCTGTGTCAATAACATCATCTTTAATGCACCGTCATGACGCAAAACATCTTTGTTTTTCATCTTATCTGTACTGTTTATAGCAGCCAATGGCCTGGGTGCTCTTAATTTTTTTTTTTGAAGCCTGAAACCATTTGGATTGTCAAGAATGCAGTTAAGTGACTTAATTAGGGTAAGGATGGCTCATTGTCTTTAAACCAATGTATGAGGATGTATATGTGTTACATTTATCTTTTATTTTGGTAATTTGTGCATATTCACATATAATAAGCTAATAAACCAGTTTTATTTATGAAAAAATACTCCAAAATCTGAATTAAAATATCAACGCAATACACCTGGGGCCAATTTCTAAATATCAATCTCATAAAATAAAGATTTAAATGTTGTATGTTTCATGTTTTTCTGAGGTTACTTCAATCCCTCTCCATAATCAAACTATTTCAATTTCTAACTTAATGTTGGCCTGATAGCAGCAACTTTATGTTACTCTATCAGAAATGCTGTTAAAAGTTGGCTCATAACAAATTTTATGTCCAAATAGAATTTGTCTGGTTAGATACATAAGTGACCTAGAACATGTCTTGTATAATAGTTGTGTCAGATCATGACCACCATCAAAATTTTGTTTTTCTCTTAGATTGTCATTTCTTTCATGATTTTAGTGTATTGTTCATATGAATGAAACAGGGCCCAGGTTCAATGTCCAAGTGAACCTCCCAAGTATGACTGTAGTCTATAATATAAACAATTACGCATTATTTTCTAATGTTACATTGACATTGTATTCATTTTTTTATTTTTTTTTAAATTTTATTTCCCTTAAGAGTCTGTCACAAGTTCACTTAAACTTTATTTCGCAATATTAACAACTAGATAAAATAAAAAGAACTCGAATTACATCTATAAATCAAAAAATATATCTAGCACACATATCAGCACTCTTACCAACAAGACTTTCTACATACACCTTCTATAAGCAATGATAAAATCCCTTGAGAATTAATTATATTAATTATATGACTAGTAATACCCAATTTCCAACTGTCGAGAAATCTTTAACGAACATCTAGTCTTTAGCAATATCAATTGTTAACATATCCATTGTTGGCATTAACCATTGCCTACATCCATAGATAAATTAGCCATAGTTAACATCAGCCATATTCATAGATGTCAATAACCATAACCATATTAACATTAGCCATATTCATAGTTAACATTAGCCATATTCATAGTTAACATTAGCCATATTCATAGTTAACATTAGCCATAACCATAGTTAACATTAGCCATATTCATAAATGTCAATAGAAAAATTCCATCAGCCATTCTCATAAATGTCAATAACCATAACCATAGTTAACATTACCCATAACCATAGTTAACATTAGCCATATTCATAGTTAACATTAGCCATATTCATAGATGTCAATAGACAAATTCCATCAGCCATTCCCATGTCAAAAGCCATAACCATAGTTAACATTAGCCATATTCATAGTTAACATTAGCCATATTCATAGATGTCATCAACCACATAATCCACATATATAGTTGGCATTAACAATATCCATAAATGTCATTAAGCTATGTATAAATGTCATTAAGCTATGCATAGATGTCACTAACCATATTCATAGATGCCATTAGTAATATTATTTGCAACTGAGAAAAGATAGTCTTGAGAAGGATTGAAAAGTAAATTATAATCTAAACTAGGCTATAAATTATACATATATAAATCATCTCATATTAATATCAACTTAACTTGCTAAATAAACAAACTGACACTTGTAACCAACTTCCTTACAGAGATTATACTTTCATTACATATAGACTAATCAAATACAGCTACGTTTTTTATAAACTGACAGCCCAATTTATAATATACTTCTTAAAGGCCATTGTTGGCCATTTACAGGGGTTAATTTGGGTCTTGAATATATGTAAATATTCTTCAGAACTACCAGAACTGCACAAAAACAGCATAATCTCTTCAAATATACTTCAAACTAGAAATTTCACTTTTTTCCTTATATATAATGTCTTTTGTATTGTCTTTCTGTATAATAAGAAATTAAGAAATGACCAGATGTCATTTTAATATGGATTATTCTTAATTAACTGACCTCAAAAATTTTAGTTTCTGAGTTTCAATATGTCGAACGGACGGCAAAAGTGTCCCTTTAACAAAAAAAAATAAGTTATTCAGAAGAACTTGTATGATTAATTTAGGAATGGTAATTCTTTCATAGTAAAAGAAAATTTACTTGTGTATTTATGATAATAACCTCAAAATCTGACATAGTTTTTCTGGTATAACAGAAACCACAATCGTTGAAAAAGAATTTGCTATGGCCAAGATAAAACCACAAGTGCCCCCATTGCATAAACATAGTCTATAAATCTTCCTTTCATCCAATGTCGGTGGCTTCTGAAGGGCACCTGTTACTTTTCAATCACTCAACATCTTAATCATACATTAGATATAACAATATTTTTTACCTCCATTGTCTGTTATTGTCACATTGTAACCTTTATATTTTCTCCTGATGTCCTATCCTGTCTAGACTATACATACATATAAAATATTACATAAACACAAGCTACAGGGTATATCAGGATAAATTTGCTATATCATAGTTTAGTCAACACAATACAATCACGATTTATTTAAGTAGTTAACATATAATATTTTAACACAATATAATATCATTATGTTATAAGATATTTCATATATTCATCACAACTTAATATCTTTACATTGCTAAATTTATCAAGGTTTGAAAAATCAGGTTTCATTCTAAACATGAACAGTAATAAAAGTGAGAAAGTAAGGACATTTTGAAAATGATTGAATCTTGAGACATTCTTCTGAATAATAAGTTCAGTTTTCAAATACTTTTCAACCAATCAAATGCTCTGTGTTCAGGCAATCAGCCACCTCCACAGAAAGACTGGAAACAATATTGCTTGGGGAACTAAAGGGAAGCAATAGTTCTTTCTGACAAGGTATTCAACTTTCACAATGGAGATAAATTTTATAAAATCGTATGCCTTTCAATCAGTCAGAGTGTCTAATGATGTTAAGGCATTAGACAGAGTTTGTAATAGCTTGACGTTGCGAGGATATTTCAATGCAATAATGAACAGTTTTAATGAATCTGAAATCTATAAGTGAACATATATATATTCCATGGCAAAACTGCAGAATGTGTCAAATCCAGTGTTCCAAAAAACAACTATCACAGCAGGACCATTCCTACCTCCTGTTCAACAAAATGACCATACAGTTAGATGAAGTAGCCTACTGGGAGAGGAAATAGAGATAGACAGTGTCAGTTGAACTATGGACTATAATAATATATAGTCTATTTCTACCACTGTGTTATTGGGGTCACTTG